GACGGGGGGAACGGAATCTTCTGAGCTGTTACACTTCCGACAGTACTGCAGAGTGCAATGCTTCCTATTCTCTAGTTACTCACATTGGGCTCTAGGTACTGTATACCTGTCATACTCTTTAATAATCCAGTTACTCACATTGGACTCTAGTTTTCAATCTCTGATTGCTCTCAGCAAGTGGCTAGATACTTGCTTCAAGCTTTGTTCTTATCAGGTTATAAGCCCTGGTGCTTTATTGTGCTATTGTATAAGCTTAGTCATTCTTACATATTTGGTTATGTTTGTACACTTACCAAATATGGATATGTCAGATCAGGAGGGGGTGTCAGAATATACTCTGACATACCAATACTCCATAGGATAATACCTCTGATTTGTAAGCCAACCCAGTATGCAGCAGCTATACTGTGTAAGACATCTGTGGTTGCATGTGATATTTAAGATCCTACATTGTATAACTTTGGCCATATAGCTCAATTGGTAGAGCAGCTGGCATGTATCCAAAAGGTTCCAGGTTCAATCCCTGGTCTGGTCAATTAATATCCAATTTTATCAAACTTTGGTTGCATGACACCACTCCCCAGTGTACCTCTGTCTTCAGAACTCTGATTACTCCAAAGATCACGGTTCTGCCAAGCCAGGCATTCAATGCTTCCTGGTCAGTCTGACTCAACACTATAGTTGTTGTGGTCATCTTGGGAACAGCTGGTATTGCTTGTGCAGCAGTCTTTGTGGTTTCTGGTGATGAGGTCGGAGTGGGTTTCAGGGCCAAACCAAGTAAGTGTTTGACACAAATCCTTATCTGCCATAGTCCACTCAAGTTGTATATTGACCAGTTGGAGCCATCAGGCTTGAGTTTCGGTACACCAAGGGGCTACTTGCTGTCAACTTTGTCGACAGGCTTCATAACCTTTTAGCTGGTTCAGCAAAACAAGAATGGCCCAGAGTTCGACGGAAAACTCTGAGGCATCTTATCAATGAAAAAAAAGAGCTATATATCAGGTAATGGAAACAAAATGAAATATTGCCATTTGATGGCGCAGGCCTTCTACTAACACTGGTATCATTCAAACGGTTGCTTGATTTGCACAGCATCACGGATTTATTCCACAACACGAGCATGGTCATCAACACAGCCTGGTCCCAATCACGATGTGTCATAGCGTTGTCTGGCGAGTCAATACTTGCATGCGGCCGACCTGGACTATTCGTAGCTATCACCACGCCTTTTTCATCTGTGATGCTTTTGACGGTAATGAATGTTTGAACTTACCGCAATCGAATTAAGTTATGCACAGTGCCGCCTGATTTAAGCATGTAGAGTTGTTTCATTGATGGGCAATTGCAAGTCTCGGGATTGTGGTGTACAACTTGGACGTGCGTAGGTTCATACAGTGTTCATAATTACCTAGCGGAAGATGGTTTATGGACACAGAATCCTAAGCTGATTAATCATGGTTGACTACCTGAAGTAATTTTCGTGCGATTTGAATGAGTGACAGCCCTTTATGAACATCGTCGGGTATTCGCTTGTCAGCTGTATAGACGGAGGTGAACCGACAGACAAGATTCCGGCTTCAATGAGCTACGATCAGGCGGGACGAAGGGAAATTCCTCTCAAACATCACAAATTGTATATTTGAGGTTCGAGAGAAAATCTAGACAAAGTTGCTCGATGCCCAGGTCTCTATCAAAAATCCACGCGGCAAAAATAAAAGTAACTGACCTCGCTGCAAAACTTTAGTAACACAACAGGTATAATATGAGTCAATATCCTGTCCGAAGCTCAGCGCTCATTATAAGCAACTCCGTGCAGAATCGTATGCATACCTGCAACACTGGCACGGTTTTCACAACAAGACTCGGACGTTTTATGTGAAGGCCTAGGGCTGGAGAAATGGTGGAATGATAGAGTGGCGACGTGCCAGATACGGCGAGGTTCAGACCGGTCGCTGTGAGGCTAAAAAAAGAGAGACTAGAAGGTGTGTTTGTTTCCCTCTCAACGGCCGGCGTGCTCTCCTCACCCAGACCGTCACCAATTGTGCTATCGTGTGTTATCGAACATATCGTTGCGGTATTGACCTGCAGAATTGAGCGCAAAGAGTGGTATTATCTAACTTTCTTTGTTCTTTCCAAAGAACAATAGGCGTTTATACTTAACGTTACTTGCCCTGTTTTTACCACGACCCCTTCTCATCCCCGTCTCGAACCATTCCACGTCCTTCTTGTCGTCCATTCCACTCGTTTTTCACCTCCAACCACCATGGCTGCAATCGGCCAGATTATAACCCAGAATGTAAACACTAGGACGCTGGCGCCCGCTGCTGTCGGTTCTCAGGTCGCTCTCATGTCTGTCGTATCTGTACGTATACACTTGAGAGTGTCAATAAGCCATCTAATCTCATGAAATACCTCTCAGGTCGTCACAGTAGTCGCTTTTAATGTTTTACGTCCAAAAAACAAGGTACTTGACCCACATCTCACTTTCTTTTCTGTTGCTGCTCCCTAACCAACATCGCCTAGATCATCTACGAACCAAAGGTAAAATACCATGTTGGCGACAAAAAGCCTCCAAGAATATCGGATTCTCTCTTCGGCTGGTTGCCTCCACTCTACAACACACGTGAACCAGAGCTCGTCCAAAAATTAGGCCTAGACGCTGCCACCTTCCTCCGCTTTACCCGCATGATTCGCTATCTCTTCTCCATCATCGCATTCCTCGCCTGCGCCATTCTCATACCTGTGGACGTCACTTACAACCTTGCTCATGTGGATCCAGCAAATCGCGACGTTCTCTCTATTCTCACAATCCGTGACTTACAGGGCTCCACCCTCTTCGCCCACGTCGCGCTCAGCTATGTTATCACTGCAGCGGTCATGTACTTTGTGTGGAAAAATTGGAAAGAGATGCTTGCCCTTCGCCATGAGTGGTTCCGCTCTCCAGAATACATAGACTCGTTTTATGCGCGCACGCTCGCCATCACTCGCGTTCCCCGGTCTTACCAATCAGATGAGGGCATTCGTGCCATATTCGAGTCAGTGCAAGTGCCGTACCCCACAACATCTGTGAACATTGGTCGCAGAGTCGGAAAGCTCCCAGAACTCATAGAGTATCACAACACAGCTGTCAAAGAGCTAGAACAGGTCTTGGTCACCTATCTCAAAGGCGGTCATATTGCGAAGGAGAGACCTACAATCAGAATTGGCGGCTGGTGTGGCATGGGTGGTGTGAAGAAAGATTCCATCGACTTTTATACGTGAGTTTTGCTCCTCTGTATGTTAAGTCTTCGCTTATCGCTCCATTAGCGCTAAACTCAAACGAACGGAGCTCGCCATAACAGAATATCGAGCGCATATCGATACTCGCAAACCCGAGAACTATGGTTTTGCATCGATGGCAGCTGTCCCATACGCTCATATTGTGGCTAACATACTGAGAGGAAAACATCCCAAGGGAACCGATGTCGTTTTGGCGCCTAATCCAAAGGATATCGTGAGTTCTCTACTCTCGTCGCATCGCTTCTTTTCCAGCATACCCCACATTACTGGTCATTTGTCGTCCATTTTCCAAGTCTTCCTGTCCTGTGTTTGTATGACTTGAAAACGCAATGGCTAATTATTTCCCCCCACTTAAGATATGGCAAAATCTCCCTATGTCCCCAGCGGAGATATTCCGTAACAGAGTTCTCGGTTTTCTCATCCTGGCTCTCGTCTGCTTTTTCAATACTATTCCTCTTTTCGTTATCTCTATCTTGGCGAATTTGGCTTCGGTGAATATATTCTCTTCTCCAAATGTTACGAAATCGCTTACCATACTCGTATACGACACATAGATAGCCGCGTTTGTCCCTTTCATCGAATCTTGGTCCAAAGCCTCTCCTGGCTCTTTCGCAGTCATCTCTGGTGTCCTTCCTCCAGCGGTATCTGCTCTCTTCGCGTTTTTCCTCCCCATCGTGATGAGGTGGGTTAGTCGATGGCAGGGTGCGTTGACGCAGAGTCGGTGAGTGTTTTTGCATCTTCGTTCAAAATGCAAGTAAGAGGGAGGAGCAGTGAAGGGAGATAAATTGCCGAAACCTCCCTTGCTTTCTAACATACACCCACTAGCCTTGATCGCGCAGTCGTTGCGCGTTATTTTGCTTTCCTCGTTATTTCGCAATTGGTCATCTTCACATTGATCGGTGTCGGTTTCAGTGAGTGCTTCGTACACTAAAGCCATAATCTCACACTCATCTCACTACTCATTTATGAAATAGACTCGGTTCAAGAGATCATCCTCGAGATTGGTGAACATCACAGTTTCCAAGATATAATCAACAATCTGCATAGTAAGTCTTGTTATGTTTCAGTGCCTACCTCTTGTTCGCAACCTCTGTATTGCGCATGTCAAGGATGATGATGATGATACAATACTAAATCAAATTTAAATTTGGCAGCCCTTCCAAGTATTATCAACCGAACGTACATCAACCAAGCATCATACTGGCTGACGTTCTTCCCGTGCGTCCCTCCTTTTCTTTATCCCATGGGCTTTTCCCTGATTTGGTTGTGCAGGCTTCGTGGATTCCTTGTTATATTTGATCTAGCGCAAGTTCTCAATTTAGTATGGACGTCGTTCAAGACTCAGTAAGTGTTTGTCCCTTTATTGTTGCCCCTTTATTGTTTGTTTGCTCTGTCGCCGTACATTTCATCTGGCAGACGAGTTTTTCGTCGGCGCTACCATGTTTTTGAATTGTGCTAATACCCTTGTCAGTGTGTTCGGTCGTACGCCGCGTGATATTCGCGAATGGACACAGCCACCTGAGTTTGATTATTCCGTGTACTAGTGCGTTCACATCCCCGACCGCTCGTATAACACATTCTAATTGTCGCTGTTTCGCTTTGTTGCACAATAGCTCAAACACAGTAAGTCTTGATCTCCCCCTTCCCTGTATACATTGTTGCTCAATGATTTGGATTGTAGCTCTTCATGGGTACAGTCGCACTTGTGTTCGCACCACTTGCCCCTCTCGTTGTGCTGGCCGGTGCCATTGTTTTCTGGCTTGGTTCATGGGTGTATAAATATCAGCTCATGTTTGTGTACGTCACCCAAGTCGAAACAGGAGGGGTAAGTCTGTCTGAATTTCTTTTCAATCACTGTTGGTTCTGATACACATAAAACTAGCGTATGTGGAATATCGTAGTGAACCGCCTGCTAATTTCTGTCATTTTGATGCAACTTTTGATGGTCCTAAGTAGCTACTTTTTCCGTATTGTTAATTTTCGCGTACTGATTAAACCCATAAACAGCCATCGGCCTCCAGTATCAATTCAAGTCCTTCATGTGGCTCACCACTGTTCCTCCTATCCTCTTTATCATCGCTTTCAAGATCTACATTGATCGCACCTTCTATACCAAGTACCTCTTCCACATCCCATCCGAAGCTGAACTACGCGATGCCAAGATCCATTCGTCTCGTGCAGATGCGTCCGGAAATCGCCTCGAGAAGCGTTTCGGCCACCCCGCGCTGCATGCAGAGCTCTTTACTCCCATGCTCCATGCCAAAATGATGCCCCTCCTTGCAGACGTCTACAAAGGCAAAATCGGCAGCGAGGAAGCGAAGCTCAACGAATATGGCGGAAGGGGGATGGAGGCACAGGTTATCGAAGGAGGCATTCGCATTGCAGCTATCGAACAACGCGACCTCGAATATGACCCTGCTTTATACCAGCGCGATAGAGGCGAGCTTGACTGGGATCAACGATCGATGTCAACGACGGTGCTCAACATGCAAGGAGGTGGATCGGATGCCGCGTCCCTCTATGCTGCCAAATCTTTCTATTATGCCAACGGGAACAACGGACGTGCCTCGCCCGCGCCTTCTGTTTATGATCGATACATGGCCAAAGGCCCCTCTCTGTCGCAGAGCGATATTGAGTTGTCCAGACTGGATATGGCCAACGTTGACCAGTTGCCGCTTCTCAACGAACAGCAGGCTATGGGTTACTATGATGGACACCCGCCCCCGCCAGTGCCAGCACTGCCTCAATATAGTTCTCCAGTTCGCATGACCCCATCTTTGCCTCCGTCACCGCTGGCCCAGTATCCGCCCCCACCTGGGATGTACAGGAACCCCACTGATGGATACAGAGAAGCACCACTGCACCGGCCATATCCCCCTTCACAGCAAGGCACGAGTTATCGGGAAGAGCTTCCACCGCCTAACATGGCGGGGAGAGGAGTATACAGACAATAGGTGTCAGGCGAGCGTATTCTCAGACCAGGAAAAGAAGAACAATTTCTACAATAGAATCTTACTATTTATCTAATGCGGCATATACGACTCGTTTATTGCTTCTTTTGTGGCAATGCACCCCTCATCCATTTCTTCGCATATCTCTCCCCTTCAACACTCCTGGAGCGGCGTTCTACGTTGCTATTTCGCATAATCAACGCTCTTTTTCATTGTAGTCACAAGTACAAGTATAGAATACTTATGGTTTTCGTGTTTTATCTTCCGTTGGACTTATGGACTCGTGGTTTCTCATGGAAGGTTGATAGCCAACTTGTTTTGCTCGTACTCGTAAATTGGTTTTGCTCACTACGTTTACTACTAGGGGGAGTAGGGGCCCGCTAGTTAGTATTTGCTGGTGCATATTCTGTCGTATGTTTATTTCATGTAACTGTTTCATTAGCTACTTATTCGACAGGTCTATGAGGCTAGATCGGCAAGCCCTCTATGACCTCTCTTCACCGTATGCAGGCTACTTCTACTAGTAATAGTAATGCATATTTTGAACCTGCCGCTGAATCATGAGTGTGATTAAGGTGAACTGTATTAATCGCAAATTTGCGGATAGTCCGTAAAGTAAGTACATGGTTCATTTGATGTATTTAATAATTTCTCAGGGGTATTTTACCCAAGGCAAAGTTGTCAGCTTCCACTGCTGAGTATCGTGAGCAATGGAGGGGAGTATCTCGATGGCTCCTCCAGGGGATTGCCCGCTCACATCGTGTCGAGTCTGTTTGGTGAAGAGAAAGGCCCACGTCAATCAATGTTGCTTAGGACGACCCCAATCACTTACAAGGGCTATTTCAATGTTTGACATTGATGCACGCCTCCGAGCTGTTACGCTCTGCCGACTTTAAGTCAGGACTAGAGTTGCAGTACGTCGTGTGTGACCATCGAAATGTATAGACGAAACGTGGTCCTGCTCAGAGTCCTTGGCCATGAGCAGACGGGAATTGAGATTGGCTAGCATGCAATTGGCATAACTAAAGATATATATTGCCGTGAGTAGACTGTATGAGGGAGCTGCTAAGATAAGGACACACAGTTTGGAGAGAGAAAAGAAACTGGACAAAAAGATACATCAGGTGGGTACCAATATAGGCTGGGACGGTATGGGAATTAAATCGTACACGATGAGATGGGCGATATGGGTCCACCGATACAGAACGACAGCGAAAAGTAATTCTAGCAGGGTAGCTGCGACAGTCACCATTCCGGTTTCAATGGTCAGTTTGACCAGCTTGACAAGGATGGACTTGGTTTTGCTGATACCTGACCCAGATTTTTGGAGAAGGAGCTATAAAAATTGATGTCAGCAAACCGGGGGACGAGACTATCAGCAAGGTTACGCACCAGCCGAGTGGTTTGTATTGTAATTAAAAGGTCACACAAACAACTTCCAGCCAACCAAATCTACGCAGGGTAATGGAGATATCTTCGACTGAGATATAATCTCGGGATGACACTAGACAGGTACCTACATAGTCGATATTATTCGATGGAGTACCTCCCATCAATCCCTTTAACCAGCCTATCAGTTGATGGCCCAACTAAAATATATCTTACTGACCCTAAAAGCCCCGTATATGGCTACGAAACTTTGAGTGATGGATAACTGAAGAAATAAATGTGGTTTCGTCACCGAAAAAAAACATTATAGCAACTTTGGTCCAACTTACCAACATGACCACAATAGGAACAATCAGTGACCTTCCTATCACCCAAATTCTCCAACAATAAAAGGCGTGCACTGATGATGATACTAACAGGACGTTAATGGTGGGATATTCTAGACAGAAAAAAACCACGTACTCAATCCCGTAAGGACGAAGAGGGATACCAAGTACCATACACTAAATAAAACCATTTCACAATCTGGTTTGATATAATAACCTCCATCTATAGCACAAGAAAGGCAATGCACACTAGCTCCGAGCCAAAACGCATAAAGAGTGAAAGCAGATCCAAGACATTCCATCAAAAAGATGAGCCAGACTACATTATAGGAAGTTAGCTGCATAATGTGATAATATTGGTAAACTTACCGAGGCATTTCAGCCATCTTGGATCATTAGTAAACCGCGTATAGTAGATAACTATGCAAATCCACATATTAAATGAAGCAAGCAATGAGCGCTGGATGGGATACGCACAAGTTTGCACAATCAATATCCCAAATAGTCCGAAGCTGAAAGTGTACCCAAGAGCCTGTAGTAGCAGTGGGTCATCAGCAGATGGTGATAGAATACTCAGGGATGATTACGACGCACAATAGGAGTATCTCTGTGACCATGGTGGACATAAGATGGTTTAAATGTTAGTCTCGCGGGCTGACTTAAGCAAGTAAGGACTTACGGGCTGAACGAACTCCAGCTGCGATAATAACTTAAATGAGCTGTGTGATTCTATAGTTCGCAAACATGAGACCTACTTGGGCGGCGTACATGACGACATGACAGAATCCGCACTGTACGATGACCAGGTTACTGTGGACTGGCTATTCTTTAAAGAAAGGGTTATACGCCTGCATAACTCCACAGGAAATATACCCCGTTCATTTAGACCAACGGACACTTGAATGAACAGCAAACCGATATCAAGCCCGGGCCCACAACCATCAACACAGCCCCATCATGATGTTATCAGGTAGTATATACTAGTCCCCACTGCCCACCTACAATCTAAGGCACTACCTGACTTAATGCGTCCCAGATGTTTTCTCGAGTAAGTCGGACTGGATCTTGATAGTAACGAATGCTCCGCAGGGGTTGATGTTGAAATACCAATGTTGTGGTGAGGTGGTCCAGTGAGATATCGACGGGCATATCAAAATTTGGTCCAAGGGCGCCTACGTCTGACTTCAAGTTGGAACTGCCATTTTTAAAACTCCCACCTAAGTATAGTAACTTGAAAGCGATGCTACACCGCAAACCATCATCATGATCGTAGCTTCCAACACACGAATTCCATGGACTAAGATAAGCCAACAAGCCTGAGTGTGAGGTGTGTCTGATTCTGCTCAGAATTTGTTGTGCACTGAAGTCCTCGTGATGTGATCACCAGTAGCAGAGAGGTGCCGCATTATTCGTGAAGAGTTGAGCATACTCTACGACCAACTGGGTACAGTAAATGCCAGTGAAAGGAAAGGACTTTTACTGGTTACGTTACTGGCCACGGTTACCGACGCCGGTTCCATGTACCACTGGAGCTTAGTCAATTTTTTTTGAAAACATATACATTGCAAAAAAAGACGTGGTCTAACTGATCTATATAAAAAGAATCAAGACAAACTACTGAATAACTTGAATTTCAAGATTTAATGACTTTTTCGATGATCTCCTGTGCGGCTAGCAGCAAGCCATCGTTGAAGCGACGTGCCACTAGTTGTAAAGATATGGGGGCTCCAACAAATAGCTCGGGGTCATCTGTCAGAATGTACAATGGTCTCGCGGTCAGTATATTTCACCTCGGATACAAGAAATTTGCGCACATAGAGAGTTATTATACTGGTCAGAGTCACTCATGGGTTCGAATGATTCTCGAATGACATCAATGCTGGGGTCGGCTTTGAGTCCAGTAGGAAATACAAGGCCAGGATAATCCAGTAAATTCCAAATCGCAAGGTAGCTGTTTGAGGCATGAGCATTGTATCAGCTGCATCTTCAGAGTAGTACCTACCCCCAATATTTCATTGTTTCATGAAGGCCGGCCGTCCCAGGACCTGGCGGGCACAAGACCACGTCGCAACCAGCTATGTTCCAGTGGTCCGAATAATTAAAGCGGTATTTATCTCTCTCGTTACGCAACTAAATACATAGTAATAAATGAGCTATCGGCGAAGAAGAGAAAAATTAATTAACATACCGCGTGTATTCCTGCTGCGTCGTGATCTTTTGTGAAAGGTGGGCTGATGGCCCATTCCAGTAGGGGAGTGATATTTTCTCCTCCTGCATCTAAGTGACGCCTTACAATCTGGCCACCGTCCTCGAAATAAGTTTCTCGCTACAGAGACAATTAGCCAAACCTCTTATAAGGAAAGGAGGACTTACTATAATATTGTACCCCCGATCGTGGTCGTAAGGTATGTACTCAATAAGTTCGATGTTTGGAGCAACACTCAGCTTCTGCTTTGCAATCTCGAGTGCGCGTAGGATAGGAGGGTGAGGTAACACTACATTGTCGTGCGTCATAATACCCACACGTAGCTTCCTCTGACTAAGGTCAGGGACAGCACACGGTATAGGTATAAGCGACGAGTCTGAGAGAGCTGCACCAGCACTGTTAATGGCGTGCAGGAAAGTCTTCATATCGCGTGCGGATCGACACATAGGGCCAGTTGATTGTGAAACTCCATCAGCGCCGTATTGGCTGGCGCGAAGTGAGCCTCAGATAAGTATATCATTGGGGATAAATAAAAATACTCACAACCAAGTATAACCACGCGTCGGTAGCGTCTTTGCAGTCGGACATATGCCATACAACCCGCAGTTAGCGCAAGGTGCACGAATAGATCCCCCAGCGTCCCTGTTGCAACTCTGTCAAGATATGAACTGTTAATAGACATTATGACGTAACTCACGTTCCTAGTCCCATGCACGATCCTTTCATAGCAAGGAGCGCCCCTTCGCCACCGGTAGATCCACCAGCAGTGAGGTTAGAATTGTAAGGGTTAAGCTACCGTGAAATGAGATGCCGTATTCGCGATAAACAAATGAAGACTTACGGTACGACCGTAGAATGAAAGGCATTCGAGTGTCATACCTCCTTGAGGCTGAGTTGTTTTGACGTAGAAAACTGCCGCCCGTATTACTCATAAGTGAAACGATAATAGTATCGGCATACTCACTAGCACCGAGACTTCTAAGAATTCTGATCATGTCGCAGTCCTCGGTGGAAACAGCTAATGTGGAAAGAAAGGACACAGAACACCATCTTCCTCTAATAGGGATATGATCCTAGTCCTTATGAACACATTCCGTTACGGAGAAGCTAAAAGGGATCCAAATACCTTGACTGATATAGGCAAACCGTGAAGCGGCCCGAATACTTTGCCTTCACGCTTGAAATAATCATCTAATTCTTGTGCTTGAGCGATGGCCACGTCCAAGAAATAATCGGTGAGGCACGCAGTCAACTGGTGAGCAATAGCGGCCCGTTTTCCAAAAGCCGTGACAGTATCGACCGCGGTGAGCTCTCCTTTCGCGATTTTGTCGCAAACGGCAGTAGCGTCGAGATCAGTGATCGCGAGCTCATTCTCAGAGAGAAGACCACAAGACTCGGGGATTCCAGTTACGTCTAGTGGCAAGTTGTCCAATAAAGAAGAAGGGAGACGGAGGGTAGTAGGTATTTGCGATTCGAGTCTTTCTCTGACATCGCTCACTTTGGCGGTGAATGCAGCGTTTCCGGTGACGACTGGCAAGGATGAGATAGAGGACATGGTGTGTTGGATTGCATCCAGCTATTGCTCTTGTTCCCCTCATAAATACCCCCAGGAAGGCCACCTCGCTAGGAGGATACAAGGTGGCCGATGCGTCCCAGCGGAAAGACGCCAAACACTTGCCGTCTCGCGTTGATTTAGTTTGATGATTTGTATTTCAGAAGCCTTGATCAAGTCATATGCAAGCCTAGAACAGAAAGAAAAAGCATCGGGAAACCCAGTCCGTGGATATCGTTAATACAACGGATCTCAGAATGATTGAGACGTGACGGAACTCTGTGCGTGCATGTTCTCACCACGAGTCCTCCACGAGTTTCCACGACTAAGGGACATACCTGCTGCCGAATTCCGAATAGACCTTGAGTCAGCGGTTCTGAATGAAAAGAGCAACAGAAGTATCTTTGCATACATTTGGAAGGCACTTCACATTGCATGTCCGCAATTGGAGTCCCTTATGCACAACGTTCAGCGTTTCCTCGTCTCTGCAGTTATTGTAAAGCCCAAACGAGTCGCCAAGTAAGTCAAACCCTGAAACGGCAAACCCCAAACGTTACGAGATGCTATACTCGATGAGAACCGCGCTTTTTAAACCTGGTTATAGATGGTCCTGTGATCACATCAACCGCTTAGTGCAAGGTACACACTTGTATGCACTCTGAAAACTCGAGGCTTGAGTGTGATCAAATACTAGATGTGATCGCACCTGCAGTTTGGCGGAGTAATCCGGTCCTTGATATTTTGGTTCTCAGCGGCGCTGATGCCGCGGTGCCGACAGCCTGGTTACAGTAGAACGTTCGACACGTCTGCCAAAGCTTCAAAACAGTTTTCCCTGAAGGCGACACGGTCAGCATAATACACATACCCACGATCATACTTAACATTTGAAGGAGATGCTCAGATGCCCAAAAGTCATTCATGATCGTGTGACACCGTCCTTTCCGGTAAAAGAAAAGCTTAGGCGTCATGAAGAAAAAAAATCCAAACATGAGGTGTAGAGGCTGGGCGTAAAAATACAAAGAGAGGTAACTTCTTTCCGTCCAACGGTGATGGAGCATAGCAGATGACGCAAGGTCTAAGAAGTCGTACATCTGGCGTCCAATGAGGCCTCGTGGGACCACTCTATGAAAGTTCCCCTATCATGACTGCAAAGCCTTCCTGCTACTCCCGCCACTGACATCACTATCTTTTCCTTTATCCTTTTCCGTTCCAGGACCATCATCCAGGTATAAATTGTTCTCCTCGATATATTCCACTACGGCAGCAGGTAGGAGATACTTCACCGAGAGACCCCGGCGCAGGAACAGGCGAACTTTGGTGGACGAAACATCGTTTTGAATCAACTGAGGAATCAAATAGATGTTACTTCTCCATCGTGCCAAGCTGTCCGTAGCTTGATCCATGCCTGATCCTGCACGCTCAATTATAAATGTGCCGTAGCGTCCCAAGATGTGATCCAACTGCCAATATCAACAATGAGTGAGACTATGCCGTAAAAGCCAGATGCCGAAGCATGATTACAGAAAGAAGGCCGACAAAGTACGAGTAAGACAGTTACTCACATCAGCGTGTGACCATACACCAGGTTCAGACATTGTACTGATCAAGTCAGAACCAGCCAGTAGCATGACCCTGACATTACGGTGCTCGCCACTTTGTGTGTGAACACCGCCAAGGACTGTATTGATCTCGTAGTCGAAATGGTCAAGCACCACGGCTGTACGCTGGTAGCTTTGAAAAGCTTCCCAAGAGTCAATCATTAGCCACGAAGACGTTTGTTCCGCAGCGAGTGTGCACATGTTTACTCTGTTAAATGAAGGAAGCCTGATTAGCACGTTGTTCTGTTGGAAGACTCGGATATTTCTAGAAGGAAAAGGCGCTGATCAATGAGTTTAGTGATGATTATGTCTCCGCAGGAGATGATATGATCTCTGAGTAGAGGCATGCTGTGGACTACAACAAAGAGCATGATCCGATAGAACAGGCTGTGCTACCCTACGACAACATGTTCAGAGTGTTAAAATTGTTTGTTGTGGCGGTGACATTGGCAGGATAACAGCCTGAATGATTACGGAAGATAAAAGGCCGGGCCGGCACGCTTGACGCTCATGACCCGATAACAAGATACCACTTATCCATTGCGATACAAACACACTTGTAACTCTTATAAGAGATGTGAAGTATGAGTGTACCAGGACGGTAGTAGCTGATCACGGGTCTAAGCGTGGAAGCAGTGACAGGCGGCCGCAAGTTCGGCTGACCAGGAACGCAAGCTCAGAATAACACCATATTGGAAAGCTATGAGGACGCTCCGACGGCAAGACATGACAAGACAAAGACTCAACCCGCGAGGAAATGAAGGCGTGAGTGGAAGATACCCTGAAAAACCCTCACCTGTGACGGGCGTTGAGCAACCCTGGTTTCTTGTACATATCGCTGACAGGACTGAGATATCCGCCGACTATTTCGAAGTCTGTGTTCTGCCGTACGAAATCCTTTGCCATTTCGAACATACGGAGGTGGAGGTAGGTCACTGGACTGAAGGATCCACATGCGACAAGGACTATTGGCTGTTTATTGGAGTCACGGAGAGTTTTGTTGAGGCGGTGAGAGATAAATGAATAATTTGGGGGATTAGAAAAGCTGTTGGTTCGTCGAGCCACGGTCTCTTCCGCCATTGTGGTGGTGGTGGATATAGAGGAGGGATAATAATTTTGACAGATGTGGTTCGGGTGTCGGATGCTGCTTACTTTTAATACTGCACTGGACCCACATAAGGAAGGTCACAGCCACGCTCATTTCCTTAGACAGGTTGCTCGATGACTCGCTTCACCCGTACATACCAGCGCTCGTCGTCTCCACCGGCGTCAACAAGCACCCGACGTTCTCAGAAATATTCTATAATCCAGTGTCGTCGATGTACGTATTGTCTGACTTGCTCATGCGGTCATTCGGACTTTGGACGCTGCTCAGAATAACCTGACACTGGCAAATCTCAGCATAACTTTCATATGTGAACGACGAGGACACGAACATCTCATCTCAGGATCGCAGTACTCGAAATGAGCTAGCACGCGGTGGACAGCTTCCCAAAGGCTCTAACTTAGAAGCATAGAAGGTTCAGGTTTAGCCCTCCACGTTTCTGTCAGACTGCTTCCCTGTGTTCCCCTGTAAATCAATGGTATCTCCAATTCAGTACTCATCTTTTAACCGGGTATTTCCACATGTCCTCGAGGCTAACGTCTGCCATCTCAATAGCTATGCCGTCAATTTCTCAAGAATATCGCCTTTCTGGTGAGTCGAAGGCACAGAACATTCCGTACAGCCCCACACCCCAGGCTTTGCATAGAATTTGAGCGTCGATGTGTTGACGGCTGAAAAGAAACCAAGTGCGTAATATGGCTTCTTTACAATGGGGCTATCGTCATTGGCTGTGCGTTTTTTCACAGGTAAAGTCATATTTCCAACGAAAGACTACTGTATTACCCAGGGCAAGATACCTTCAACTCAGTCAAATAAGGAACTCAATGTACCCTGGGAACAGGAATTATCCGTCTTTCGCTGTGCAATGTACGACCCTAACAGTTTGCCGTCCTGGCGGTAATGCGACGACTTGACGGGTCTGCAAGTCGTATATAGACTAAAGCCGGACCGTGTACCCGACCTCATTAATCCAAGACTTTTAAACACAGTGGAACTTGTTCGTACCTATGCTTCCATTCCGCCACCGCTATATGCTTTCAAGGTTCTGCATCTCTCTTATTATGATGATAGGGTGTTTGGATGTCAATAACGTAAAATAATCTACGTTAGGTTTAACAATCTTTGTGCAATCAAAGCTTATCATGAACAATGATGTCGTATTACGAGGCTAGGGTTCAGGTAATCTATTTTCTTTCTAATTCAGCTACAATGAGCTTGCTGAAAACAGACTCCACAGTCGAGATAGGCAGATGCGGTCTGACGGACAACAAATACTCAGCCTGATATGTCTTGACTTGTCCATATTTGGACATTTCAGTATGGTCATCACTTTACTCCACGGCCACGCCAAAGCGAAGCGCATCTACTACTCCAACTACTTGCGACTCTTTCGGAAAAGACATGTAGGAAGCTCACAGTTTTGAAGGCAGCTGTATCGGTCTATTTTTGCTACTTCTTACATGACGCACGCGTAGGCAACGATGAGAAGAACTCTTATGAAATAACTGAACTCTTTGAACTTCTATCGATGCCACCACAGGTCACCAGCCAATAAGAGTTCAAAATCCCTTCGTTATTTCTGTCCGTGTCCTTAGAGAGGACAATTCATTTCTGCGCTGATGTGTTTATAACTTTTTCTTTGCAATCCAGGGTTTATTCATAACTTTGGACCATTAAGTCGTCTCGTTGCTCAAGAGACCCGGAAAGACACGGTATCCAAAACTTCATTTCTTTGCAATCCAGAGTTTATTCTTATTCATAACTTTGGACCATTGATTCATCCCATTGTTCAAGAGACCCGGAAAGACACGGTGGCCCGAAACCTCATTTCCTTCCCATACAGTGGCGTAGGCAACTTCCAAAATTCTACCACCGCATGTGAGCCCCATGACGACTCGCATCGCACACCCCTCGTTTTTTTGTACGCAATTCAACCACAACATTTCTCCTAAACGGCGTGCACATACTATGCCTATTATCATGATTATTATATTCCGCAGTATGGTGTATAAATATGCAATGATACAAATGCGAGAGGGGTAAACGGAACAGTGCGAAGAAAAGAAACATACGAAACGACGAGCGAATCGATTCGAAAATGTATAACAATATTTTACTTTTGAATGAAAAATAGTTGAGTTTAAAAGCCGGTAGAATAAGTAGTAATACACAAGATTCCGCAAGAGGGTATACGAGAGCAAAGCGTATTGACGAGATTGACTAGAGCCAAAGGGAGCATATCGAGGATATGAACAGAGGTATTGTAGATTGATATTGAAACTCGAAGAGAACAAAGAATCAAGAAGAATATAAGAATGCCTATTCAGCAAACTTGCACTTCCCATTCGCCGCCTTCGCCGCCAGCGGTAGGCATACTTTTTAGCGCTATCCTCACCCGGCGCTTGCCAATAGGACTCGAAGCGCCCTCGTTGCGCGCTTCTTGCATGTATCCAAAGATTGAGTCGGGCGCTTGAGTATTGCCATAACCTGTTGGGTCCCCGCTTTGATACATAGCCATAGGGCTTGCCATTGACGACGCATCAGACCCGTAATTCATGCCTAAGTCGTAGTCGGAATGACTAGTACCTACTCCAAGGAAAGGGCCCAATTGGTCGTACTCCCCTGACGTTGTTGTGGCAGATGGCGGCGGTGGGTGTGCCTGGACCGGCGATACCGGGTTGGCATAGTACGACGAGGAGAAAGAGGAACCAAAGGTAGAGTCCGATTCTGGGCCTGCCCACATTGCGAGCGACGAAGATGAAGTTGGTGAGCGTTCATCAGTGCTACTGGCGTGCGGAAGCTGCGAGGTCGTCGGCGTAGGATCAGAAGTGGAAGAGTGAATCCGGACACGAATTTTGCCGCTATCGGTGGGAGAAGCGTCGAAGGAGATATCAAGGCCTCCGAGAGCACTGAGGGCCTCGGAGTCAATGTCAGCAAATTCCAACTTGCGAGGAGCGGGGGTAGAAGAGGGGTTGCCAGTAGTAAGCCTGCCATTATCATCGATGTCGAGGTCCATGAAACCGGCACCATTTGGGTGAAGCGACCAGTCGTACTCATTAGGAATAACAGCGTTGTAATCGAAAGCAGACGAGGAAACTGGAACAGTAGAAGAACCTGAGAGCGGGAAGGAGAACGTTGTGGGAAGAGTGGTGTGCATTGGCATGGAAAGAAGAGTGGGCAGGGCGCAGAGGAGAACCTGCTTGCTTGTTATTCGGCCATGGTACATATCTGGTAAGGAATATGATACATACCATAAGGCCTAGGCTAGCACCAGACTTGTGTGGCGAAGACATGGGTACGGACCGAGCAGATGAGGTGGGAGGCACTGATTGCTCGTAATGTTCAACCTTCACAGGCACAGCTTGGACTGATTTCTGGGCGAGTTCGGCGCTCAATTCCCTTTCACGTTCTTCAGCGTCGGAGAGGCGAGACCGGAGTTGTTCGATTTCCGAAAGGAGGTCCTCATAGCCACTTCCACTTTGGGAAAGAGCTTGCAATCTAGCGTTTTCCTGCTCTAGTTCGTTTACGCGACTATCACACCAAGAAAATGGAGGTGAAAGGGGTGGAATAGAACATAATTATTACGCAAAAAGAAGTGCGATAAGGATTCCACTTACACTTCCATGGTCTCGAATTCTTCTCGCTTTCTTTGCCGACTCAGGAAGGCGGCGGCGCGGTTTTTTACGAGACGCGCCTCGCGTTTGCTGAGGCCGGAAACGTCGGGAGGAATGAAATCCTTGCTATTGATACGCTCTCCAGATGCCCGGGGTTTCTTCGTGACGCTGGCTGCGGGTGTACAAGCCCGTTTGGCAGGAGCTGTTCCGGTGTTGATGGACACTGACGAGCTAGGCGGTTCAGAAGAGGACTCTGAAGGGGACAGTGGCGACGGAGCATCAAGTGTTTCAGGAAAGTCGAACAGCTGATGGGTGGGCAGACAGAGCTGCTGGTCACCATCAGAACTGGATTCTGGAGTCATGCGCATTTTAAGCATTCTGGAAGTGGGTATCGGGGAGTCTGTGCTATTCGAGCCAACTGAATTTGGGGGAGAGGGTGGTAACGCGTAGTAGTTGAATGCAAATGCGCCATGGTGGGTTGGTGAATATGGAGACTGCTGGTGGTCCCACTGGGCATCACTGGGCGACATGGGAGAAAGTAAAGGGGCGTCGCTTGCGATGATCTGAGACATGGGGAGCGATGGCGGGTGTCTCGACATGACTGAGTTTTATATGAAAGGTTCCAGTGTGTTTGCAGAAGAAAAAAGGAGAGAAAGCAGCAGAGGGAAATTGAATCAAATTTTTTATGCATGCGTGGGTCCGGATTTATATCGCGCCTACAACCGCCAGAGCAAATTCCGTAGCCGACCAAATCAAGGAGACGTCTGATGAAAATATCACCTCTCACATGCACAGCCGTTGCTATTCCAGGACAATCTCTAATCCGTCTCCTTTTCTATACATGGCCTCTAACACACTCCTCCGCTCAGAGCCTATCCCTCAAACACCACTGCGTCAATGCATTCCAGCACACTGTTCCCTGCGCTGATACTCCGATTAGCCTGCGTAGTTTCCTGTTTTCCGAATACTTTCCGACCTCCCAGCAATAATCTCTACTTGTACCGCAACCTTGTCTGCAGAGTATCATCGAACTTACCCCACGCTGTAATGTGGGCATCCGAATCCAATGGGAGAGCTGCAGCATCTCTTCCGCGACCACCCGACTCAGTATCTTGCAAGGGTCTGCTCCCGATCGAGAAGCCCCTTTGGGTAGATCCATGGTGATTCTACTGCCCACCCACCTCTTTGGAATTGTACTTTTCATTAAAGCTTGAGGCTCATGGACATATCTCGGAGCTTGTCTTGGACCGTTCAATCGTGCCTCCAAATACCTTTACTAGAAAAACCTACATATCACGAGAGAATGCTTGTGGTCACTTTGGCACGTCTTTTGAATGGCGGTCCGTACCTTTGACCTCTTCGGGATTCATCGTTACTTATCTTATCAGACCAGGTCTAGTGTAATGGACCCCCAAATAGCTACGACAAAGGTCTGCTGTCAATAGCTACACGCGGAAAGTTCGGTCCCTGTAATGCTGCTGCATTACTCTAGAAGGACAGTTTGAACATTGTGCTCTTTCCGATCGCGTTAACATCGCGTGGTAGTAGTGATTTTCTTCCTCTCTTGGTATCCGCTCGCAAAGGCTAATCATGATCTCTCTCATTCTTCACATACTAACTCCTCTGAGGCTGTAGGCAGACAGGAGCACGAGGCTACCAGCTGCCACCTATCACGTGAGCTTCCACATTTAAGAAACGTTCGCATGCCTTTGAAACTTTTGTTGTAGCAGTCTTTCAATTATTTCCCAGCGTCGCGTCCGTCTCCCCGGTGCGCACATCGTCCTTATCGATGCGCCTCAATATCCCGTTATGGTAAAGATTCATCGATGCGCTCCCTTGAAACTTGCCTTGGGACTGTTCCCGTGGTCTCTTGCATCAGATCTTTTCGCTCTCGGAGTTATTACGGTGGTCCAAGTTGTGCCCGAACACAAAGAGTTCCGTGTGCTCTCCAGAACAAGCCCACCCTCACCTGTCAGATAACCTTCGCAGGCGGCCGCATTCCGAGCATCACGGTTAGCTATATGTAGTCTTCTAAGGAAACTCAAGGGCTCGGAACTTTGTCCAGTAGGATAGGCCCCGCAACTCAGGAGCCTTTGGAGCACGAACTATTTCTGGTGCATTGTCGAAGTAGGGGATAAGCTCCTTTCTACTTACGGTAAACAAGCTCTTTCACAGCACTTGGCAAAATGGAAGATAGACACGGCCAAGTTTACTAGGCTACTAAACATGGAAGGTCATCATCGGCGTGAACTCTCCTAATAAGAATAATTAACTGCAGTCTTGCTTTCATTGCGACCAAAACAGTGATGCGGAGACGACGCTTTTTATCATATTTCTACCCCACTTTTTTATTATTACCCCACACGAGAAGACTCATCCGCGCTGAGATGCACGGTGCAACTGATCGGATGACAATGTCTCATTTTGTCATTGTTGTCAATCCCTAAGGAACGAAGATAGGAACCAAGGTAGGGCCATCGCAAGGAAAGATGTAGTAATATCTGATAGGTACGATCGGAACCGTAGTTAATTAACTTGACTTGTTCCAATCACGTCGACCGTCGCAAGGGCTGGTGTTGGTGTTTGGAGTGGGCTTTGATTGGAGTGGTGCTGAGGATGGGAATAACCCTCGATTCTTTTCAGTGATGTCTTGGTAGTGAGGAGCTGTGAGGAGCCTTTAGCTATATCGTTTGAGGCGATCCTTGATTCGAAAAGACAAATCCCATTTCTGTAGATCAAGAAAACCGCGACGTACCGCGACGCGAGAAGAATAACAATATCAGTTGACCACTTACCGAGCGGATTTAATCGGACGTGACTGCAGATAACTTATACGAAACCCGCTGACAGTGTTCTGCACAAGTTGGTGGGGGCATTTAAAATTCTTTAAAAACGGCGAAAACACATAAAATGAGATTCAGTATCCGATGGCGACACGGGTCTAAGAGAAGACTGCTTCGGGGCTAGTCAAAATGTTTGAGCACGGGGCAAAGGTCAATCAGAAACTTTCCTAATGAGTGGATACCATTCGTATTCAGTCTATTACTGTGAAAACCAGGTTGGATCTCATATGCTCGACGTCTGTTGTGAGAGATCTGCGTAGGAACGTTCATCTCTATCAGGATGGAGAAGCCAGTTTATGAGGCTTGTTATTTCTCTCGGAAAAAATCGACAAGACTCACACTCACGGTCATGAAGAGAATGCGAAAAGCAAATTGAGGGTGATGACCTTTTGGTACGGAGAGTGATGTACGAAATATCCCGATACACCCGGGGGTGCGAGAACCGCAACTTGGCCAGGAGAGGAAGGTTTGGTTGTTCAGGCCCGTGAAAATTCCGATGTGCTCCAAAGTCTCCTATACGAACAGACCCTAAGTTGGTAAGTTAGCAATCGCAGTCTCCTGACTTGTAGAGTTAAGATGTCGAGATAAAGAAAAGCTGAAGTTTCAATGATGGAGACCCCTCCAGATATGTTGCAAAACTGAATAGCCCTAGTTGAAGCCAGTAGCACGAGTGGAGATAGATCTTGCCGGCTGCGATAAGCTGCTCATACAAAATTCAAGTTGACACAGAGCAGGAACTGATTAACTTGGAGTATGTATATTCGCTCTCAGTTGCTTATAGCTATATTCGCGAGATAAGAAAATAACATGCGGGAGGACGAATGAAAGGAGGTGCAAACGACCAAATGGGCTGGAAAGTGGGGTTAGGGTCAATTATGACATAACGTAGCCCTGTCTTTTCTCAAGAGATATGCTTGTATGCTCTGAACCGCACTCCGATCGCAATTCAAGTGACTGAATATCATCGATGCCCTTTAAAAGGCCATCTCCAGCTCGTTCTGAATCTTCATCATCTGTGGAAGAACATCCTTCAAAGCGGCCAAGACTCAGCTCACCGACGGAAATAATCAGTAATGCATCAAATACCCGTCCTCTGAAAGTGTATATCGTACCCGCCAAGATCGATTCAAAGACGTTCTCGAGCCTCTGCCGTCTGACAGAACGAAGGGATGCTATATTAGAAAAAGTGTCACCCAAGAAAGATGGAAACGGTACCGAAGTGGATGTATGCGACTTTGATCTTGAACTTTCTGGGGACGTGCACGAGGCCGATGTAGTAGTGACCGCGGTGCATATGAAACAGCGATTGGAAAGACATGTAGACTGGGAACTTGCTGTGAGTAATCCCCATTTCCTCATGAGGAAAAGCCTCGTCCCTACCGTCTACCTGTGTGGAGGAATAGAAAAGCAAAGCTATCGTGACGCCTCAATGGCTCGAAGATTCGGTCAAGTACGGCAGACCTATGCCCTGTGGCGATTATGCAGCTTTGAACGTTCTCCATGATGAAACTGTACATGAATGTCCTGACAGACCATCTTGCAATTCTGGCAGTCCTGAACCCGGCCCAAGTCATACGTCCTCGCGATCACCGTCCACTTCGAAACAAATACCAGAGGATGCTCCACAGCCAGCTGATATAAGTTTACTGACGCATACATCGCGATATTGTTGTTGTCGTGCATCTCCTCTCGTCTGTCCCAACCAAGGGCTGATAAAGCAACTCGATAAAATCAAAGAGGCCAGGAATTTGGAGGGTGAGGAGAGAAGTATGCTAAGTTATGCCAGAGCAATTTCTGTCAGTCGTGACTTGCCGATCCTTGTCAAACCAATATCTGACTTATTTATACTTTTATCGAGGTAATAAAAGGTACTAATCACCTAGCGCTCCTCCTAGCTTTCTGATAGTCTTTCAGCATTTCCGCACGTCATCACGCACAGTAATTTGAAGCGAGAGATTTCCAAGCTCCCATATTTGGGTGAGAAACTCTTATCAATGGTAACTAATCTTAGCGGTGGTACTTGTCCCCAAGTGCTTAAATATTATCAATTCCTAGGTCGAGGAGTTCATAAAAACAGGTCAGATAAATGAAACTCGTAGGTACTGCGCCTAGTGCCTGCCAGAGGAGTTTATCATGCGTTTTCTATGTTGTAAACAGAAGGAATCCTCACTTCCTCTAGATTTCAAGCTCTTTCTGCATTTACGACCATTCATGGAATAGGTCCACACACTGCAAGAAAACTTTATAACCTTGGTCTGCGTACCCTAGAAGATTTGGAAAGATATTATGAAGTCGAACCTGGCAGATGCGGCCAGGAAACGCTAGCAGTCATTGAAGCGGCTGGCAGAGAGAGCGATGAAGCCATTGTCGAACGGTCTATCAAAGTAGCCTTGGCATTGCGCCACGATTTTAGCCAGACGTGAGTTACTTTCCACATGTTCTGCATATTCATTCCCTTTGGGGAATACCTTCCCATCACCCGGCATTTTTCAGTGTCTTGTTGCGTACAGAATTTTTCGAGCTTAGTTTTCTCAATGACAACGATTGTCAGGATACCTCGTGCGGAAGTGGAAGAAATGAACAGGGTAGTGATGAGCGAACTAGAACAAATAGAACAGGGCTGCAAGAGTATCGTTGTTGGAGGGTATGTGTATGCGATCCACGATGTTTAGCAAAACTGATCACCCCTCTATGCGCACTCTTCATTCAACTTTTGAACAATGGTTATAAAATGAATCTATCATTGGTACATAGATACCGACGGGGTAAGCCACAGAGCAATGACGTTGATATAGTTATATCACATCGAAATTGGGAAAGTGGTGCCGGAAAAATTAAAGGGCTTTGCAAAAGATTTGTGCGAAGATTACACGAGCGTGGTATGATGTCCCAATTGCCAGTGTTGCCTGTCATATGCTAATACGTTGCGTATTCCCTTCCATTTTCAAGGACTTGTCACCCATGTCATGCGTGAGCAACCTGACTATCTTGTGCACATATGAGGAGTGACGAATATGTGTGATAAATTGATATCACTAGACCTGTCTGGTTTTCATGAGCATAATGCACTCAGAACACATCATTGGGATTCGTTGGAGAAAGCTCTAACTGTTTTCGTGCTTCCCGGAGATGGCAGTCAAAGGCGCGTTTACAGACGTCTGGATCTGATATTTGCGGCTCCCCAGGTATTCTGGACGGCCGTGGTAGGCTGGTAAGCATACAATCGGTTATGTACTAGGGATTATGGGATCATCGATTGTAGGACGGGGTCCACCATGTTTCAACGGGACTTGCGACTATATGCGAAGCAACAGAAGTGAGTGTCCTTTACAGCGTTAGTAGGTAGGTAGTTATAAACTTTGCTTCTTCAGGGGCTTCAAATTTGACAGCTCGGGCATGTACGGAAGTTTCAATTACTTTTGCTCGACATTCTAACAACTTTGTATAGATCGCGGCGACACGATTCAAAACTTTTCTTCCCAAAAACTGAAAGGGAAGTGTTCGAGTTGTTGGGGTTAGTATACGTGCACCCCACCTTGCGCAATGCCGATATTTAACTCTTCGAAGCTAACTTTATAATTGATTATTTCTGTATCACTTTGTACCTTTGATTCTGCTTTATGTTACTTCATAGGCAGCATCATCCTGTGAATTATGTATATATGATTATCTTGAGTATCCCTGCAAAGCTAATTGGCAAAGGCTTGTATGCTGGTCAAAGCTTTGCCGAGGATGAGACCATGGATGTCCTGAAATTTAAAGAAATGTCAGCAAAAACATATTCGAATATACCAAGCGATGAAGGTGGACGAACGTGTGTTCCTATTAAAAATTCAAGTCAGCACGAGTGTGACTAGTATTTGGGGTATAAGTTACCTTCATATGTATTGGTTACTTGTAAGTTGGCCACATGGCGCCCAACGTGGTATCTAAAACCAAACAGTGAGAAAAAATAAGAACAAAACCTATACAGAGTATACATACTCATCTGAACACGCATTTCCACCCAGGATATCCAAGATAGTCCTAGCATGCTGTAGTGCCTTTCCACAATTGTTTCGCTTCACCATGCTGACCATCTCTGGGGCCAATTTCCCTGCATCCTTGAGCCTGCCTACCTGAAGACTCGCCTGGAGTCCCAAAGCAACTTCGCTTTGAGCGTCGACCAACTTCTTTTGAACAAGTTGGAAGGAAGCTAATGGTCGCTTGAATTGTTTGCGCTCAAGCGCATACGCCAGCGTCCAGTGGATACAGTCTTCCAGCGCTCCCATGACACCCCATGAAATACCATAACTACAATCATAGGATTAATATATAGAGAGAAATAGTTAAAATGTGGTGGGACTTTACCGTGCACTATTCAGACACGAGAAAGCGGCGCTAAGACCCTTAGCCTTGGGTAGTAGGGCATCATGAGTTACTTTGACGGAATCCATGAAAATCGAGCCGGTGATGGATGCTCTAAGTGCGACCTTGTTTTTAATGGCTGGTGCTTCAAGTCCTTTCATGCCCTATATCAAAAATTAGAACTTGTGCAAACAGGGTTACTAATGGCAAACCTTTTCGAGTATGAATCCTCTCACTTTCTCATCCCACTTGCAACGTGCCCAAATGATAAACACGTCACTAAGTATGAAGATATGAATTTCAGTATAAGAACAGAATGAATGCGGTATAGGCGTACGCGACTGGGGCATTTGATATCCAGGTCTTACTCCCGTTGATGATGAACCCACCGTCAGTCTCTTCAGCGGTTGTTTCCATTCCAGCAGGATCTGAGCCATGATTTGGCTCAGTGAGACCCTGTCATTGAAAGCATGATAAGTAATCGGTTGACGTGGGTATTTACGTTGACCTACGAAACAACCCACAAGCTCTCCTTTAGCTGTAGATCACATTTATCAGCCACAAGTAGATCAATCCTGAAAAGGCACAGACCAAGACGAGGTAGGTACTTCTCCTTCTGCAAGTCAGAGCCAAATTCGTTGATAGGATGCATGACAAGTGAAGATTGCACAGACGCTGTTGAACGATACCCAGAATCGACTCTTCATATATAGTCAGTAAGTCTCCAATATATATAGTAGTACTGTATAGTTACCGTTCAATCTCCCTAGCAATGAGACCGTACGAAACGTTGTTGACTCCAGCACAACCATAACCTTGAATTGTAGGCCCCAAAAGACCAAGTTTTCCCATTTCTGGTAGAATGTCATGATTGAACTCTATAATCGAATATCGTGAGCTGTGATGACTTTGCTACACCAAATAAACTCACGTTCGGTACGCCATCCTTCTAGAACACGAGGGAAAAGGTTTTCCTACTGAGACGAATTTGTAAATATTTTCATGATACGATTTAATGGTGGTTGTGAACGGTGTGTTCTCCACTGGCAGTTGAATCATGGAACGATGACTTGCCTGGCAATATTCACGTGCAGTATCGCTTGGAATGCAATAATTAGCTTCCAAGTGTGTCACAAACAGGCGCTCCTACGTACCGAATGGCAACCTCCTCCTCACTTAGCATGGATTCTAAGTTTAGCGGATCCTAGGTCGAGGCTCCTAATGTTAGCGCTGGAAAGATTATAAACAGATACAATGCTCACATCACTGTTATACTTGACGTAACCTGCAGTATGGATGAGTTCAAGATTGATATAGATGCACAGCAACAAAGCTTACCACTTCGTCCGACAGCTGAGGATGAGAACAGCGCTGGTTGGTTCGGATTTAGGTAGGACTTGGTACCGATACGGCGAGCGACACCGAGTCGTCGTGCAGAAGACAACAAAGACATATCTGACTGTTTTCTGTAACAAAAGCTAGACAAGCAATAGTTAGAAGGTGATACAATGCAAGTTCGAGTTGTGCGGAGGCAAGAGTTGACTCGGAGCTCGGAACTCAAGCTAGCCGGAACGGAACTACAACCTGAGGAAAGCATAAACTAGGGTTATGATTCAATACAATACTCAATTGCAGACTTCTTCCACTGGTTCATTGTCAAGAAAATTGCAGACCATGAGGCCATAATCGATGCATAATCATTCGTTATGAGAACAGTTAGGGCGAATGTAAATTGCCCTGTAACAGTATGCTAAAAACCACACACAAATCGCAGACAGTAAGTTAACGGGGATCGATAGCACCAAGAGAGTAATAATGGGGATGAACTCTAGAACCACTTCCCAAAAATCTTCCAGAATCGTTCCTTCTCCTCTGAGTCTGGTCGTGGACCCTCTGCCTTTGTCTCCTTCTTTTCCTCTACGTCCCCTTCCTTCCCTGCACCATCAAGTCTCGCGATGCTCGGTGTCGCAGTCTCGCTGTTAACCGCACTCTTTTGCGAGCGAACTCTGGAACGTTGTTTTTCTTCCCACTTACGGTTTTCCACCTGGTATTCTTCTTCTAAAGTGCGAAGGATAATAGCTTTATGGGCGTCGGCACGAGCTTTATCGCGGACTTGAGCCAATATACGCTCGCGGCGGGACTGTGGCGGTGATGCTGTTTTCTCATCAGATTTTTCTACAGCTTTAGCATTCCTGGCAGTAGAGGTACTCGGCTTCGGTTCGGACAATGGTTCCCATTCGAGTGGCAGTGGCTTGGCCTTCTTTACCCTGGAAGGACGTGCTCGTTGTGTCTGGGTGTCGGGCTGACTAGCTTCTGCGTCCATGGGCGTTTCAGAAGGTTCCGTGGTCGGTAAGTCAGCCTTCTCTGATGCTCGCACATCTGCAGCAGAGTCCTCAAGCTTATCGTCCTGTTCGGGCTTGGACGTATCCACAAAAGAAGGGTCTGGGCGCCCAGTGATCTGACTCCATTTGTTGAGTGCAATTCGCATGCTTGCGTTGTCAGGTTGACCAGATTGCTCTTCAGTCGGAGTACTGAATGGCGATGACGTATATAATGGTTTCAGAGGATGAAAACCTCCCCATTCCATGAATGCATGGCCAACAGCGAGTTTCTGATCCCTCCGCACATCCCTCTGGTATAATTCGCTCCTAAACGGCTCATCTTTTGCTGCACCAGGAAGTAAAACCTTCAGCATATGCAGCGTATGAATGCAAAATGTTATCGTACCTGCGCGCTCTACCTTGACCCTCAAAAACCTGGATGCTTCTGGTTCTTGAGCTTTGCTGTAGGAATCTTGGAAAGCCGGAGCACCCCGATCATTTTCAACCGTCCTAACTTGGGGTTCGAAAAGACCCTGCAAGTCTTCCAGCCCCTGCCCTCCTTCCTTCCTTGAATCCACTTCTGGCACCGGAATACGTAGGACTTCACCCGAAGAGGGTACAGAGTCAAATGATTTCGTCGAGGTGAAGCTGGCCCAAAGGATTGATTGATACATAGAACTTATCTCGGTATCCTGCGAGGGATGTACTTAGTGCCACCGTGCTAGTGGAAAGCATGATAATAATAAAGCCACGTACACGTAGAAAACGGTATTCTCGTAGTGGGCCATATCTACGTTCTATACCGCGAATGATAGAGTAGGCATCAGATAAACCTAATATTCCATCTACCGAGCGAACAAAAATCGTGTGGGTTGCATTACCACTGTCGTTTTCCACAGAAACATGGTCAATGTGCTTGGGAGTAAAAGTCCTTGACTTGCGAAAAGTACGCGGTGAGCGTGTCTGCGTTTCTTGCGCCGCACTTTGAGGTAGCTGGTCTAGTGTCGCATATGCTCGCCATGGTTGTAAACGACGAGCTCCTACTGTGCTGACGCTGGCCCGGGAAAGCATCCAAGAAGTATACCTAGTTCAGGAACTTTGAAAGTTGAACAAAATGTTCAAGTATATGGAAAAAAAAAACTGGGGTTAAGGTTTGTGGCTTTCCATAAATTTTCTGAGATGTCCACCTCGAACTCCAAGTTTGCTCCGTACCAAAATGCCCTCAAAGCGCTATCTGTTCGGACGGGCACGCCTTTGTCATCTTTGATTCTATCTTTTGCTATTATACATGAAGCAACGGCCATAGTTCCTCTTGTAGGCTTTTTCTACGGTGCCCGCACACTTGGAGTTGGGGAACAACTAGTCGATTCCTTGACCCACAATACTTCCGCGGCAGACAGCGCTCATCCTTCTGGATGGATAAGATACCGAATACATGGTTGGCTTGATGAAGGCGAGCAATGGGCGGGCAGAGTTGGGAGAAGATACGGTGTCTTTGGTTTCGAGAAGGGCCAGCCCGTTGGCGACGAACAGGGTTCTTCAGGTCAGCTATCAGGGAGGTTGGCTGGCGACGTAGCCAATGCCGTGCTTGCATATGGAATCACCAAGGTGAAACATGATTGCTTCCATGCGAAGTACCTGCGTTTGTAACTCATCATCTCGTTTCTACAGGCTTTGATCCCTCTACGCATTGGGCTGTCCTTGTATTTCTCTCCGGCATTTTCTCGGCGCGCTGTTGATCCAATCCGTGCCAACATTTCTCGACTCTTCAAATCCAAGGTGTAACTAAGGCTGCTATAAGACCTTGTCATACCATCGAATATCGTTGTTTTTTTTCAGGTCGAGGTACGTTGATTTCCATTTGCTTGTAATGATGATTTCGCTTGCCGCCCCAGTCGTAGCTATGGCTTTGACGAAAGGCAGAGCATACAGCCAAATTTTGCACTTCTGATCATCATCGTTCTGTTCTGGCTTCTCTCTAAGATTACTGACTGCTCTTTTAGACTGAATGTGTGACCGCAACTTGCATACATATGCGGACGTCGTAGTTAGGCTGGAAGGAAGCAAACTCAAAATCTGTTGATTTTTCATGTGTAAATGTGCTTGTACCACCTGTTCGGATATTAGTACGCTTGTTTTGCATACTGTTGTTGCCTTATAAGATTTCGTCAATATATTGATGATGGCTACTGTAGCTTCAAGGGTTCGTTATACTCGAATATAAAATTTTGATGTGCCTCTTGGGTGGCTTGTGGATGTCCGTCTACATTCGGTTGCAACAGTGATATGGTTCGCCTCGCTGCTGTACAATCCCGAGAACCTGCCCAACCTTAGATATCCCTTGCCAACCTAATTACTGATATGACAGTAGTCCAACCTTTGCGGCAACCGTGAGAATTTCACTACTTTACGATCGCACATACAGAATTGCTAAGTTTACCTTACAGTTCACCGAGTGCAGTTGCACTTATCACGCTTCGAGCCCATTTTCGACACATGATCATATTCACAGGCGAGAGCGAACCGGCTCATGTTATTATCCAACGGCAGCCAATCGCATAATCCTCACATGCTAGATTGTAGCACAACTAGTGTCATCAAATCATAGTGCGATGTGGCAAAAAGGCTCGACCCACATTAAGACCATTCTTCTTGATAATCTGCTGGGATGCTGATAGGACCGCTGGCAGGGATAGGAACAGGTGTGTGGTATTTCAGGTGTGAAATCAAGATCGCTATCCAACAATGTTTGGGCCACATTTTGAATAGCCTGTGCCAGTGATACGCTCATCATGAAACTAGGCCGATCACTTTGAAGTCTGCAAGAGATTTAGTGAAGAGTGCCAAGATGTACTAGCTCTGCGGTCTTGGTTGTGGATGGCTTATAGAAAGTTTGTGCGTCCATGTTTGAGCATGTGCATCACTGATGTACGTGTGGGTCTACCACAGCATACACGAATAACTAATCATGTCCAGGAACAGATACATCAGCGCATCGACAGTGGTCCATCGTGAAACGCCCACATAGAAGTGCGAGCTGCTGTTTCAAGCTGCGATAGATGAAACACACACTTGCGGCTCCCGAAAGCCCTATCATGATGTGAACGTTTGTGACCGAAAGTGCTGAACAGTATATAATGCCCTTCATCACATCTTGTATCCTCAGCCTTCTCTACTTCCTTTTTGTGGCTCAATAGGTACTGGCTAGTAAGTGACTCCTCTGCATATGCCGCTTCCGTCAGTCTCACCATCGATGCAGCCTTTGTTTTATTCGTTCTCAGACATTCGTTATCTCTTTTTGATTCCTTCCTTTTTCTTTTCGTGGCCTATCTCCCTAACATTTATAACTTAAATCAACATGGTACCGACCAGCATTTTGACCGTGGCAATGGCTGTCGCCGCTACTACTCTGTCAGTAGTCGCGGCTCCTATAAAGTGGGTTATTCTAATTTGTTTTGCGCGAGATAAACTTACTTATGTTTATCCTCATAGCGGTGACACATCGTCCGCGTTTTCGACGGGGGCTTTCAACAAGGTTACAGTAGGACAGGTTCCCTCAGTACCCGGTTCGCTCCCTCGTCCTTTCAAGTAAGTCATAGTTAGTATACGAAATACTTGATGCTAATTTTATATATCAGTTTAACTACATCCGAGGCCGATTCTATACGGAAGAGGGCAGGGCACACATCTACTTCGTCGCGTCTTGGCAGGCGTAAGCTCACTACGCCAAAGATATCGTCGGGTGACGTGGCGACGGGTATCACTGCTGGGTCTACATCGTCATCTAATACCGATTCCCGAAAGCAACGCGACGTCAACGAAGCTGCGCAACAAATCAGATCGCTCCTTGCAATCGCGAAATACGTGAATAGCGTTCAGAGACGTGACGAATCGGTGGCGGACAATAGCGATTTCTCACTTTCTGGACTCGAGCCTATCCTGAAAGGAGCAGGCGACTTCAATCTCTCGAGCATTTTCAGGAGAGACGACGATGGAACTGTGGCAGATAACAGCGATATTTCGCTGAGTGGACTCAAGCCTATCATAAAAGATGCGGGGTCGGTCCTTGGCGACTTGCCATCTTTCAATCTTTCCAGCATTTTCAGGAGAGACGATGGTGAAACGGTGGCAGATAACAGCGATATTTCGCTTAGTGGACTCAAGCCTATCTTGAAGGATGCGGGGTCGGTCCTTGGCGACTTGCCATCTTTCAATCTTTCCAGCATTTTCAGGAGAGACGACGATGGAACGGTGGCGGATAACAGCGATATTTCGCTTAGTGGACTCAAGCCTATCATAAAAGATGCGGGGTCGGTCCTTGGTGACTTGCCATCTTTCAATTTTTCCAGCATTTTCAGGAGAGACGACGATGGAACGGTGGCAGATAACAGCGATATTTCGCTCAGTGGACTCAAGCCTATCATAAAAGATGCGGGGTCGGTCCTTGGCGACTTGCCGTCTTTCAATCTGTCGAGCATTTTCAGGAGAGACGACGATGAAACGGTGGCAGATAACAGCGATATCTCGCTTAGTGGACTCAAGCCTATCCTGAAAGATGCGGGGTCAGTCCTTGGCGACTTGCCATCTTTCAATTTTTCCAGCATTTTCAGGAGAGACGACGATGAAACGGTGGCGGATAACAGCGATATCTCGCTTAGTGGACTCAAGCCTATCCTGAAAGATGCGGGGTCAGTCCTTGGCGACTTGCCGTCTTTCAATCTGTCGAGCATTTTCAGGAGAGACGACGATGAAACGGTGGCGTATAACAGCGACATTTCGCTCAGTGGACTCAAGCCTATCATAAAAGATGCGGGGTCGGTCCTTGGCGACTTGCCATCTTTCAATTTTTCCAGCATTTTCAGGAGAGACGACGATGAAACGGTGGCGTATAACAGCGACATTTCGCTCAGTGGACTCAAGCCTATCATAAAAGATGCGGGGTCGGTCCTTGGCGACTTGCCATCTTTCAATTTTTCCAGCATTTTCAGGAGAGACGACGATGAAACGGTGGCAGATAACAGCGATATCTCGCTTAGTGGACTCAAGCCTATCCTGAAAGATGCGGGGTCAGTCCTTGGCGACTTGCCATCTTTCAATTTTTCCAGCATTTTCAGGAGAGACGACGATGAAACGGTGGCGGATAACAGCGATATCTCGCTTAGTGGACTCAAGCCTATCCTGAAAGATGCGGGGTCAGTCCTTGGCGACTTGCCATCTTTCAATCTTTCCAGCATTTTCAGGAGAGACGATGGTGAAACGGTGGCGGATAACAGCGATATCTCGCTTAGTGGACTCAAACCCATCCTACAGGATGCTGGTTCTGTCATTGACGACTTACCATCTTTCAATCTCTCGAGCATTTTCAAGAGAGATAGTGAGCTGGTGTACTAGGCGGATGTCAGAGAGAAGTATGCGCTACTAGGTTATCTTTACGGTGTTGATGTTGTTGGTAACCTTGGAAAATCCTAATATGTAAAGATATCTGCAGGTAGCATCGACTCGCATTCCAAATTTTCTAAAATGTCAGTATGGGATTGAGACCAGTACATGTAGTTTAGTAAATGGGAGGCATTGGTTGTGAAATATGGAGTTGCGAAGTAACACCACAAATATTTCGTTAATGCCTGAAGCTGAACAGAGTCAAAATCTGAAGGGACCACCGGGAGTCTTTTCGGAGACTACCGATGTAGTTATAAACACAGCGGCGCCAACCTGATCTCCTCCGGTATAAGTCTCCTTAGTGCACCATCTCAGCTTCCTTTACTTTACACTTGCACAATATCTTCGGTGGGGGGCTGGGACCTACAACAACGTCGCAATTCATCAAGTAGGATCATCAGTGCCCTCTAAAAACTCTAGGCCCTATGGATAATGACTAAACTACACCTCAAGCGCACTCCTGCAGAAGAAGCAGAGCGAGCACGACGGAAAGCCCGAAAAGCTGCACGAAGGGCCCATAAATCGCACACTGTGAGCGACGACCACGACTCAGACTCTCGTCATGGCTCTTCTGACCGTAAACGTCGTCGGACGCCTGTCAACGTAGACGACGACGACAGCGACGTTTCATATGGCCCTCCACCTCCAGAACCTTCGTCATCCGCACACAAACCTGACTACGACGAGATACGTGCACAAGTGGAGGAGGAACGGTTTAGAGAGAAGATGTGGGGTGCATATGGAGACGATGAGCGTTTGGATTCTGTAGAAGCGAGGTTCAACGACTATGCACATGTCCCTCATCGCTGGAGAGCAGGCGGGACATATGATGGCTATCCAAATAATGAGCCCGCGACAGACCCAAAATTCATGGATGACGACGAGTATGCAGAGTGGATAAGAGAGGGAATGTGGAGGTAAGTTTTCATTTCCACAGAATGCTTCTGGAGCTCTAGCTCATGTAACGTACAGGAAAACTCATGCCCATGAATTCGAAGAGCAGGCTCGCAAAGAAAGCGAAAGAGTTGCTCGACGTGCTCGCGATGCAGAACTGAAAGCAGAGACGAAGCGACTTGAAAAAGCTGCAGAGGAAGCAAGGAGACGGAAGAAGCGGGACAAAGACAGACGGAAAAATCGCGAATATAGACTGGAATATGATCGGCGGTGGAAAGTGTTGTTGGAAGGAAATGAATCGTTGGTGTTCGAGGATATACCCTGGCCGTCATTCTCTGTCCGACTACCTGCTGAAAGCAAGTCTCGGGCGAGTGCAGTGATATCTGTGGAAGGCCTGACAGCACAGGAAATATCCGCCTTTCTTATACCTGTCTCGACGACAGCTGCTCTGGCACGGGAGGTTGGAGTGGGTTTGCCTCCAGACGAGCGGGAGCGTAAGGAGAGGAAGGAGAAACTTAGAGAGACAATGCTTCGATTCCACCCAGATAAATTCGAAGGACGGATATTGAGTCGAGTTAGAGAGAAAGATAAGGTCATTGTGAAGGAAGCTGCCGAGGAAGTTGCGAGAGTTCTTACAACGCTAATGGGGGGCTAGATATCGTGGTCAGCCGCAGACGAGAGCTAGCATGGGTAATAACCAATATTTTCTACAGTATATCGCCTGGCGCAAATTCAAGGAGCTGCTGGCAAACGCGTCCCTGTAGTTTACCATAGAATTCGGTAATCCTGCCGCACACAATCAGCAGGCTCCATTCGATCGACAGACGCTCGCAGAAAATGAAGTTTGTTTTTAATCCTACTGTTAGGTATTAGACAAATTTTCTCGGTGTAGAGGACAGCAGTCACCCTTACGAGCAGATTGATCACGAAGGGAAGTTTTCAGCTTTGTAGAATCAGCTTCACGATATCCAACATGCCGGAGGGTGTCTCATCCTTAAAAACGTCGGTGCTTTTCAAACAGGAAGCGGAATATCAATCACAACCAGATAGTTTTAAACAAGACTTATTTGAAACCAAATTCTGGGAGATCCGACTTACTAGACTACTGACCATCATGATTCTCGGTGATTCAAGTCACTTTATAATGCGAAAATGTGGTTGATTTTTCCACCAGCAACAACCACACGATACACAAAAGATGACGGAGACAGTATTCAACAAAGGTGTTAAGATAAGACGGCATCCATGATACTTCAAGCATATTTGAGTACAGACTTCATCTGAAAGGTACAGTAGTCAGAGGCCAACAACAATAGAATGACCAAGTAAGCAGACACACGTATTTGATGATAGCCATCAAGGTGGCCATATAAACATCATGACAGGCAATGATCCCTTCAATGGATTGGAGAATGGCAGAAATGGTGTCCGGCACGAGCGGCTTAAAGGGGCTGCCACTTTCTGGGTTGTCAGGGATTTCCAATGAGTTTTCTTGGATCAACAACACCGACGTCGAGCGGAGCAGTGACAGCATATATGTATGCAGTGTCTTCTACAAGGCCATTAGTGACCCGTCGAGGATCGATGAGGGATTGAGTGGGGATAGACAGATTTCTTGCGGAGGATGCTGAGTTGGTCAAGAACGTCTTTAAGCATCCATTTAGGTGTATCACAGAGGCACCAGCAGCACTCGGCTCTTTGAGGGGAAAAAATGGTGCAGCAAATACGAAAGCACCTAATGCAAGTGTGCAGAAGACGGAGGGAGCTGAAAGGAAATATTGTAGGAAGAGCATTGGCTCTCTAGAAAGGTGGACTGCCGCACTGAAAGAAATACGACCATGCGACTATAGAGGTTACCCAGAAAATTCACGATTTATAGCTGATGCTGAGTATATATATTGTCTGTTGTTGTCACATTTAAGAGGTGCTGAGACCCAGACCCGTAGGTAATCTGAATCGGACCTAAATTTCACATTGTTTGCCTTTTATTATTGCGTAGCCAACAGTGAATGGTGTGTCGATTAACATTGGATAGGTTAATTATCCGGGAGGGGGTATTATTGGTAGCGCGCATCCCCGACAAGAAGGTAGATGGTCCAAAATCTGAGCTTGTGCATCAGGTGGATATATGTTCTGCTGAATTTTTCCTCGTTAAGAGAGTCTTGACGCTTTTGATAGCATTTTCTCTCGCAGTAATAAGCCTCCTTGCTTTTGCGAGATCCACGTCTTTCTGCATTGCAGAATAATCAGGTTTAATCGCCTTCTTAATCTCCGCTATGCGCGCGCTTTTCAAAGTATCGAGAGACGATTCTTGGGGTGATGAAAACGGAATGGTATCTGTACTTGTGGAAGAAATCGAGTTCAGTTCGCTGCGCAGATCAGCGAGTAGGTCATCAAGTGTGGTAAGCGTAGATATGCATTCTTCCATTTCTTCTAGCCGCTTGAAGGTACGAGATACTTCGCGAACACATGTTTCGATATGCGTAAATCGAGCGGGACCAAGCATGGTCCCTCCGTACCTATTAAGGGGACATGGCATCATAATGAGGTGCTAATATTACCGTTTGAAAAGAATGCTTACCATCGGCTAACAATTACAACAGCGTCGATAAGCCCTTCTGAATGCATAGTTTTGAGGACTTTGTTGCCGCCCCATTGCTCCCCGTCGTCATCGCTTCCGACTTTCAGCTCGAAATCATCTGGGCCTTCCAATCCCGTTTTACCATGCTTTAAGACCATGCACCTCCATGCAGATATTTCATATGCGGGTTTATCAGCGTGCATAACGAGCTTCTGGTGGCGGACAGCAGCTCGAGCTTCCTCTGGTGAAGTGGCACGGTAGACATTGCCTACGAAGATGGAACCCCGGTCACGAAGTTCTTGGGAAGTAGCAACAGCTTTTGGTGGTGGTCGAGACGACTGTACAAATGAGTCCAGATTTGACATTATCTTCGCAGCTCTTGTCTGGGTACCTTGTGTAATTTGAGGACGTTTAGCGTCCTTAGTGGATATCAGTCTAGTTTGTGCTGTTTACTTGTTACCAGCTTAGCTTTACAAGCTTACAGAAATTGAAGAATGCGCACTGCGGTAGCATGCACACCTTGCGGTAGCCTATGATAGTAAGCGATGAAGCATGTTTGGTAGAGATTTTCCTGTCTGAGTTACAGTTACTACGGTTAACCGCGGCAAAGCCTTAGTGCTGACGCTGAGAAAGAAATATCCCTGGCACCGTCCGCGGCGGATACCGTCGTTCAACGTTCAAGTTTCATAATGAATATCGTCGTACACCGTTGGACAGACGAGCATTGCGGATTCATACTACACCAACTGATTGTCTCGTCGTAATATCACCCAGACTATAACTACATCCCCTCGGGTGGGGCTCTTGTTGCAGATTTATGGATTCAACTGACATGACGCGGGCCCTCGCCGCATCTCTCCGAGTCGAAGACAGGGACGCCTGTTATCGCAGCAGCACAGGTACGCAGCGGCTTTTCCATCACACACAAAAACTACCTAATTGGACAGTTATTCATACCTTTCTACCCATGTCAAAGTCACCGAGCATCACGGTTCGGTTCCAATGAGCATCAATCCTCGAGCAATACAGTCTCCTGTGCTTGAAGACATGCTGTCCACACCGCGACATCATGATTCGTCCATCACAGTTGTAGTTACATCCTAACAACTACCAAATATATAGGTCCATTTCAGGTGTCTGTCTTATTCCTCGTAAAGACGACCCAGTTAAACACTTTCTCGCGCGATTACTTTCTACACATTTCGTGGAACTCAAGCTCTCTAACGATGAGTTCTAACACATCGCAAGTTTCTCTGATTCTTCGTATAGCACCCTGCTTATTCGGCATATAGCTCGCATTATCCTCATATAGATCCGCATCAGTAAGGTTACCCACTGGTATTGTGATTGTTTATCTGACAAATAGTCACAATTTCCAGGTCTGAGTTCTTTGTAGATCTATATTCATAGCATCATTGTGGTTAGTTGTCTGATATGTGCCATCAAGGTCATTGGGTACATGTTAGGTTTCGTGTCCTTTGGTATTCTGATCATGCAATGCTGTGAGTATTAAATTGAATGGTTCCCGGATACACGTCCATAATCAATGTCGCAGTCATCTACTATACCAGGTTCACGAATGATTTATGGTGGTTAAAGTTATTCGGTGAGGAATTGTATTAATCTCTATTACAAGCCTATCAATGCTAAATCATGCTTGACTTCTTTAAGTATGGTGTATCGCTTTCTTGGAGTGTTTGAGTTTTGCTTTCACAGTATACCAATTCTGGCTGGGCGCATCGTTGGAATGTCTTGCTTGTGTGGTGGCTGTGAACGAAGTAACATGGCCCATGGGAGTACTTATTATTCTGGCAGGACTAAGTATGCTCTTCATATGGATATAGGAATATTCATTAACGTATTACAGTCGCCTCTTTGGTTCACACTTTTTATTGCTGGAGGATCTGGATCATGGCTAAGTCTCTTGTCGTGCCGTGTGTGGCAATGTTGGTATGTTACACTAACCGTTCAATCTTACGCTAATAGTTTTTAACTTCTATACTGATGTCTTGTGACACAGTTGTCACTCGTGCAGTTTTCGTTTGCTGTAGTTGAAGGGTTGACTGTGAGTGGCGAATGCCTTTTTTATTTTAGTTCTTGTTGGCTGATGCGCTTCTTAATAACAATGCTATAGCTTATCCATCCAGGGGGGCAGGATGTTGGACTTACTATTGCGCACGCTATAAGTAGTGTATATTGATTCCAGCAATCGCTAGAAACTCCGTCGATGCTGACCTCATTTATATCAGACCTGGGTGATAGGTAGTTGCCTTTGTGATATTATCATCACTATTCACACCATAAGACTGGTCCGTGACCATTTCCCCTTGTTGTTCCAGTCATCTAATATGGGAGCTGCAGCTTCTAAAGAAGAAATCGGGCACAAAATTCAAAAGGACTCAGTTTCTCGTCGTGAAATTGGTGAAATTGACCATTGAAACAGGAATGGTCACTGTTGCAGTGACCTTGATAGCAGCAGTGTTCTTATTCGTGAACTTCTGGTCTTATTATTCAATGTACGTTTTAACTCCACTGCATAAGTCATTGTTACTGACATGGAATTGTCAGCTTTACTTTTCTGTCGGCATTGTACTCTTGATTTCCATGTTGCATGTATTTATGCTCATACTTTTCTGTCAGATATGCCAATTGCCTTTTGGCTTCTTTGAATGCTCGTATCCTTATCCAAAATTCGTCTAATCACTGTCAAGTATCAACATTACTTTTTGATGGTCATGGTGGCGAAATTGAGGGCTCCAATGATAACGACTTAAATGCTACGCCTAGGCCTTTCCATAATCCAGAAATATTACCTTTACACCGCCAAAGTGCCATGCCCTTAGAGAGAGTTTTGTCATCAGACATTCGTATAGGAGGATCCGAGGTGAAAATGCATGCAGCACTTGGAGCTTCCTCAACTTTTGACACATTTGTACAGGTTGTGGATGATCGCTCGAAGGATAATATTCCGACTATCATATCCCTTCCTCCCATCCATCATGATGCCCGCCAGTGGGAAATGACAAGCTTGCCCTGGGTAGATCGATAAATAAGGATGTAAAACTGAAACCCCCCGATGAAAATGGTTGTGTATCTGGTGAGTTTGATAACATACATTATTACTCGTGTCCTAATGTCAACGTCGTTGATCATGCCAGCGGGAATTCTGTACATCCCTTATGATTTGTGCATGTTTTCATCCATGATTGCTCCAAAGCTTCGCCATCTTCTACAGTTTATGTTATCTAATATCAGAATCATTGCTCGGAGATCCAAGTCTGTCGTGCGCTTGGTGCTGACGCTGAAAATAACGTAACTCTGGCAGATACCTCGCATAGCCTTGTGTCTCTCTGGCCGACTTAAATGACCAGTGATTCAACCTTTCATACCCATACTAAGGCCGAGCATCGGTTGCAGTCATCGATCTTTCAAACCCATCCCTTATGCTCATGTAGGTCAGTGACCGAAGTCATGTTGTCCACATCATCATCATGAGATTTGGAGTGCGAACAAAAGACATCTGATGATCACGTTGGTGATTCGATTGTTGTGGCTATTTTCAAACCTAGCGTCTAGGGATAAGATAAGTACGTTTCAGTGTGTTTTTTTTCCCCCTCATAACTACGACCTGTTTACATTCCTTTTTGCTCACTCCTACACATTTCGTGGAACATGAGCTTTCTGACGATGGGTCCCATCGACACATAGTAAGTCTTTCTCAACGTTTTTCATAAAATAACGTGCTTAATCGTATATAGTGTTCGTTATCCAAATGTTTTCTTTAACGAGTGAGCTTGACATTGGTAGTCGCGGTGTGGTATTCATCTGACAAACGGTTGCGATGTACAGTGGCGGGCCCGGGTCCGGGTTCTTTGTAAATACATCTTCATATCATTCCGAACTATTATCTGATTCAAGTTATCAAGGTCATGGGGTACATGTTCAGTTTTGTGCTCTTCGGTATTCTGGTCATGCAGTGTTGTGAGTGTCATTTTGAATGGTTGTCTGGATATACTTCCATAACTTCTGTTATTAGTCATCTACCACACCAGATTCCAGAATGATTCGTGGTGGTTAAAGTTATTTGGTGAGGAGTCCTACAAGCCTATCAATGTTGAGTTGTGCTTGACTTCTTTAAGTGTGGTGTGTTGCTTTCTTGGAGTGCTTGAGTTTTGCTTTCACAGTATACGAATTCTGGCTAAGCGCATCTTGGGGATGTCTTGCCTGCACAGCATGGCCTATGGGAGTGCTCATCATTTTGGCAGGATTAAGTATGCATTTCAAGTAGACTTGATAATTATTTATCAATAACGTATTGCAGTCGCTTCCTTAGTTCATACCTTTTATTGCTGGAGAATCTGGATCATAGCACAATCTATTATCATGCCGTGTGCCGTGATGTTGGTAAGTAACTGTAACAGTTTGCTCTTCATAAGCTCTTCACTGATGCCTTGACACAGGTGTCACTCACGCAGTGTGTATTTGCCATATTTGAAGGATCATTTGTGAGTGGCAAGAGGATACTTGTTCCTTGATGTGTTTCTGAATAGCAAAGTTTTAGCTCATATGGCCCACGGGTGGACTATCCCTTAGCTTTAATATTCTCAGTATCATAAGCCGCGTATGCTGATTCCTACAATTATCATAACACTTCGTTGGCGCTGATCTGTGTGAAATCCAGACTTGGGTGGTATTAAGTTGCCTTTGTGATATCGTTATCACTATTCACACCATAAGGCTGGTCCGTGACCATTTCTCTATGTTGTTTCGGTCATCTGATATAGGAGCTGTAGCTTGTAAGGAAGAAATCGGGCACGAAATTCAAAAGGACTCAGTTTCTCGTCGTGAAATTGGTGAGACTGACCATCGAAACAGGAATGATCACTGTTGTTGCGACCTTCATAACAATAGCGTACCTATTCTTCGTCGCCTCGTGGGCTTATTTTTCAATGTACGTTTTAACTTAACTGCACAAGTGCTTGTTCCTGACATGGAATTGTCAGGTTTACTTTCCTGTCAACGCTGTAGTCTTGATTTCCATCTTATATGTTTTTCTGCTCATTTTATTTTTATCAGCTACGCAAATTGTCTATTGGCTACTTTGAATGCTCGAATTTTCATCCAGAATTCATCCCAGCATTATCAGTTATCAACAGCACTTTTCGACGGTAATGACGGAGAACTTGAGGGCGTCAATGGCAATAACGTGAATGCTACGCTTTGGCCCCGCCATAATTCAGAAATATCGCTTTGTCACCGCCAGAATGCCGTGTCTTTGGGGAGAGTTCCGTCACTAGGCGCTTGTATACCGGGACCACCACAGGTGAAATGTATGCCACACTCAAGAGCATCTTTAGCTCATGACTCTTCGCGCAGGTCGGCGATGAATGCTCAGAGGATAGTATTCCGACTATCATATCCCTTCCACCCATCCATCGTGATGCCCGCCAGTGGGAAATGACAAGTATGCCTTGGGTAGATCGATCATAGGAATGTAAGGTTGAAAGACCCCCTATGAAAATGATTATGTATCCGGTGAGTTCGATAACATACATCCGCATTTATGTCAGTATCTACGTCGTGGATCATTATAGTATTATGCCACCGAAAGCTTTATCATCCCCTTGTGAATTGCGTGCCTTCATCCTTGATGTTCCAAAGCTTAGTATTTATAATCTACAGCTTTAGTGCTCAAATGCCGTGCGAATAGATCGAGCTTAACCTAGGAGGGAGGTCGGCTTTGAGAGCACCAGTCACCATGCCCTGATTCTTACTAGTATCCAAACTCTTTTTGTACCATATCAATTGTGTTAGTGTCGACAAAGCTTCCAGTGTTCACCGCGCTATGGAACTCAATGAACGCCAGCATGGCAGGCCAGAAGCACAATTGTTTCACTGCTCGGCATATACATGGATTACAAAGAACATTGGCTAATTCACACTACTGACAAATACAACTGATATATGACGACGATAGAAGGTCCAACAAAGACTCTCAGTTACCACCACGAAGACGAAGTACTATAAGAAGCAATAGATTGAGCAATCATACGAAGCAAAGCACATAAGAAAGTCGAACTCACCCAAATGAAGAGTGGACTCCTTCTGGATGTTGTAATCAGAAAGCGTGCGACCATCCTCCAACTGTTTACCAGCGAATATCAATCGCTGCTGGTCGGGGGGAATACCCTCCTTATCTTGGATCTTGGCCTTCACATTGTCAATTGTGTCAGACGATTCAACCTCCAGTGTGATCGTCTTCCCTGTCAACGTCTTGACAAAAATTTGCATACCACCGCGAAGACGTAGAACAAGGTGAAGAGTAGACTCCTTCTGAATGTTATAATCGGAGAGAGTACGGCCGTCCTCCAGTTGCTTTCCCGCAAATATCAATCGCTGTTGATCGGGTGGGATCCCCTCCTTGTCTTGAATCTTAGCCTTGACATTGTCAATGGTGTCGGAAGATTCGACCTCAAGAGTAATCGTCTTTCCAGTTAAGGTCTTCACGAAAATCTGCATACCACCGCGTAAGCGAAGAACTGTCATATCAACGGTTATCTCTCGCTTAGAATAAATTCAAAGAAAGGTGATTTACCAAGATGGAGAGTAGACTCCTTCTGGATATTATAATCGGACAGCGTTCGTCCATCTTCCAACTGCTTCCCAGCGAAGATTAATCTTTGCTGATCCGGAGGGATTCCTTCCTTGTCCTGAATCTTCGCCTTGACATTATCAATGGTGTCAGAAGACTCGACCTCGAGAGTAATCGTCTTTCCGGTCAACGTTTTCACAAAGATCTGCATGCCACCACGTAAACGAAGGACTGGTAGATTTTATGTGGTGAGCCACCTTCTGTAAAACACCTCATATATGGCTAAGACTTACCGAGATGGAGAGTGGACTCTTTCTGGATATTATAGTCCGACAGCGTGCGGCCATCTTCCAATTGCTTCCCAGCGAAAATCAGACGTTGCTGATCAGGAGGAATCCCCTCCTTGTCCTGGATCTTGGCCTTGACATTATCAATTGTGTCAGAAGACTCCACCTCAAGAGTAATGGTCTTCCCAGTCAATGTTTTGACAAAGATCTGCATGCCACCACGCAAACGAAGAACTATCATATGAATAGCTTCAGCGCTGGCGACAAAAAGTGCCACAGAAGTGGAACATACCGAGGTGGAGAGTAGACTCCTTCTGAATGTTATAATCTGAGAGTGTACGTCCATCTTCCAACTGTTTTCCGGCGAAAATAAGGCGTTGCTGATCAGGAGGAATCCCTTCCTTATCTTGGATCTTGGCCTTGACGTTATCGATAGTGTCGGAGGACTCGACTTCAAGAGTGATGGTCTTGCCGGTAAGGGTTTTTACAAAGATCTGCATGCTACTCGCCACAGTAAATGAGAAAAAGGATTTGTTATATGCTATAATCGAGCTACTTACATAATAGAAATTCGCTCGGGGGATGTATGTGGGGTAGAAGGAAAGGCGTTGTAACGACACTAAGAGATAACAACAGTGTTTATACGTGGGGCCATCGGGGTTTTAATTGTGTAAGGCTATGACTCAGCCTCGGAGCGCTGACTCGGAAATTTAGGACGAGTAGAGACTCGGACAAGCAATGCCGCTTTCTTCCACAACGGCAAAGATTATGAGAGCTCGGATGGTTCACTAGACGATACCAAGCTTGTGTTATTTGTGTTCGTCGGACAGCCGCTATAAAATCTGGAACTTGATTCATCATCATGACAGCTAGCTGACGGGCCCATAGAGATCTAATAGCAATGCTATGTATGCTATGAGTCTCAATTATAAAACTCTGCATCACTCTTAGAACACAGAGGAATTTTTTCTTGGCCCATCTGATTCTATTCATGAGCTCAATCGATCCGTACTAGTAAGTCATTTCTATCATATTAACGAATTAAACGGCATACTCAATCGTTATTGTAGCTATCGGTAAGCTGCCGTCTTAGCGTAGCTTGTCCAGTTTTTTTAACAGAAGCTTGCTATAGGAATGCTGACAGGCAGATGGTACAGTCTTTATGTGGAACCATATTTTATGTTGCTAATAAAAAATATCACGAGTATAGGTTTTGGGATATATATTCACATTTATGTCAGTTGGTGTTCTTATGTTGCAGATGTGTGGGTATTATCGTATAATTTGATATAACTTCGCACCCTTATACTCTGACATAGTCATCTATCATACTAGCTTCAATAGTGATTCCAAATGGCTCAAATCCTTCGGTGGGTGGATTGTGTAAAATTAAGTATCTAGCACCAGCTAATAAACCACAGTCTGGCTTGTTTTCTTATTCGTGTGCTCAAGCTGTGCACTTACAGCATACGAGTTCTGGCTTGGGGCTTCGATACAATGTCTCTCTTGCTCGGTCATTGGATTCAATGTGAATAATCTCGCTGAACCTTCGCCGCCTATGTGGCCATTCACAACCCTCTTCGCATTAGCTGGCTTAAGTATGTATTTTTCCTATATAGTCTGAACAGCTCATCAAGTCCGTCTAGTACCTATGATGGTCCATGCTTTCTATTGCTGGAGAATATGGGTAATAGGTCGTTCTCTCACGCTCCCGATTGTGATCATGCTGGTAGGTGTAGGTTTCCGTGGTCTTCTCCCTTACGCATAAGGTTATATGTTTTATAGGTATCATCCGGACAATTTGGGCTTGCTATTACAGAGGGCCAATCAGTGAGTAAATATCTAAAATACGAGTTTTCATTTTGATTGGATTCCTCATAGTTTATCGGAAATTCGCTCGCAGATATTATGAACGTGAGCGTTGGAGGTGACAAACGCTCATATTTTGTAAGCAATTTTCCTACTTGCGACTAGCTGTCAGTTCACACAATATATAGACATGGGTGATAGGAAGCTGTCTGTGTGATATCATGATTGCTATTCAAACCACACGACTCGTAAGTTGGCTTGTTGTGTCTATCCTTCATTTCCTCATCCGTATTCAGCTTTTTCGCAACAAATCGGGTACAAATTTCAAGAAGACTAGATCCCTTGTTGTAAAATTGGTAAAGCTGACAATAGACAGGAACAATTACGGTCATCGCAACTGCATTGGAAACAGTGTTCTTATCGGTTTCTTCTGGATCTTTCCTGTACATTTCAATGTATGGCGCCATCAAACTAATATATTGACGGTTGCTGACCCAAGGCTTATAGGCTCTTCCGTTTGTCCACGCTGTAGCTATCACATTTTCTTGTTGTTTATCTTTTTTTAAACCGTTTCGTCCTTTCAGCTATGCTAATTGTCTCCTTGTCAACCTAAATGCTCGTATCCTCATACGAGATTCACATCAAGAATATCATTGTTCAACGGCACTATTCGAAGGCAATGAAGGCAGTGCCTCGCTTCGGAGAGACACAGAGGAGCAACTTCCACGAAGACGGACTATAATAGAGATGAGGAGGACTCATTCATCGCAGAGCATCTCTTCTGCGGAGTCATTGACTGTAAGTAAATCTGATGTTACTCTATGTTCCTGGTTTATAAAGAAGTATCTCAGGGCGAAGCTAACCCTTCAGGCGATGTGGTAGTTGGGCTAAAGCCCATTTTTCCAACTCATCGAGCTGCGCGTCAGTGGGATTTGCCGGTTATCGAGTCCTAGTAAAGGAAGATCGCTTCGACTCGCTATTTTACTAGTATTTTCTTCGGTTGACTTCAGGCGCAATCCAGCTAAATCGTGTCATCAAAAAAAATCGAGGATATCATGCAGACTTCACATAATGTTATCCCAGCGCCTTTCGTATGTCATACGCAAACCTACGGTGGGGGCTGTTGTGACAGGAAACCGCACGTTCGAGCATAAATGTATTTTGTTCCCGTTGCTTCTACTCGATGTGACGCTAGTGCCGTACTATTATCTCGATCGCCACTCTACTCACTAGAATTCAAAACGTTCTCCATCTCTCTACAATACATGCTGTACCAAGGAAAAATCAAGAATATACATATAAGTTCTTCTTCATTCCCATCTTGCACTCAATCCCAGTTCTTCTATCACCACCCATTCTATATGTTTACCTTGAGCTTAGGAAATCTGTACATCAGGTACTGATTGAAGCTTCCAGGACTCAGGAACTTATAATTATATTGTCTCCGTCGGCCTTCCCAATTCGACGCCCCCCCTGGAACGACGTTTAAGTTATTCCCTACACGCATGTCCACTTCGCTACTCCCTACAGACTGGAGCGCTCTCCCTACAAATCTGCCTGTGCCTCAAGACGATGGCCTCGCGGACCATCTCCCATCGACAGATATCCCACTAAACATTATCTTATCCTCAACAATGGGCACGTCTATCGATCTACACGCTCTTTCTCTCGAACGCCCTATATTGTTGTTCATCTACCCGCGCACTGGACAACCTGGGGTTCCGAATCCAGATGGATGGGATGAAATCCCTGGAGCAAGAGGATGCACACCTGTAAGTTATCGCATACTTATTCTCTAAATTACCATCCCACAAATAGGATATCTGTATACTGCTTGTTTTACCCATACATTTATTAACCACACAAGCGCTCATGGATTTCCCTGCTAATATGATTTAATATACAGGAACTGTGTGTAGTCCGGGATTCGGTGGCCACTCTCTTATCTCTTATACCCACCATTGCCATCTTCGGGATGAGTACCCAGTCGACGCCATACCAATCCGAGGTTGCAGAGCGCTTGCATCTTCCCTACCCAATCTTAAGCGATTCTTCGCTCTTAATCACCAATGCGTTGAAGCTTCCTACCTTTGAGGCGAATGGAGAAGTGCTACTGAAGAGGATAACGATTCTGATCGAGAATGCGAAGATATCAAAAGTCGATTACCCTGTTTTCCCATCAGATCAGGCTGCTAAGAGGGCAGAGGAAATGTTGAGTTCTTAACGCTTCAGCCAAACTGTAGTTTAAGAACGCTGAACAATGTTGTAGTCGTCACATCGAGACCCCAATCTGCATCTTTCATAATAAAAATACAACCACTAATAAGGTTTCTCCTACAATATTCGCTGGAGTTACAGCACCAACCTCGCAAGACCATTGGATCAACACTCATAATCTCATATGGCGACTTCTTTATCCCCGATGACGTCTCCCTCTACCCGCAAGCCGTCCAAGATACGCTCTAATCCACGATTTCCTCCCAAGCGAGCCACCTCTAGGCGTACCTGGAAGTAAAGTGAAAACATCACTTGTAAGCATATTGTTGATAATCAGACAGCTCAGTATGGAAAGAGATGAAAGGTCATGACAGCAAAAATAACAGGCCGAGTCGTTACTTGCCTGCTTTTCAAGTGTACGAAGCACTCCCAAGGTGTAATCGAACGAACGTGTGTGGCTACGCAAGTAACCTATTGTATGATGCTTCAATGTCGGCGTCGAGGGTCGTTTTTGCAGCACGTCTATTATACATGTCGCAAGAATGGACGTCGAAGGTTCTGTGAATGGCATTGACTACGATATAAGAGATGACGCACTCAACACTTGTCGATTTGACTGGTCTGCCCGTACACCATGTACAATGGGAAATGAAAACTTTCCCTCGGTAAGATCTTCAGCGAATCCTTTATTATTCGTATACTATGCAGCACGGATGAAAGTCAGTAAAGGCATACCTGCGATCCCAAGAGAATGATATCAACACGACGCACTAACCTCTGTACTTTGTAGATTCATATAATCATCACGTATCTGGAAGTATATACCGAATAGATTGACGAGTGGAACATAGTCACTGTTATCAGAGCGACTTCATATTCCAAACTTTGCGTTATAATGGAATTTCCAGAACACGTACACGTCGACATTGATGGTTGCACATGCCATCATCAGCTTTATCGCAATCCTAAATAGACCTCCCGTTTCTGTCGCCTCATCTCAGCTAACTTATCACACACCTTTAATACAGAACTAGGGCTCAACTATTATTCACCATGGCAATATACTCCTCTTCTGTCGGGCACTGCAGAGAATCACGCCACAATATTTCGAGTCCTTGGCCTCTATGAAGAGAGAGTAACTCATCCGTCACAATACGGTCAAGGTTGTCTGGGACCAGGCGTCCGGTATCAGCGCTAGCGGACGAATCTGCCACGGGTCCTCTGAGAGAAAAGAGTTCCTTGTAAGCCAGAAAGTATACATAATTTGCGGTATTTATCGTCTGCGGGACACCGTATATCTTGTGCGCAACTACAGCCCAGCGTCACAACAGAGTCAACGACCCTCAGATCAACACTATCAACGAGGATATCAGACTCACCCGGTTCCCCACGACGCAGCTGTGAATCATCCTCGATATCATCGACAAGGAGACTGGCGCTGTGTAACATGCTGACCACCTTTATGATAATTTTGAGTTTGTCCGGTGGAACGACGAGCCAATCGTTGAACGCATCGATCATCATACCACGGATTTCCTTACCAGGTTTGGCGGTGATATAAGTAAATGGTTCGAGTAAGGCAGATTCATTGGCGGGTGTCCAGCACGATAGCGATGATATAGAGGAAAGTAGATTTTCGTATTTCGTAGACTCGGACATCGTAGATAATAAAAGAGAGTGGGAAAAACCAAGGAGACCCCTGAAATATTAATTACTAAATAGGTAATGTTCACCGTCAACGGGAAGTAACTTCGACCATCATATCTTTGTTAGGTCTATTAAAGCAGACTAGAAAATGCTATCGTTAAACCAGGAATGGCACTCAATCCCAGAAAAATGTCAAGGTAGTGACATACATAATCATCCAGCAGGATCTTTTCTTGCGCTGGCGCAAACCGATTGATATATGGAACCTTGCTGACAGTTCATACGAAGTACGCGCATTTAAGATAAAATAAATGTATGAATATAGCTTATGATACAATTGCATGTTGAGATGATGTGCGCTTATTCGTAGATGTTCAAGGCATTGAACTCGAAATAAGCATTACTAAAAGCAGTCGGGTTGTTGTTAACGTAGTCTGTCCATGCCGCATCAATGATAAGATTCCAAAACAAATATCAGTAAGACTTGGAGCACTGACCAACACAGGACGAAGGACATCCAGACGAAGCATAAACATCGCTGCTTCCAGCCCAATCGCCGCCTTCATTCCCCGAAATGAATATATGAAATTATCACATGTCATGAAAGAACATACAGAATGTGAGGTTGATGACAATGTTGTGAGAACCAAGATGTGAAGCAAAGTCACAGTCTGTATCGGGAAAATACGCAGCTGGTGTACCCTATCACATTGGTGATTAATTAAGTATAATTCGCAACAATAAAAAATCCACTCACCCATGCACCAGTATTGATGCTATTGCCAGCATATTTCACATCACTTGGTACCGATCCACTGTACCTGTCCCAGAACCAGATTTTGATTGCAGAGCTTGTTCGCTCCATAGCATACCTGTAAATTTTGTGATATTAAGCTTCAAGCTTGCAGAAAACTGGGAACCAACCATCCGCCCCCATTGTTATTGAAAGATGGACCAAAGCTATCACTGGCGCTGAGCTTCACTCCACAACTCATGTTATTAGTTTGGTCAACGTCACAGTTACTACCTGTAGACGTTCTGGAATGAAATGATTAAGATACAAATATATAAGAATTAAAATGTATCATCGTTAACATACCCACTCATATCTCGGCCGTTTGGCATCGTGCAGCCTTCGGGATGTAGTCAACGCGTGACTAGATGGAAGACCCATGAAACAACATACCCGCACTAGTGTGCAATGTTGATTCATTCGGGCTTTCATTGTTAACACCCTCGATTATGTCCAGCTCACCCTAAAGAGAAAGGGGAAATATGTCATGATGGCTCAGACATAACGTTCAAAGTGACCCACTTCGTTAGGCCAGTTAGCACCAACCTCCTGGTATGACGATCACACAGTTTAGTGATGCTTCATACTAACTAACGGAAGGGATACGTACCCTATGGATTTAATATGAAAATAATACATTAAGGCATTGGTGTATACTGGTGGATCGAAAATACGCACCCTGCATAGTTTCGTCAGTTTACAAAAAGGTAAGGCCCAAAACTGTAAGTACTCACATACGGCAGGCCAAGTACCACATCCCTCCGGCATGTGGCCAATATCAAATCTGGAAGGGCGTGAGTGTCGATCCGATAATGCGAGCTAAAGTTATCACTTAAACCTACATAGCAACATGAGTGGTATACTGCGCATTGGATTCTATCCTGAAAGAGTCCCTTCCAGGTCCGTTCGCACTGAGAACCGCCTTGTCATCGGCGCGGAGGGTTACAGTGTTTCCTGACACGGATACTAACCCACTCCTCTGGGCAGTTGCATCGTCGACGTAGTTTCTATTAGATTGTAGGTATTACTATTGGGATGGCAAGGAAACAAGAAAAGGAGATGACGCACACACGCCCATTGGTGGGATCGGAGATAGCTTGCCAATAAAACGCATTCATAAAGCCTTGACCGACGAGGTTGGATGTCCTTGAATATGTTGCACAGAGTCCTCGATGTATGATAGAAGCTAGAACTAAAGATCGGAGTATACCAGAGTCTCTCATCGTGACAATAGGAAACGAAGTCGCAACAACGATATGAAAAGAAAGAAAAGGCGATCCTCAGGAAGCCTACCAAATCGAAAGGCTCGTTCATTGCTTAAGTATCACGATGAAAGGCCCCGAGCTCTCACTCAAAGAAGGAAAGCATCTCTTCTCGAAGGTCACGAGAAAAGGACAGATCACCGTCAGAATGCACCGAATATCGTACCGCTCGGACCAGAACGATTCCAGCAGGGCAGAAGTCTTAAGAAGACTTGGCCCCAGGTGCTATGAGGACACTGATTCGGAAGGTCTGCCTGTATAGCGCTGTATAGCATGTGAACAAACCTGCCAAGAGAAGCAACAAAAATCCCCTAAAACTTCGTGTTCACGGGGAAGCTGCCTAGCACATGATGAGAACTTGCCAGCGCAACAGATGTAATATTTGACAGCTGATTGCGCGAAACGCTGGATGATCGACGATGTGAGAAATGGGGTGGATCCCGTCATCGAGGTAGTGTTGTTAAGACAAAACTGGACGAAAAGGCGTGGCATTGAAGAAAAAAGGGCTAGGGGCTGGGAGGTAGCCCGAATGCCTGCTTTACATGCAAGAGAATTGCAGGCCGAAAAGAATGGAGCTAAGTATTTCTGGCCTCCATGATGGAAGGAACACGATGATCTAACCACAGCAAGCGCCCCCCACGAAGTCGAAGGATTACCCCGTAAGGCGCTATGTGGGCAATATATTTTGCTTGAACGCCTGAAATAACAGGGAAGTACAGCCATAAAGCAAAGAACACATGTACGAGACAGCAACTTTGCAGTGCAGCCAGTCCTCAGGACGCAAGAAAGCGGTAGATAGGAGAGAAACGTGCCAAAAATGCCATAACTACTCCTGACGCCTACCTTGTTGCAGTCTTTCAGCGGTCACCTGCCACGAGATTAAAAACCAGGATGTAGCCTGTGGGGCATAATCAGCACCACAGTCGTATCAGCAAGGTTCAGGGAAACGCATCGATATGGAGAGGTTGCCCGCTGGCAGTGAGATCTTCGTGGAGATTCCCGTTGAGCGTGTAATGCTAAAAATGAACTAGTTCAGACAGATACGCAGAATGTCATACTGCGGGAGGTTATCAGATATGACGGACTTCCGTTATGGCTCGAGACCTGACGGTAGCGTCTATGCAAATGCAAAGTCAGGATTCCGTGAGTTCATTGGTTGATGAAGGCGGTTTGGAAAAGTGTAATATTTAGCTTATAGCAAAAGTTGTGTCCAGTTCTAGCCCTTAGGTGTTCCTCGGACTAATCTAAATTTGCCTGAGGCCACAACCAAATGAATTCATGAAGGGTGTGAAAGGATATACAGTAGTACCAGTCTTTCACACACCTGTAGCATGCATAACGTTAACATTACACCCATTTTTTCGCCAAACAAAGTGTACCTTAGACTCACCAGCTTGAAAAGGCCATCATTGTCTCAGATACCAGAAACTGTTTTTTACATGGACACTGTGAGTGCACGATTGGGATCCTTCAAGGCTTCAAGTTCGGCCCATTTGTCAACGAATCATCGTCGCCATTTTCTGGAACATATCCGAGAACCCCAAATGGCCATCAAGATGGAGGACAGAGTGTGGAAACTTCCTGACTTGTGCATCTTGCAGCTGCGGAGGAAACAGGCAGGATCATGGATCACGATACCGTCCTCTTTAGTACGCAAATGTTGCCAAGTCAAGGCAAATGGCTGTGGCAATTGGAGGCAGGCTTCCAATACTATAGCCACCGATGAACGCAAGGTCCTTGAGGACGAAGTCATGGGGTCAAAAAAGTCAAAGAGGCAGATATACACTTCGGAGTACAGTACGGAAATCACATGGATAGCAGAACAAGATTAAAAACCACCTTAGGGACTGTTGCGGACCTACAAGTTAGCACGAGGAACCAGCAAGTTCGCAAAAGACTAAGTAACAACGTTGACATGAACGTGATGCGGCACCATTTATGGTTCCTGTATGATCGAAACTTTTAAAAGGTGCGAATATTGAAAGTAGTGAGACAGATCTCGAAGAGCACCAGTACTCAAGACAGTCAAGGCGATTAACACATGTAAAATGGTTTACAAGTACAATGTCTGAAGCGGCTACATAATCTGTTGGGTGGGTTTCGGTCCACGGGTATCGTGAGTAACAAAAGACAAAAGACAACAGCGGAGTAGATCGACAGCAGAAGGATGAAAAATAAAAATGAAGATTCAAGTCAGCCTACTGTAAACCATGTGTTGAATATACTTTAGAGAGTAATGGCAAAGACCACTACTCACACGCAATATAATTATATTAGCAAATGATACATTCTGTTTCTGGTTTTGCCAGTCTGGCCTCAAGGCGGGCGTGGAGCGTACCATCTGCGGTGAGATACGATGTTCCACTATTAAAAGACAAAAAGTCAGCATCAATCGTTAGAGAAATGCAAGGTGAAATGCGAACGTAATGTACTACGTGATGACGAGATACAACGAGAGATTAAACATACTCGTATTGTAAACTCTGACCCATCAAACTATCTGATAGAGGTACAACAATCTCGCTCGGCATCTCCGTCTTGGGTATAGGAGGTGCCAACTGTGAACTTCCGGTCTTAAGGCGAAGGCTGATCGTTGGATTGGGCTTAGACTTCTTGCGCGGTAAAGATGGACGTGAAGCGTCGGGAATAGGAGTATCAATGAGCGATGGTGTTGGAGTGGACGGAGAATGCTCGACTATGGTGAGCCGTGAATCCACCCATGTCGATGGGCTATGTTCCAAAAGACCAAGTGCGACGACCCAAGATCCGACCGGCTTTTTGTTAGCGCGAACATTTGGGTCATTCTTTGGGTCATTCTCAGGGAGTACTGTTGAGAAAGAAAAACTCCACATTCGCCCTCGTGCGATGAATTCGAGAACAATTCTTCTCGAGATACGCATACGTCTCTGGAATAGTGGAACCTCGAATGTGACAATAAAGGCACCCACACCGCTGGCAACATCCTCTACCCTAATCATATCTGGGGGTATATTCGCACCGAGCAGGATTTCGTCTGTGCCAGAAAGGGGAGAGAAGGCAGGAGAGAGTCGTAAACGCTGAAAGAGGACTTGATCGTTTGTGACAAGACAAGCTAAACGCATTTCTGAGACTGTAGATTCCGTGAGTGGTGCAGCACGGGTAAGAAGGGCGGTAAGTAGGTCATGCTCCGTCGGACTCGTTGGTTCAGCAGGACGTTTTACGATTGCCCAATATATGGGTGTGTGATCCTCGACAGACTTTTGCTGGAGCAGAGAGGCGAATGAGATTCCGTGTGTAACGCATGCTTCTGCGCAGCTATCTAGGATAGCAGGCGAAGCTGCAGGAAAGGGATGCTTGACTAGATCACGGATAAGATTAAGAACAGTGATGCGAACTTCCTTCGCTGTACGCGATGCAGTAAAAGGGAACCAAGATGTAGGTCCTTTACTTTTCTTGGTGGACAGTTTTTTGATTTGTAGTGTAGGATCGACATGTGATTGGGATGAGGAAGCAAAAGGCGACGAGGGTTCTGAGGGACGTCTGGGAGGCAACGGCGGGGGTGTAGGATGACCTTTCCCATTCACGCTTGAGCTTTGGTACGGACGTGAGCTTGACGGCTCCTGTGGAGAAACAAGGTCATCGTAAGACGGAGGCGCGTCTGTGTTGAGATCTGCGAGGTATTTGTCAACGATCATAATGGCTGCTTCCTTAGACTAAGACTAGTGACTCGGAAATGGGGCTCGAATATGTCCCTGCTGCGATTCTGGCTTCACCGCTGGAATAAAAGAAGAGAAGAGAGCTGCGCAGAATCTCGAGACAGGCTGCGGTTCTCTATGCGGCTTACTGGAGACGGCAGCACAGCCGTCGTTTATCTATCCATAGCGTTCCTGTGCAGCAGAAAGTACAGCCTCGGCACGGCCGTTCATTATAATTCTCAGGTTGACGTGTCATGGCCGCATGACAATTTTAGAGACATATCATCAAGCACCGAACTTTACTGAAAGTCCACTGCAGATCACAGTATGTACATTACTGTAAAGCATGACTTGACTTGCATAACCACCAATGACATTGGTACTTTACGCGCCATAAAAACATGATACATTTTGCGAGGGATATACGGCGGTACCCTCTAAAATAGCATAACATAAAGTGTGCAGTCATGGGATGGCGGTAGATATCCATGGACCCAAATATGACAACGTCTGGCGATCGTCTTACTCCTCATCCTCATCATCACCAGCGCCGCTGAAGGTTCCCAGTGATTAATTTAGAATAAGGTGAGATAGCCAAGTGGCGACTTACGCAATGTTGTAGAAGCGAAGTTGGTAGGTGTCCTTTTCCGATGCAACGACACTGAACCAGCAGAGTCAGAAGTGTGGGCTAAAATCATTTCAATATCAACCACATACCGAATCCAGTCACGGAGAGAGTTCTTCTTCAAGAACTTTTTCGTCAAGTATTTTAGATAACGCTTCGAGAAGGGGATGTTGGATGTAACGGTGATTTTGGTGTTGCCTGCAGAATTTATCCTCAGCGTCCAAAGCCAAGTGGGCACAAACATATATACTCACCATCCCGGGTGACCTTGACATTGTCGCCCAACTGCCCAGACTTGCCATCGACCTTTATGCGGTCGTGGAGGTACTTCTCAAAGTCAGCACCATCGAACACACCATCGCTGGCGGGTTTCGAGTAGTCGATCACAAATTTATGCTTGGAACTGGTGGTTTTTCCGGTGGTGGCCTTAGGCTAGAGGTAAAAAGAAAAACGCCTGGTGTGAGCCTACTGAGAAGATAGCTCAGCAAAGCGATTCCAGCGACGAACCATCTTGAAGTTGAGGGGATACTAAATGTAATGGGCTTTTAGTCTTGAGGGGCCTGGGTTATTCTCTACACGTTGAACTGTGCAATCTCCCGATTTTGTATACTGTACAGTTGCTACAATAAGGTTTACAGTAGAGCGGCTCACCGCCGGCGTTTCCTTATAGGGTACCAGTGCTGTTTTCCTGACGTCACAGCGGGCCTATTTGGCCCTTACTATCAGTAGGACTTGGATGATGGTCACGGTCCCCACTAACAAACACCCAGTGTATCCATCGAATTTTGGGCTCCCAAGATTGCGTTGACAACTATAAAAACAGCGTAATCATACATTTCGATGTCCAAGGTACTACACAGCTCTATGTATCATGAACGTCACATTGAATTTGAGTTGTAGAACTCACAGCCAGAGTGTCAAGCCGAAGGTATGGTTCAGCTGCCTAAGGTGACAATAAGTTTTTACCATCTTTCAGCTTGCGCTCTTCAAACTTGTCTCTCCTCCAACACCTACTCTCCAGAAAACTGTGGCCGCCAGTTGCGCGGGCTCTACCTTTGTTGCAAACAGATGTATAGCGAAAGCGAAGGCAAAAAGGAATCAAGCGCATGTCCTATGTCAAGTGTCGTCGAAAGGTGGTTTAAGAGGCACCCAGCTGATGGGCAAGATGCGAACAAGAAAAAATAAGCATCAGCAAGTACCAATATTTGGTGGTGAGCATGACAGTCAGTTCTATAGGTGCTCTGATATCGATTCCAACCCCGAGCGCTGAAGGACATAAGCCAAATTTAGGACGAGTGCGATGTGTAAGTAGAATGTACTGAAATATGATGAAACAATTGCTCGCCACGGTGCGCTTTGTTGATTGTCACACTCGTCGGACTATTAGCGCTTGGCATCGGGTTACATGTTATTCGAATATGCACGACGAGGTACAATGTATAGTCCGATTCATACCTATCCAAGATGTCACTAACAATTATCAGGCTATGCCCAAACTTATTGAAAATAGTTTATATTCCTATTCGTGGCCACACCCCTCTTTTACTCTTTAACCGATCTACGCTTTTCACTCGTTGTTTCGGTTTCTGTGAGGCTCCTATGGCGTTTTGCATCCACTGAAATGAATGATCAACCTGCTTGCGTCAAATAGTTGATGCTCAATAAATTCGACGAATCATGGGGAGCCCTAAGGCCTGCCAAATCCGATCGAAAAGGGGATTTGGCGCGCGTTTACGGGAGCAATTGACCTGATAGGACCCTGGTGTAGAGGCGCGCTCATCTCTGATCCCCCGTTTTTCTCTCCAGCCAATCGGAGAGACACTGGCATCGCCTGTCGTAGTTCTAGTAATCTTGTCACTTGAGAACCCTCAGCGCTAACCTAAGAGCTGTTCATAGTATACCCTCGTACCCGCCTTGTTTCCAGGTTGATACATTCAGGACAAGGCTGACTTTAATTCTCGATTTTTGATTGAAGATGTCTTGCAGTATGGTTCTCATATTTAAATGTAAGAATATAGCCTGACATATCTCCAGATAGCAGGATTCCCCAGTTTGTCGGAAGAACTAGTCTCTTGTCACGAAACGAGAGTTTTAGGCTTGATAGCGGCAGAAGGCAGAAACTTATTGGTATTCTTGATGCTTTACACGAGCTCGCTCAAGATGATATTAATCAAAGTAAACATCAACGCACTTTTCTAATGTCGTAAACTGAAGGTCGCATTTTCAGGCTACCAAGCAAAAAATAACCTTGAGACTGCTAAACATCTTCGTGAGCACACAATATCACTGTCATATTCGAGATCTCCTATGGGTGTATAGGCAGCTATAGCTATGGATCCAACTCATGGCCCGAAAATCACAAACATACCCTCCACTCATTTCACTCGTTCCATAAGTAAGCTCTCACCGTAACATCTGGCCTTGGCTTCAATGTGTTGTTTCACAGAAAAATAAATGATCTTGACAAAGAGGTTATTCGCCTCTTCTCCACTTTGGACAGTTTAAACTAACCTACATGCAGCTCAGAAGATTTGCAACTGCAGCTCGTCAGCTGGGTGGTTCTGTTGGGATTCTTTCATCTGCCTTCAGACTACGTGAACGCCTAGCCCAAATCAAATTTCTGTTTCAAGAAAATGCTGCTGATCTCTTTCCAGGTAAAGTGCCACGTCAGCCCCGTGAGACGCTTGTAAACAACCTTCGTGATCAACGAAGTGCTCGACGAAAGAGCGTAATTTTTAACATTGGAGAACCTGTGGTGGATGATGACTTGGACTCTGAGCTTTTCCCTGAGCAATTCGGGGATTTTGCTGATGATGTCATGACATTTCTAAGATGCCTCAACGAATTCCCAGAATTCGCGGATGAGACGGTCAGCGCTTCTATTCACTCTTTCGAACGTGACCTAAAGGTGGGTGTAAAGACACCATATTTAGTTTGTGTATTTATTAGCTGATCGACGAATAGCACTGGGCTGATTCTCTACAATCATTCAAAGGTCTGCACTTTTTGTAACCTAATAGTCTCTCGACTCAGCAGCGTATGCAGGACAGCTCAAATATCCCGCAAGTCAAAAATACATCCATGAACTCACGGCGGAGATGGGCCACCATATTGATAACATGATAGGTTCTTTGTCAATGTTCATCGAGATAGGTAAGCAAACATCAAAAATACATCCTGAGAACTGTAATGTATCCAAGGATATAGGCATACCCTCCGTTCTTTTTACCCAAAAGCACGATGCAACCACCTTAACCAACCTATCTACTGTTGCAACCTTTTTCTCCGCGGTTACAGCTACGACGCTTCAATTCTCGTATGGAGAAACAGGCAATTGGCTGGCTGCTTCTGTCAATGCCTTTTGGTTTTCTTCACTTGTTCTTAGCATCGCAGCTGCTATCAACAGTTTACTTGGTCTTACTTGGAAGCAAGCCCTATAGTGAGTACGAAATGTGACTGGTTGGTATTAAAAAGTTGATATCATTATAGCACCATGGTAGTCATTCCCCTGGATACCAATGTCCAAGGTGGATTCAGATATGGATCAAGCGCTCTCCTCTAGTGTTCCTGATGTTCTCTGTGGCATGTTTTTCCGTTGGATTGGTCCTATTCACCTATTCCACCAACCAAGTAATGTTTATTTTTGTTAAAATATGACGCACGAACTGACTGCGATGGATTTAGCACTATGTCACTTCTACCATCACCGTGATTCTCACTGCTTTTACCAGCCTGGGTCTATTATTTGTGGTCGCCTGGATTGGATTCGAGAAGTGGATATTCGTCCGCTTCATGGGACAAAAATGGCTCCGGGGTGTGATATCGGATGTAGTGACGGATACCTTTCGATTCGGCACGGTTGTTTTCCCAAAAGCAGTGCGCTCTTTGAGTCAAAGGCGTTTGCAGGCCGTAGGACGTTGGCTCAAGTGGATGACATCTTCATTTATTAGTGTGATAAAATCACACACGAAAACAAAAGCCAATATAAGAGGGGAAGATCCCGTGCTTCCTGTCACTCGACTTCCATCAGAGCTATTAGCAACTCAAGGAGCGAACGAGCGCAGTACCGTTCCCGTTACAGACACCAACCCTAGGCAGTCCGACTCAAGAGACAGTGAGTCTGCGATACACGGCTTACCGAGGCCCAAGGAGCGCTTTCGCACTGCTGTGAATAAGGTAATGGTTGCCAATGCTCTACGAAAACCATACCCTTCGTCAGTATACCATCGAAGGCATAGCACAGGAGATGCTCCCCGGCTAAAGAATTTGGTAGCATTGCGTGATCTTTCTATTCACGATGCCCCCGTGCATGATATACAGTTTTCACCAGATGGAAAATTACTGGCGACCTGCAGGTGCATACTATCTCCTTGTGTTTCTACGTTGTGGTGCTTATTTTATTTTATTTAGTTTAGACCGGACGTCTGTGCTTTTTTCCGTCGATGTACGTTAAATGACCTTGGATCTCAAGAGACATTGATATATTGATATATTTAAATCTTGTAGGACATCTACACTGGCGCCATGTCAACTCCCTGTATTCTTCCCCATACATCTGTCAGTCAAGTAGCCTGGTGAGTATGCACGTAAGTTGTAATACGGAATAATCTAACAATGCATCACAGGTCACCGACAGGCCACTTATTACTGACAAGAACTAATCGTGGCATTAAGATCTGGACGGGGGTAAGCTTATCGATTCAACCTATCCTATATTTAGTATTGATATACGGGTTGGTTCGAACATTCCATCCAGGAAGGACTATGTAAGTTGACTATTGATCGACAATGTGCCGTACATTGCGTTTCTTGGTTTCCTGGAGGAGAAGGTCAGCCTTTCTCCATTATAAAGATGGAAGTCAATGACATCGGTGAAACATAAAAATAGCTTTCGTGTCTGCAGAAGGGGACCAAGTAGTCAAACTCGTGAGTAGCATATCTAGTGTACACAGTAAATACTGATGCGCCTTATTCCAGGATTTGGATGGTAATGTATGATATGGTGTAGTCTCGAGAGATCTAGCAATAGTGATAATATCTATGCCAAATAGGTAATGGGCAGGTTCAAATTTCCTCGGATGATGGTACGCTGCATTGCGATCACACCAAATTCGCAATACTTGCTCGGCATTGGACATATCTTGATTTCACCCAACAGAGCAGCCAACAGCTCCAACCCAGTTGAAAAATGGCTTTTGAGTACGTGGTCAAAATGCTTCATTATGATAAACTAATTAAAGAGCGGGGCAGTCTACAATTTAGAGACTAGACAAATCGAAGAGTAAGGCTCTCCACTCACTTTGCCGAGCGAACAGCTAAGATCACCACAGTCGTGTACTCGTTCACAGTGATGTTCGAGATATCGCAATAGATCGAAGCGGATCATGGGTTCTGGTTTCCTACGAATACAAAGTCAGTGCTTAGTGCGTTCTACAAGAAAATTTACTTGACTGTGGTTATTTAGGCCCCCCCACAATTATGGAAAATAGATGTATTACCATCTCGTCGGAATGGTGCCGAGACCACCGTGAAGTTATCGTTTCGTCACAAATACATTCCGTTCGCACCAGTCGATTTTGCAGGACCGAGTTGTTTTGGAGGAATCGATGATCAGTTTGTTCTCTGTGCGGGTAAAGGTGTGTCCTGTGCTCATAATGTAAGGCTTCACACGCATCTGACGATAGTTGCGCAGCTGGAGATATTTATATATGGGACCGAGAAAGTGCGATGATACTCCACAACGTCCGGGCTCCTGCATGGGACGATGGTGACCTAACATGCATAGCGTATAACAACGCTGAGGAGAACAAATTCACGTTCGCAACTGGAAGTCATTTTGGCCCAGTGAGGATATGGACGACTCTCAGTGGTGGTTCTCGTATTGAGCATAGTCCATGGCTGCCATCGCGTTCACCTACATCAGTATCAATGCCCCTTCGAGCTGAATCTCCCGAAATTTTGAATGACGATGCGGACCGCTCCATCCTTCAAACAATATTTACACCAGATTTGCTGCTGGTAGCAAGCCCTACTAGCTTTGAAGACCCTGGCGGAACCATCCTCGAGTCTACTAGTCAAAAGGATAGAATAACTTAATCTCAAACCAGATAGTTACTAGACTTCACAACAATATCATGACTGATAAAAACTGACACGGGTCACAAAAGAAGGGAGTCTTCCAAAGTTCTTATTCTAATGTCGAGCGTGTTGTTCAGCTTGAAGCCCGAGATTATACCCAGCCTCAGAGGTCAAACCACTTTCAATTTCGATGAAACCAGAATGTGTATAAAATACAAAACTCGACGATATCTTTATCATACAGCACTCCTTTGGACGGGATGACAGAAAGGGTCACTGGACACCAGCAGCGCGAGGAGAAGCCGCGTAAACACCGAGCCATGCAACATATCCGCTCGCCATTTACCACGACTATTCCTTAAGGCGTCGGGGCGAATAACCCAACAGTGGCGCAAGTGGCCATGCATGTACCGAGCCCGACATTGCAAGCCATTATGGCGGGAGGGGCAGCAACGATAGTTACGCCAAAAGTGAATCCAGCAGCTGCATAACACGCAACTGCTAGCCCGTTACAACCTGTGAAGTGAAAATGTATGCGCGTCCGTGGCAGACGAACATGGTGCCATGTACACACCTGTCTGGCACATTGCGTATGCAAGAGGTCCACCAAGAGCGGCAGGAGCAGAAGCGGCCACCACAAGAAGAGCAGCTGTTGATTTGAGGTTCATAGCTCTATTTCAGATGGTCTGTGTGTTTCGATGGGCAATGAGAGGTGGTGGTAGACCCTGGGGAAACAACGAGGCAACGCTGAAGCTTTTATACGCATACGTCAGTACTGCCTCAAGGTATTATCAAGTTATTGAAATAAATTTCTAGCATTTCAAATTTACATAAATGGGATTGGCATCACGTCTGGCACCTCATTTGATCCTGAATACTACCATTTATATGTGAATCTTTCCAATTTTATTGGTACGATATGGATGAGGCTTACATGAACAAGCCAAAATGGACATAGGGAGTTGCCTAGACTCGAAATCTGGTCAGAATCTGCACGCCCACAGCATACCAATTCAATTGTTCGACTATCAATGCCATCTACAAAACTTCACAGAGCGCTTGAGACTGCGTATATTATGTATGACACCACTTAGCAGTCTTATTCAGACAGTTTGTTGTTTTGTAGCAGTAAGCACATTGATGGTCAGGAGTCGGTATCGTTTCGAGGACGTTGAAAGAGCCCGACTTGTTCAGACGGAGTTCATGTCAATTAGAATAGCTTGCCCGCGCTCACTCCGGTAACCACGAAGCAATGCCTTTTGAAACTCAGAACTGACTCAGCAGACTCCTGAGTGAAATCACGAAGGACGCTTCAAGCTCGAGGAAGGTGTGCGGCCGATCATTAGATACAGAGTAATCCGTTCTTCAACCATATTAACATCGTTCAGAGTAAAAGGCTAAGAGCACCCTTACCGCCTAAATCGATTAGGCGAGTCTCGCATACCGAAGGAAGCATGGAAAGCAGGGGTAGCGTGCGGAATCCCGACTGGTGAGCTAATCCAGGAAAGTAAAAATGAGTCAGAGTAAAATTAAAAACTCGAGGTATACTGGAGGTATCCTTGAGGCTTGAGACTATATATACAGGATCTCTCACTGAGTGATTCCCCAACATGAGTCACAATTGCCCCACTTTGCATCAGCAGAGACTCGGTGCTCTCGACAATGCTTTCATTTTCTTGTTGTGAAATCTTATCTCAATTGAGCAACGTTCTCACGATGAATCTGACGGCGATGATGGACTCTGGCTTTCTGATCATTCGCAATCAGACTTTTCCCTCTCTGATGACGACGAACTTGAAGGAGAAAGGTCTCAAATTGCAGGGGTTTCCATTCCTCACCTCGAGACTCTTGTGAAAGAGTATATATGCTTACGATGAGATGTACAGAAAACCCGCGTTTTTAACACTTATCCTCACGCACCTCGTGTGCCTCAGTTCATTTTGTTAGAGTGGTCACGCCTTAATAATAATGCTCGCTTTCGACACATCCTTCGTATGAATCCCACCACGTTTGATGCAATCCTTGGACGAATTCAGAGTCACTGGATATTTACCAATAATTCCAATAACGAGCAAATTCCCACCGAAATTTAACTCACCATCTTCTTGAATTGTATTGGCCATTACGGAAACAGCTCCACTGCTGCCGATTTGGCTGACTGGGCCGGTGTGTCAGTTGGTAGTGTTGAGCTCTGCACAAAGTGGACTATGATCGCCATCTTATCTCTTCATGATGAGATGATCTCACCTCCGACTGACGAGGAAAAGGCAGAGGCGAAGAGATGGGTCAAAAAACAAGTCTGTGAGGCCTGGGAGAATGGCTATCTGTCGGTCGATGGGACAACCTTCAACTTGTTTCAAAAGCCAGGCCATCATGGTGAAACATTCTTCGACAGGAAATCAAACTACTCTCTTAGCGCCCAGGTAGGTTTTTGCATTTTATGACTGACAGCTACTGACAAATATATATATATATATAGATTACAACTTTACCCCACAACCTGAAGATCGTTGACTACGGCCTCGGACACACAGGTAGTGTCCATGATTTGTCAGCTTTTTGTGACACCGCCATTTATCAAACACCGGAGAAGTTTTTCACTGCGGGTGAATGGCTGTGGGGCGACTCAGCTTATCCTGTGTCTCCGACATGTGTTTTGCCATTCAAGCGAGTCCCCAACCAGGCATTGACCCGTCAACAACGCCATTTCAACTATCATCTATCCCGTGTTCAAATTCGCTCGAAGCATGCCATTGGGCTGCTCAAAATACGTTTCCAATCGCTCAAAGAACTTTGCATTCAAATCAATTGCAGCCAACAAATTGATTATGCCATTTCCTGGATTCGGTGCTGTTTTATTCTTCATAATTTCATCATCCGCATTGAAGGCCAGGACCACAATTCACGCAACAATATTAATCGGGACTGGCAGTTGGAATTGGATGAATTATTAGCAGATGGCATTGAGGATGTGGGAGATGACAACGGCAAAGATATGCCCGTGAACCTTCCCTAAGATCTCCGTGAAAGATTGGTAGTTGATCTGTTCTCTAGCTCTTTGTATTGTTGTACTTAGTTCCAGTAAATTCTCTCTATGCTTGCACAGTTTTTGATCTAATCTGAATAAAAAGTTCTTGATCATATCATCATATATCGTTCATACTAAGCAATACAAGAAAGCAGGGATACATAAAAACAGGTACATAGCAACACATAATCCAACATAGCAAAATGTATTCCGACAATAAAAAAACCTAATGTTCCCATCAACAACTTTGGATGTGCTCATCAGTGCTATACATGTTATCCTGCCCACCTGTGTGAATGCTGAATGCACTACCATGCATGTCATTCAGCCCACCGTTGTCTTCATTGCCTTGCTGGTGATGGATTTGGGAGTCGAACGAGTAATCTCCGGGTTGAAAATAGTCTTGAGATTGGCGAGAATGCAAGTCACCAGCAGCAGCAGGAATAGATGGCGATAGCGTGTTCAGCAGAGGCTGCATGTTAGTAAGACCACGAGGGTCACTTTGGTCACTATTTGCGAGTGCTGCATTGAAATTATTGAGTGGGGGATGAATAGACACAGTAGAATGGGCAAAAGATGACCTAGAAAATCTGGCGTTGACAGAAGCAGATGATGACGGTTCAGGTTCCTGTCCCCTGTCCATCTTGTACCGCATCTCAATCTCATACTTTTTAACCTCCACTTCAGCTGCGATACACATCTTCTCTATCTCAATATTGTGTTCCGCATTAAGCTTTGCAATGTTTGCCTGCTCACCCTTTTTCGCTAGAGTGATATTGTATTCGAGCTTCAAGTTCTTGTTCCGGATGCTCTCAATGGTCTGAATGCCCTTCAGGCGCTTTTCGTCATTTGAACGTTCATCGGCATCTGCAATAATAGGCCCCATAACCTTCTTGAGAAGGTCAGCCTCAGTTTCACGTGCGTGTGCCTCTTCGCCTTCATCTGAACGTGCACGCTTCCCTTTACTCCTCCTGGACGTGGTACTATCAGCAATACTTGCTGTCCGTCCATGGCCTGACGATGTAGGGGACTTCCCACGAAGAGCAACGGCACTAGCCTGAATGCTTCTCCAATGTTCTGCTGTGACTGACGTCGTTGATGTTGCCACATCAACGGGAAGAGATGTCGCCGATGCAGAACCGCCAGATACCATGCTAGGAAGTGAGACGGAAGATGCATGAGCACTGTTGAAAGAGAAGGATGATATAGTGGGGTCGGACGAAGAGAAAGCAACCGGATTAGTGTAGGGGTACACAATGTTAGTGGTGGAGCCATGCTGCTGAGGCATGTTTGTATACTGCTGAGGGACATTGGTATACTGCTGAGGCACGTTGGTATACTGCTGAGGCCACTGAAATTGAGCATTGTGAACAAAACTGGTATTGGTTTGCGGCATCGTGAACTGCTGCGCAACTACACCGAGCGGGGGCATGTTAATATGGGATGAACGACTACGCGATACTACCGGACGAGAGCTTGGACCCGGCTGATGGCTAGACCCACCAGGCTGCTGAAAGGATGCAGTAGGATATCCACCATCACCACTAGTAGACATAGACAGCCTTTCCTGTTCATGCTGCTGAATGCCCCGAGCCATAGCATCATGATCAGCACGCATCGGGAACAACAGAGTCACAGCTTGAGAGTCGATGTACTGGCCCTTGGACCCTGTCACTGGTTTAGCGTTATATTTCGGCGATGTTTCCCAGAATGCATGCAACTGATCCCACCACTTGAAGTCCTTTCGGATTTTCTCTGATAAATGTTTTAATGAGGTATATTTTAATATATCTACAGACTTACAAAAAGAATTATCAAAACCCTGCGATGCTTCCTCCGATGTTATACCCTGACCAGTCTCCAAAAGACCTCGTACAAGTGCCTTATATTTATCGCCCAATCTATATAGTTTGGTTAATAAAATAATAGACAACATATAAGCAAAATACATGCATTGCTAATCAATTCTGTACAGAAACACCAAACTTCTTGCGGTGGTGATCAACAGCAACATGCATCATTTCTTGAGAGTCATTCTTGAAGACGTGCTTTGCAATCCATTCATGGATATGTTCCTTCACTTTTTTGGTGTTCTTGATGACTGGCCTCCCTTCATCCTTGGCTACAGACCTAGAGTCCGAAAAAAGCATCTGACGGTGTTGTCATGCACCAAAGTTGATTGGTAGCATGGACAGGTGTCAATAATGAAGCGAATATTCAAAAGACTCGCCTTTGCGCCACACAGGCACAGTGCCACGTGGAATAGTAATTAATATTGCCTTTTTCGAACTTGTGGCTGATCAGCACCACCTCTATTAGGCAATCCAGTCACGCTCACCTTTGCTTTTCCATTCGGTACTTTCCGCGTTTCGGCATTTCGGCAAATTTTCGCGTCGCCACTGGCTACACATTGCATTGCACCCTCGCTTTTGTCGTTTCCCTTACTCCCCTTCCTTTGCCTAGCCCCACCATGGGCCCCTTCCTCTCCTTTTTATTCTCACCGGACGGTCGTTTCTGGGTCCCCATTCTAATCCACTTGTTTGTCACCTCCACCCTCCTCCTCCTCATCTTATTTGCACCCCCACCATTTCTGATGTCACCACTTCCTATCCGCTTCCGTCGCCGATCCGTTGACTACCACGTGCCACTGCTGATATCAGCAAAGCCCCGGCGGCCGGTTCAAATAGGGCAACAGGTCCATCTTCATGACGTCGATCTGCCATCATATACTATCAAAACATCGGTCGCTCGTCTTGCCTGGTTGGAGCGTGGGTGGGTAATTTTTGAGCTGGAGAAGGTTCATCCCCTTGCGTCGCCCATGTTCATCGCTGTCCCATTCACTTGGGTACACTTATCATTTGTCCATCGTCTTCGCTACAGCTACACCTACCACACGCTGCCTGGGACTTACTTGTTCCAAATTGGAACTACTCCTCTCCCTCCCTCGTTTGATCAGGTGGTCCAACACAACCAGTCCATTGGTAAGGCCATGGAACTATCAGATTTGGACTAGGTGGTGGACCGGTGGCTCCAGTTTCTTTTTCTTCAGCAGAACATTCATTTACAGTGCGATTATTTTTGATTTTTGAATCATTTTTATGGACACATATTTTTTTAGAATGCCTGACTGACAATAAAGGAACTGTGTTGATACTGATAGTGTTTTGCCTTGCCCCTTTTTTTACTGCATCTTCCCATGACATCATGATTTTCCTGCTCTCCTTTTGCTATTGGACTTTACTTTATGGCTGTACAAACCTGTGACATTACTCACAGCATTTATTGTTCTATCCCTTTCTTTTCCTTTTTTTTGACAATCTTATCCTGTACTACCTACGCAGGATTTGTCAGCGTACATTCCTTCCTTCATATTCTTTCTCATTCTTTTTGCACAGCTATACTGTGCATAGCCTACTTTTCTTTTACTATATAAACCCCTGTATTTTACCTTGTAAAAAAAAAAGAACAAGAAATCCAATCCAGACTTCTTCTCTACTCTCAAGTTCACTACTCTGCTACTTGTGATCCAGTGTGGTCACAACACTTCCCACTTCTACCACTGTCAACTGCTGTCATCGTCACTTCCCACTTTTGAAGTTATTGTCATCCCTTTCGATTAGAGTCCTTCTGAGCACTACAGTTTGTGCGTCAGGAGCCTGCTATCACTGGGAACCTCGTCACCTCGTCATCCTCGTCGTTCTCAAACCTACCTTGTGCTACCATTAACAAGGTAGTGCTCGTCTATACTCGCCACAAAGCACCTATCTTCCTATAAATTCAACTATCCCTCCTCCTCAAAAACCCACACTCATACACCTCTGGGTTTTACTTTGAAGGATCCTCATATATACCACCCCACGAACAACCAGAGCACCCACTGTTCTAGGAGGCAAAGCCCATAAACAAGTTCCGTGGAATCTGGGAGGACTGTGTGTTAGTTTGTTTTTGTGTGTGGTTTTCTAACAACAGTTCTCATCATTCGACACCGTTTCGGAACGAGCTGACGTGTTCGGCGACACAGTTCATTTTGAAAAGAGCTTGTCACACCACTGAGTACTGATAAGATAAGATAGGCCTTTGATCCCATCATGTGATCATGTGATGAAAAGTGTTACACTTGGTGACAAACCAGAAAATTGCTATCTCTTCTCGCTTGATATGAATTATTTATGGTTTTTTGTTTGAGAGAAAAGCTGAATTTGGTAAATACAAATATAATACTGTAAGAAGAACTAAAAAAAATGGTGCCACGCAAGACGGGATAGATTTTTTGTGGCAAAGATGACAAAAATTCAAGTTGTGATTTGCCTCATCACGCCAGTGGTCACAGGCCAAATCACGTCCTATGATGGCGTCGGTTGTGCATGACGCCTTTCTTACTTAATCTACAATCCTGAAATGTGTGTAACAGGTGTGACATAGCGTGAGAAATATTGTTTGCGCTGAGAGTCGTTCAAGACGAGCGCGTTTGCAAACAGCTCTCGTTTTGAAACGGAGGCTGCCAAACGGGCCCTAAGTTCTATGAACTATAGTGAAATGGGTACTCAGTCTTTGGGCAGAAGACTGATATATTATGATGATATATACCTATAGTGAAATGATACTAAGGTATAGTGATTAGCTATGTGTGTTGGAATACAAGCAAGGACAAGCTACTCGCCGCTTCACTAAGCTACTAAACAAACAATAGGATTTCTGTATATACGCTTGTATGTCTACACTTTAAAGCGGGACAAGGATTTTTGTAAGACTGACGCTTTGGCGCGAGCAGCAGTATATAAGCCACTCGTGCACAGAGGCTCACTTCAGACCTTTTCTATACGAGTCTGAAGTGAGTACCTCATAGCCTATCCCAACTACAATACTTTACTAATCATGTACCTAAAGATTATTGAACCATAGGTACATGTTCCCGAATACAGACCTTTTCTATACGAGTCTGAAATTATTGAACCATAATGTGGAAATGTGAGTTTGAGAATACATTGACTTACCTCAGTCTTTGGGCAGAAGACTGAGGTGTCAAAGCTATTCTGACGAGTTTTTCTAGTAAGTGTGGGAAACTTCAGTGATTATGTAAGGTGATAAAACTCGGAGTATTAGAAGTGAGAGAGTTGATAGAGAGTAGAAAGTAGTGTATAATGAAAGTATTGTGAGAGATAGTATGATATGCAACATATATACCATCAAGTTTTTGATTCCATTATTTTACTTACCTATAATGAGGGCCTGGTTGCCACGTATCACTTCAGACTCTGTAACGAGATCTGAGCTTCTTATCTTATCAATAGATCAATCCAAACGACTTGATATGTAGTATATCAGAAGTGAAGAAAGAAGAAGAACGGATAAGAAACATACCCTCAGTTGTCAGAGAACCAACTGAGGAGAAGAAAAAGAAGGAGGAAAGAATATAAACATCGTCGCCGTACAGTCACCTGATCAAATGGAATACTAGACAGATGGGATACTAAGTAACGTGTCTCTTTGAACATTAACACAATATATTCTCAGCTCCATCTAGTCATAACAGCTCATCCCCGTTTTCCTGATGACAGCATTCCTTTGGACGGGATGACAGAAAGGGTCACTGGACACCAGCAGCGCGAGGAGAAGCTGCGTAAACACAGAGTCACGTAACATATCCGCTCGCCACTTACTACGACTATTCCTTAAGGCGTCGGGGCGAATAACCCAACGGTGGCGCAAGTGGCCATGCATGTACCGAGCCCGACATTGCAAGCCATTATGGCGGGAGGGGCAGCAACAATAGTTACGCCAAACGTGAATCCAGCAGCTGCATAACACTCAACCGCTAGTCTGTTACAATCTGTGAAGTGAAGATATATGCGGTGTCTGTGACAGACGAACATGGTGCCATGTACACACCTGTCTGGCACATTGCGTATGCAAGAGGTCCACCAAGAGCAGCAGGAGCAGAAGCGGCCACCACAAGAAGAGCAGCTGTTGATTTGAGGTTCATAGCTCTATTTCAGACAGTCTGTGTTTCGATGGGCAATGAGAGGTGGTGGGAGACCCTGGGGAAACAACGAGGCAACGCTGAAGCTTTTATACGCATACGTCAGGACTGCCTCAAGGGATTATCAACACTTATTTGGACATAGGGAGTTGCCTAGACTCAGGATTTAGTCAGAATTTGCACGCCCACAGCATACCAATTCAATTGTTCGACTATCAATGCCGTCTACAAAACTTCACAGAGCGCTTGAGACTGCGTCTATTATGAATGACACCACTTAGCGGTCTTATTCAGACAGTTTGTTGTATTGTACTAGCAGTAAGGGCATTGATGATCAGGAGTCGGTATCGTTTTGAGGACGTGGAACAAGGTGTTTTACTCGCCTGACTTGTTCAGACGGAGTTCACGAGAATAACTGCCCGCGACTAACTCTGGAAACCACGAAGCAATGCCTTTTGAAACTCAGAACTAACTCAGCAGACGCCTGAGTGAAATCACGAGCAACGCTTCAAGTGGACTCCTCGAGGAAGATGTGTCAATGAGGCTGATCATCGATCATCAGATACAGAGCAATCCGTTCTTCTGCGCCAGCTTCACCGCTGGTAATGAGTGTAGTAGTATCGAAAGCCCTGGTGGTTCTATCCTTTGATCTAGAATAGAATAGAATAGCATCGTGGATAGACTGGCTAATTGTAGCTAATTGTTTAGGTTACTACTTCGATACTTCGATACGTCTTATATTATTGAACGGGGAAGTGGTGATCCTGTATCTACCCCTGAGACCTGAGGCAGTGTGGTTTCAGAGGTTATAACATTTCGGAGTCGGGTAATACATTATACAGAAAGTGGATGAATCGGCTCGTGGAAATGCCAGTCATCGAACAACAACTACGCAGGACGACAAAAGGCAATATCCTATCCCATACAATGCTGGCCTATCTTTTGAACAACCTGATTATGAAGAGGGTATTGTATTTCAGGAACGGCGGGAAAGCAAAGCTAAATAAATATTGATACATACGATATGATTGCTTGTTACTGACGTGCATCTCGATGCATTCAAGGAGTAGGCGCAAATAATGCAACGGTGGCGCAAGTGGCCATGCATGTACCGAGCCCGACGTTGCAAGCAATTAGGGCAGGGGGACCAGCGACAACAGTGACGCCAAAAGTAAATCCAGCAGCTCCATAGCATGCAACTGCTAGCACATTACACCCTGTAAGGTGACTGTTACATACGGGGTCGATGGTAGACGGTCACTGGCACTATGCACTTACCTGTCTGGCATGCTGCATAGGCAAGTGGTCCACCACGAACGGTGGGTGCAGTGGCTGCGACAAGAACAAGAGCAGCAATTGATTTGAAGTTCATAGTGGTTAATTGCCTGGGTGGTGGTGGAACGAATCTGGGAGCCTGGGTGGCAGCAAGAAAACGCAGGCTTCGATTTATATGAGCAAGTGCTTAGGGTTTCTCTTTTGGGATTCTTCTCAAAGAGGTTGTCAGTCACGAATGACATCAAATTTTTCATCATCGTCAAGAATGCGATAGAATTTGGCCCTAGATAGTATAATTACATTAGAGCCTCAACCAGAAATGCTTATAAACGAGCTTCCTTCACTTATGACTATGATCCTTGCTAGGTTTATCCATGTCAAGGACCATGAAAACAGGAGATACAGACCATCGTCACTCATCACCTGAAAATTACTGCACTGCAGCATGTGCATTATACAACAACAGTTGGTGAAATTTCAGGCCTTCGCCCCTGCGTATCGAGCATTACCAGTCAAGAGCGATATGGGTGAAGCTAAAAGACTCTCAACGACACCTGACTTATTCGGAAATATGTATCGGTTCAATCACAGCTCATGCGACTCGATATCCGCGAGAAACTCCGATAGAGAAAATTAGCTATATTAAAACTCAGACTTAACTCAGCTAACATTTGAAGAGCACCTTGACTGGAATACACTTGTGGCACTTTTTGTATTCTACTCATTACCGTGATCAGATCATCAGACATTGGATGCTCAGCGCTCAGCCTTGAATATAGGTCATTGTCAACGCTAGACTTAGTTAACCTATCCAATGTACTATGGTACTGGATAGGCAATTGATACCTCGAGAGACGCTGAGTACCATCAATTAAACCTCGGCTCTCCTAACTTAAACACCATGAGATCTTTACAGTGCAAATATGTATCTTTTTACTTGTCACCACTAGTTGTGGGTGTAGGATAGTTGGTCGAAATTCAGCTTTCCAGCTCAGATCCTCGAGGAAAAATATGTCAATGTGGCGAATTTGAATGGATGGTCATGCTAGATTCTACATTCGAGCAAATATCAAGCATAGATAATAATCTTCCTCTTTTGCCGGATTATTTTTTGGTGCTCCAACTCAGACGTCAGGATCACCATCGGACGCGCAGTGGCAGTTCGCTTTTCGAGTAGGCTCCAACACATCAGTATTCGGTAAGGTAGTGCATCAACATCATATTTTTCCAAAGTCTAATCAATTGTGCTTATTTCCAGCCAGTAAGGTCTTGAACAACAGTCTTGATCAAGTGAAGAGGTGAGAATGTGTTGTATTCTGCACAACGTCATACTTTCTGACTATGTGCTATACCTATCATCACTTATGCAAACATCGACACAAAATCACGCATATAGGCGACGTTATCAAGGTCTTCCTCTTTAGCCGAGGTATCCTCCTTCGTGCTGCATGTCGAGCAATATTTCAGGGTACACCTCGAAATGAATTTAGTATTTTGGCCCTATATACGTCATACCCCAGAAGAAGCACAATCACACAACATGAAACTATTCACTGGCGAACCCCACAAGCTGCACCAGGCTTTACAAGAACTGCCAAAGGGTATGTTTGAATATCAATCTCAAGGATACTATTATTGTAATCGCGCAAGATTAAATGATGGTCAATGTCTATAAAGCGCCTGGCCTATGACCTCGTCTCCACAAATTCCGACTCTTTCCACTGGCCCAGAAATGTTTCATCCAACCAGCCCCCATGTCCGTGCCCATACCTCTTCCCAATCATAATGGAGTTCAAGCTGGAGGATACCAGCACTACTCTGCTCGTCCACTCGACTGCTACTGCACTCTTGGCAGAATAGCCGACCACAATCACAGCCGTTCTTCGTGGCGTGCAGTGCAACGGATATGCGTTCAACTCTACTATATGCGTCTCCCACGCTGGGATTTTGGAGGACGAGTTGCACCCAACCTGCTTCGCAGGACAATGGGAGGGTGAGCACTAACAGGTTTACATCGACATGCCCATGCTTCATCTCGTACTCGCTGACGCTGGCACAACGCTCGAGAGGTATGACTACCTGCTCGAGATGCGCGAAGGCATGCCAGGGAACGGAAGATATCCAGTGGGGTATTCTGCAGACCTCTGAACTGCTCATTTTCAAAAGTTCATTGGGTAGGAATGATGTCGGCATGTCGACGATCGATGGTATCAAGAGGACGATGCGTGAAAGGGATGCAAGGAAGGCTGTACCCTCTGCCGTCCCTGTGAGAGGCCGCCAGCGCCAGAAGTCGCCCGTGAGAGTAAGGCTTTTGGTACGCCAGGGTAGTGAAGATGGTTTGTGGGAAGGCGCGAACCAGACACTCTCAAGGGCGTAATAGAGGATGTGGATACCTGAAAAGTTTATCGCAAGTTCTGGGGCGGCGAGCAGGGCTGGTGCAAGAAGTGTATAATCCAGTGTATCTGTCGAATCTGTCTGTTCATCATGGAACATGCTACCGTATGGCATATTCTCGTGAGAGTGTAGGGATGGTACTAGTGGTGCGCAGCACTCATCTACCCATATCCTACGAACATGTCTTGTGTAATCGACGTGGAGATGGCGTGCATTCAAGTGATGCACTTTCTGCATACGCAGAGCATTGACAAACGAGGATACATGGCATGAGCGGGAAAGCAGGACGGTGTGGAGTAGTTCTGGGATTACGGCGTGACGAAACGCGCGAGAAACGAGGCAAAGGCTGAGAGCAATGGCATATGGATTATCGGGTCGACGGACGGCATTAGACGAGGATAAGTCAGGTGCTGCTGCAAACCTGATTATTTCTAGAGCGAGTTCTGTGGATAATCTGGAAAACGGAAAGGTAAGCTTGATAGATTTGGACTGCATTTTTGTGAATGATCTGTAGGGGTACTATCGTTGAACACTTATAAGAAAGCGATACAAAAGACAGAACTTTCTTGTGAACGCACACAAAACGCGTTTCGTGTCCTTTTGTTATCTTCCAGTGAGGCTGATCCAATCGCCCCGTTATTGTCTATTTCCCCCAATTGAACCGATCGATCGGTGACTGAGACGTGTTGGCCACAAGGGACAACATTGTATACCGATTAGGAAGGAAGGAAGTTTGATTCCGCTGATATCGCAGTACCAACATTCCAGTTTACTTATCGAGGTCACCGTCCACGACGATGACGACAAGAGCCAGATAATAGGTGAACATGACAGCAGTCAAACTGCAATTGTTCGCCATGCTCCACTTGACAGGGAATCGGATCTGTAGGTGCCTCCGGTAGCTCCGGTGAACCGGTGAGCCGGCAATTAAACGTTGATAGAGGGCGCTCGCTGGGGAAATGGAAATCTAGAATCCCACAGCTTGTATTTCCTAATTTGAACTTCCCTTTCTTTCAACGAGATCCTGTCATGAATGTCATAGTCAAGAACTCTGGCTTATTCTTGTTTACATTGCCTCGTGCTGTTATTGTCTACCATCGATCGTCTGATTGGGCCACACTTGGGAGAACGGTGACTGCGAACTCATCGTGATCGTGAAATTTCTTTTCCTCTCAGAATCTCATGATGCTCCGTTCACGTGTACTCACAAAATTTCATTCACATAGAAACGTTGAGCTGAGCTAGAAAACGCTTGACAACGTCAGGCTGAGCAGTGTGAGCACAAAACAAGTTCCAAATTCCTAAAACATACGCAATGCAACACCAGTAGTTACAATATTGACAAGTCTGCTACATACCGCCAGGCGATTCCTAAGATGTACACCCATATTATACAATCATCACCTAATCAAGCTTGTATGTGACTTGGAATGCCCATGCATACTGCACTTGATCAACTTGGCCTTCGGGCACCGTTATGGTGAGTATGCCTGCATCGTCAAGAGTCCACGGGAGTGATGTTGCAGACGAGCTAGAAGTAGAGGAGGAAATCGTAGAATTAGGGGCAGGCGTACTTGGCCCAAGTAGCTCGATCGTGTCCCCTGCCATCAATGGTAACACAGCACCTCCAGAATCGACGACAAGCTTGCCGTCAGATGGCTCCACGAAGGCTACGACGCAAAAGGTAGTAGGCGTAGACAGGAAGCGCACAGAAGCAGTGGGGGATTGGGAAGCTTGATACCAGTAAGTCTGCAAACATAGTAACAGGATGTCAGTGATCGATACATCATGTATTTACCAAAAGCCAAGATAAACGTTTGCTAAATGCAATTCAAACGCACTGTGTTGTAAACACATTCTCCCGCATAATTCAGCCACTTGCCAGCATCGAGTAGGTTATTCATCATGGGCGCGATGATCTCACCCTCCGCAGTAGGTCCAATATCAAGTAAGCTGTGGGACCGGTTAGAGCCACTGATCGGCTTGTTTCGATCAAGAACTAGAACTCACTAGTTCCCGTTCTTACTAACAACGTCCACTAGTGTTTGGATGATCGTCGTTCCGTTCTTGTACTCGCTCGCGTTAGTTGCGGTGTTCAAGCCGTAGCTGTAAGGGTCCATGCCCTCACTCGTCTCCCACGCACGAGTCTGGAGGGAACCGAACGTCGCATATTCTGGGGTATCGAAATCGGGGACAGCACCACAACCTGTGATGGGGTGATAGGTAAAGCGAGAGTTAAATGAAAAGTGGGCATCGAATGTGCTTACGATTGTTCATGGTGACCTGTCTTCCAGTCTGCATCGCGTTGTTGTAGAACTGGGCTGCAAAGTCAAGGGTTTTGTTCGGCCCTCCGATGTCGCACCACTAGAGTCAATGCGTTAGTCTGAATGCTCAACAGGACTTTGCCATATCACATACCATGATCTCACTTTCATAATCCAATGCTAGGTCGAGCATCTGTGGCAACTGCAAGTCATCCAGGAAGTCTTCGATCTCAAGGATACCAGTATAGGGTTCGATTTCAGAGGCATTAAACGCGTTGTGCGCGAGCCCTCCTGGCCACTGACCGAAACCATACTTTGCAAAGTAAGGATTGAACCTACAGGAATCACTACAATCGTAACAAGGAGCACTGCGTATGGTAGCAAATACTCACCACTCCGGGAGAGAAAAGTAGGTCCCACGGTGCAGATTAGGGTAATCAGCTTTCGCGGTGTCCATGAACTCTCTCAGGAAGTCGCGATAAGGAGGAAGGTATACACTTGATCGATGTGTTGTGTTCTTGGTATCGAACAATCCGTAACCATCGTGGTGTTTCTGCGAATCTACCATTCAGCCCTCTCGGTTGCAATAACACGACAGAGATAGTAAGTAGATAACGAAATATACTTACAGTCACAAGGACAAAGTATTTTGCTCCTGCATTCTCGAAAAGATCAAGCCAGGCGCTCGGATCCCACTTCGAAGCTGTGAAGTTGGCGATGAAATCGTCGTACACGACATCCTAAGTACAAGAAGTCAACGTCATGTTTACCGTAGTCTGCAAACGTGGTCACATACTGGGCCAAATGTTTCCAGATGGTGCTCCCATGTAGGGCTGCTCGAGTTAGGTGGGTTGTGCAGGGACCAGCTGAGCAGCAGTCAGATCCGAGATCGATAAGAAAGCTCAAGCAACACGTACTCGTACCACTCCGCGTAAGAATGGGGAGGGCCCCATGCTGGTACACTGTATATGCCCCAATGTACACTAGGAAAAAAGTCAATGCTGGTATCACAAGCAAACTTCACGTCGCCACGCACAATATCCCATATTTCGCTTGATTCCACTGAACAGGAGTTAATCCATATCACGTTCATGACTTCATCAGAGGATGGCTCACCCAAGTGGGTGTCTCATGCAGACTGAGAACATCCTCATCCGGCATCCAATTTGTTATCAATGGCGAGATAGGCCAACCATCTGATGTGCCAACGACATTCCCACTTGCATCTTTTATTGTGATTGTCGCATTACCCGTACCATTGTCATTCAGCACCAGCACATCCACGCGTGCCTGGTCAGAGGGAACGAGGCGATACACGAGGCCAGGAGACACAGTGGTGACGCCAGTCCCTGTTACTTCAATCTGATATTCTGAGTTGATAGACGTGTTCGACGAAGCGTCTATGGAACCAGGTAAGAGATTGGCCAATGTAATCTCAACTGCTTGAGCTTGCTGGCCCTGCACGTCCTCCCAACGCGTGCTGAAGCGAGCCCCGCGTATGGACAAGGCAGGTGCGGAAGGAGGCGCCTCAGCTGAGGGTACGACAGAAGGTGAAATGGACACGGCAAAGATGTGCAGTCTATTAGCAGTGTTCGCAGTATTTGGGAGAGTGATGCTCTTCAGCGCGGCACGGGATGGTATAGAGACAGACCACACGAAGATCTGGCTGGAGTTGTAGTCCTTTCGGGATCCGTAGTCTACAAAGTAGTATGGACTATATGCGTGTGGTTGGAGCATAAATAGTGTACTGTAAAGAAATTGGCTACTTACGTTCGGATTATACCCCAGTTTAGTATTGGCCACATCCACCAGTTTTTTCCTGTGACTGGTTTTCACGTTTCCGTGTAAGGGTACGTAAATAGGACTGACATTTATGTACTCACATTCAAGCTCTTTCACAGAATTGTCTTCGTAGTTGAGCTGGAAAGTCCCGTTGAACTGACCTACATGAGCTGCATCAGCAGCGAGCATATATTGGAGAAAATGGAATTTACTATCAGCCCCATCACCAGAATACAAAACATGCAATTCGTGTATATATGTTGCATTTGTTAATTCAATTTTTTGGCCTTCAGCTATCAGATTATCGTCGCCTTCGCCCCAAACGGTTGGTAGATCATACTACAACCATGATGAACACATATATGCGAGCTATGTTATAATGCTGCGACATACCGTAATTCCATCGTACACCCAAGGTCCTTGTGGCAAGTATTGTGCAGCGAAGGTTGACCCATTGCCATCAAAATTACCTGTATCACCGTACACTGAAGCTGCTTGGTTGTTAAAACCATTTTGTATAGGTACTACGACGGAAGGAAATGCAACAAGCGCGTTTACGAACCCCAAGGAGGAGAGTATAGCTCCCCAGGATAAGGAGGCAGGAAGACTGAAGACCCTCATATCACGGAGCTCCTGCCCCAGCTCGAAGGCCGAGTTTAAGTAGGCATTGTAATCCTACAGAAGAATAAAGTCAGGGGTCAGATCTCTAAGGTTCAAGATTGAAGAGTCGCATCGGCTGACCATGGTCACAGTACTATTTTTCTCTGAAAGAACGATGAGAGCGTGTTGTGTGAGTCAGATGATTTGGGAAGAAGCACGACGAAGTATTACTTACAAGAAGAGTGTATCCTGTGAGTATTGATGGGGATGGGGACGGGCCGTTTTATCCTGCAGAGCTTCCCAGACGTAAATTGTGCATGCGACCGAGAATGCAGTTTCTGTTATGGTGGGAGGAGAGAGGAGTCGGGGAGCGAAGAAAGACATCTCCTGAGTATGGCTAAGATAGAATGAGTGTTGACGTACTGGGGTTGCCAGGTTGCACTACAAGGTCTTAAGAAGGGTGGAGAAAACGGGCTTTCAAGGTCACATGCAATAACGAAAGCGAAAATATAAATATAGAAGAGGACTTACCAAAAATGTCTCGCTGCTATAATGCTGCTGTGAGACTCGCGCTATAGTAAAGCTTCTTTGCAGTGTGTCAAAGCAACTAGTAAGTATATCATGCGCATACAAGCAAGCAGAAGAACATATTCTCATCCTGATTGGGCTGATATTGGGGAATGACGTAAATGCATTGGTTGTGATTATGTTGTGGAGATGCGTAGTCGAATCAAGTGGTTACGAGCAGGGAAGACCCGAAATTTGATGTACTGAATCATGAGCGAATGGTGCAGCCGATATCACGGCCCAGGATGATGAGAAGTCGACAGGGTCTGCCATTGGCGCATATATTCCATTCGCGTCCCAGAAAAGACTACGAGGGGCGGGCCTCAATGGGTGGAAAGTTAGCTGAATTAGGAGAGATGTGGTCTAGAGTCAGAAGGCTACGTCTCCAAGGTTTTCAAGGTGCGCTTCTGAGGGCAGTGAGCCTTAGTGAGCGCATGATGGCACCCCTGTCTGGCCTTCAGATGAGGGGCTACGAATTGAAATCTGACGAACACAATGTGAACAGTGATGCCATCTCCATCGTAGATGAGCTGTCAAACTTGTCAAGACTGTGATATGATGTAAGTTAAGGACTAGGCCCCACAGCTGCCTAGTATCACAAACACCGTTAAGCCTATACATATCATTCCAGCTCGTCGAGCTCGAGCGTGTGGTGACGACTTCCGAATATAATACACCAACGTCGAGATGCTGGTTCAATGAATATCCCGCAGAGAAGCAAAGACCGGGAAATGTGAGAAAGAAAAAGAAAGAAAGGCCGCATCAAAGATTCCTGTGAGGCCGGACAGCAGAAACAAAGGCATATTTTGACAGCGAACGCTGTGCTGGATCGTCAAACCGGCGCCACACATCCGCTGTATGTCGAGAGCACCCGCGGCATCTCCCGTCCCTCACTCACGCTGTATAAGTATATGACCAGCGAAACATCTGGCTCTTCCCCTTGAGCTCTTACTCCCATTCCAGTTAGCAGCTGAAGGTATAATTTCATCTTTTTCTCTTTCCTTTGCCTTATCGGAGCTAACCGTCCTTTGCGTTTATCCTCCGCAGTATCGTTTTTACACGTAACGCTTACGGTTTTCCTGCACGTTCTTTTCAAACTTGGAATCCTCATCCCCGTATATATTTCTCACTCAACCCGCTCGTTCTATCAGCGATACTTAACTATGCCTCCACGACGGGGTGCTCCGTCTTTCAACACATTGAGCCCCCAGGATGCTGCATCATTTCCTTCTTCTGATCCTTCCTCTCCCGCCAATCTTCTATTTCCCCGTTCTACTTCTCCCTCTTCTGGATTCTCCAGCTTCCTCTCTAAATCCTCTAAATGGTTTGGTCGCAAACCTTCTGATCCTCGTTATGCCCCTGGTCCTCCTGAGCCAAGATCGAGCACAAGCTCGGTTGGAAGAAAGCCCAAGATATCACGTCCTACAGACCCGCGCCCGATACTATCTTCCTTCCAATCAGACTCACATGTCTCTAATAACGCTAGCAAGTAAGTTATCGCAGTCACATCTCGTTCATTGACGCGTCACTTCAGCTCTTTTCCCTTACTTTCTATTTTCGTTCATGGGTCACATCGCCCTATTTATCGTATCGCACGATACTTGGCATGTAAAAACTTTATACCGATAGCTTTTCACGAATTTCACTGTGACTTGTATTGTATTCCATTTGTTTTAACGCGAATGTGAACTCCACTTTTCTGCAACATGGTTTCGTCAGCAAAATATTCGTAATACTGATCCCTCCGTGACAGGTCTGCTCTTGATCTGTCAACTCAGTCTCAAGCATCCCCAGATTTTTCCCGTCCCTTCCCGTCCTCACAGCCATCCTCTCCTGACACCAATCGAGATCTGGGTGACCTTCGCAGTGTATCACGCAAAGGGTGGTCAAAGTCGGCTGATGATCTTGGAACCTTCTCGTCGCCTCAATATTCGCCCGTAGACGTTTCCTTCCAGCACAGAGTACACGAATATAGGAATAGGAGTAACAGCAGTGCCACTCTGTATCCCACTTCCCCCAACAGCAATACAGCCCCTGCAAGGCATCCATTTCCTAGTATCGTAACGTCTATGCCTCTTTCTACTTCTCCCCCTGATATCAGCACTATGCCAGAGGGTGGTATCTCCATATCCGTTTCATCCCCAACGACATCAGAGGCTCCCACTCCTACAGAGGCACAATTTCATAATCGTACTACATCTTTCACTCCTCGCCTGCCTTCTAAGCTATCTGCTTCCAAGCTGGGCTTCTCTCCAGCTAGTCCTAAACGGAAAGGCTCGGGCGATGGGGACTCCATTAAAGACCGGGAAAGAGATGCTGATAGGGGTGTTGTCGGAAATAACATGCCTGCTCGTGGCGTCTTTCCATTCGGCCTCAGTGGAATATCTTCCACCAAACAGCACTCCATGACCAGTGTCACCAGTGTCCCCAGCATAGGCCAAACCACTAATATAACACACTCACCTGCATTACTGGCTCCTCCCACAATGTCCATTCTGGGAGAAGAAGACGAGGGCCTCCGCGACTCTAAACGCACCTCACAAATAGTCTACCATTCAGGGTTCATCAATCGTTTGGCAGATGCTCCCCCTTCTCAGTATCGCAATACAGTTGTGAATTTGACTTCTTCGAAGGCGTGGAAATCATTCAAAGCCGAGCTTAAAGGATCAAAAATGTATTTTTACAAGCCGCCAAATGATAGGAATGCCGCTATCAAGGAATTATTTCCAACAGAGTGTGTTCCAGTGATTGATGAGGATGAAGAAGTAGAAGTAGAAGGCGATGGAGAAGGAGCCGGATTGGGTAAAGGAGGGAGAGCCAGAGATGAAGGTACAGCTGGACGCAAAAAGAGGGCATATTGGGGGAGACGAACACACCCCGCTTTGGTACATAGCGAAGCAGGGGTTGAGAAGGGGACATTTGAGGCTCTTATTCACGAAGGGATTTTTGCCACGACATTCATGATTTCATCCGACCACCATCAAACAATATCAGACAATCGTAGACCCGAGTGGAAAGACTTTTCGTCTGCAATTTTACTTTGTCTACCGGTCCTCGCTGGGCACGCAAAGTTCGAGAATGAATTTACCCGTTGTTGTGCGTATCTTGTGAGTGGAGCGGACGATGATGTCAAGGAGGCTGAGCGTTCTAGGGTAGCGTGGCTGGCTGATGAGTATCTCAGGTATCATGGGACTCCCAACGACGAGGCTGGATGGAACGAGTGGGCATCCGATACCATCCCCGATTTCTCATGGAACGCAAGTGGTTTGAACACGATCTCTGGCTTCCCGAAGTCGTCATCTACACAAGCGCTATACGTACCTTCTCCAAACGTCAGTATGATATCCCCTGCTATGGGAAGTACGGCATTTTCCCCCAATTTGGCTACATTTTCCCCGAGGCCTGATGAGAATGCGAAGCTTGCCTCTCTGATGGAAGCTTTGGGCGGGGCTGAGGGAATGGCCACTCCAGGGTCTCCGTCTGCGAAGCTGACTGGGACTATGCGGCAAAATGTTCAACAAGCCTTCGCGAATATCCCACCTGTGGACTCCAGACTATGGACGTTATTGGATCAAGATGGGCTTTCTCGCGAAGTCTTGTCAATGCTAGACCCTCGTGACATAGCAGAAAGTCTTCGCCTTTTCCATCACAATGTGTTGCAGAACCTTCCTGGAAACATGACTTCAAGTGACATAATTGGTTCTGTCGATGGTTCTAATGGCCACCATGTCCCCACCGCATTATTTGGTAGCGAGGCCCATCCACATTGGCTCACTAAGCTGCTCCTTGTGCAGATTCTTGTTCCTGATACGTCTGGTGGTGGTGGCGGCGGCGGCGGGGGGAGTAGCGCTGTTTTATCCCAAACATTCCCCTCTGGACGTGTATCAGAAGAGCGGAATGCACAAACTTCACGTACGCATTCGCGCTCTGAGGTTATCACCATTTGGATCAGAGTAGGTGAGATGTCTCGCAAAGCAGGCGATGAATGTTCGTGGCAAGCTATATTTTCTGCGCTGTGTTCTCGACCTGTGGCCAGACTAGACAAGGTGTGGAAGAGGGTAGATCGTCTGGCCCTTGCCACCATCGAGTCGTGGGTTTATCCTGGCATGGACGGCAACATAACCTGCGTGAATCAGCCTTTAACTACTCCATGGGGTGGAGATATCAAGGACTCTATTAAAGAGACTCTGGATCAGGCTAGAGAGGGAGGAGAGGACGGTTGGACGATGAATCAATTGTTGAAAGCAAGGGATATGTTTGAAAGTTTAAGAAGAAAAGTTTCTCTTTGCCCTAGGATGACTGATCCCGCTAGGGACACTGCTTCACAGGAAGTCCAGAAGCTTGTAACACTATGGCAAGAATTCAGCGACGAAACCAGTAATAGAAGCAATCTTCCAGTCAAATATCAACGGTGAGCTCCTCAACGACTATCATTTAGATAATGTTAACATGGGTTGTCATGAAGAATCGATGAGTTTATGTCACTTTCTCTGGCAGCCGAGCCTCGGCGTAAAGGTCTTTTTGAACCGTATTTCTGGTCTCATACAATGTCTTCCCCACATACTATGTGTCACTCCCTTATTCCCCTTCTTTTTGCAGAGCCTTTGCCTACAGTGTCGTTGATTGATCGCGGGCAAATCTGGCGTGGTCGCATCGAGAGTAACCCCACCAGACTCAATTTACAAGAGTTGCAGACCTTCGGGGCTCTTGATACATCCCTTAGATCAATCAACGAACAAAATTTCGATCCATCGAACAGCATGGAAAAGCTTTATAGCGTTGGAGGTGTAGATCTTCGTGGAACAGCGATACCTGTTTACGATGGAGAGCTCTTATTAGTCGTGCAGAGCAACCTCGAAACATCCTCCGCGTCCCGGCCTCCCTCTCGTGCACCATCTCGACCACCAAGTTCCGTTATCGACGGTTCCATCACCGAGAAACCTATGGCCCGAGCTCCTTCTATCCGAGTCAAACCTGGATCTTCCCATGGACTTGATCGAAAAAGCAGTCTCGCTCGCCGTAACTCTCTTCCATCGATCTCACCTCGTCCCAACTTTGTAGTTACGGAGCATTCGTCCGAGAAGCCTCTTCGTGTATTAGTGCAAGCGGGTACATTAGATCGGCTAGTGCATGTTCTCATTCATGGTCTTCAAGGTGTCTCTGTCGCTGTGTCTGATGATAATGGGGAAACATCCTTACGGGAAGGCAGAACCAGGGATCTTGTCGTTGATCGTATGGACTTTGCTAGAGTATGGTGGAATATATTTAGAAGTTTTGTAACGCCTATCGTCTTTTTTGAGGTATGTTGCTTATCTGACTGCCCATTAACTGGCCCGTATTGACTTCTTTGTAGTTGTTGCGCAAACGTTATATTATCAGCAAAACCCCGAATAATCCTGCCCTTGATATCCTCGGTATCATCCGTATTCGATCCGAAGTATTAGAAGCCATAAAAGAATGGATAACGTTTGGTGGTGGTGGGCAGGATTGTCTTGACGATGTCCAGCTCTACGCCACGGTGCGAACTTTCTTGGATAGGGGTGCTGAACATTCCTTGCCAGACGTCGATTCTTCGGACGAGCCAGCTGTATTTGAAGCTTGGTCTGCTCTAGAAAAGAGCAGAACGCATGTTTTTATCACGTTCGAATCGAATACTATGAGGCCACCAACACGTTCCATCGTCAAATCTAGGACCCCTGTTGGGTCCAGGACACGCAGTTTTGGTAAAGAAGCTCCAGATATTGACCGAATTAGTCCGGAAGAATTTGTCGATAATATTGACGCTATGGCAGGCGCAGCATTTAGTAATGTTAGCGAGGAGGTGATTTTTCTCATTCTTATTTATGCTTGCGTTACTGACGTTAGTATTTTCTATAGGATCTTTTCATAACTTCTGATCTGCTTGAAGTTCAAAGCGCAGACCGAACAGGGTGGTTCCCAACTCGAGATATACCTTCAACAGACGATGTTGAGATACAGACTATGTACTCACACATCTTAGAGATCGAGCCATCGTCTATGATTTCCGAATTATCTCAAGATGTCATTTACCGGATCTTGCCTCCTAGCATTCGAAGCTGCATTCGGGCATACACTATTTTGCGCAAATGGTTGACTTCAAAACTCGTGGCTCCAAGGTTAGGGCTGCGATTGCGCCAGAAACGTATGGACTTCTGTTTACGAGCTATTGAAATAGCACGATTGCGCCACTATAATGGTCCAGTCGTACTAGGATGCGCCGATCAACCATGTGTGCGCTCTTTCGTAGAGGCTGTGGTTGTTTCAGCCGTCATCAGTGTGGAAAGCCGTATGCATCACCGCGCATGGCAGAACGTTGCAGTAGTCCGTGGCGCACAATGTGATAGCCTCACCTCTCTGCTGTCCAGACCGACGTCCCAAAGAAGGCCGGGTTCTGAGGCTTTGGTGGTCGACATGAGCTGGCTCTTGGAACGCATGCTAGAGATCGTTAGTATTCCCAATGCTGTCACATCTTCCCCCGAGGATAATCAAAATATCATCAATCTTGACAAGCGCAGGTAAGGAGTGTCTCGCTTCACCGTTCGAGGCCTTACTTGACGATCTTCTAGGCACCTGTGCAATTTCATACAGAACAATCCATCCCTCAGTATGTTGCGCCCGACTCGTCAGCGTGAGGATATCGACCGAAAAGATTTCGAGCGCTTGAATAATATTGAGAAAGAAGTCACAGTATTACACTTCGATCACAAATTTATTAAAGATGAAGCACACCGCGAAGCCCTTCAGGCCAGTGTCAACGGTACTTCTTCTGCCAAGAAGGCAGCTCGCCCTTTCCAAAAGCTTGTTGTGGTCCAACAGGAGAAGAACAAGCGGGACAGGCACTTGCGCGACCGACTAAGCAAGGAAAAGAAGCAAGAACAGCAGCGCAATGATAAACGAGATGACTACTTAAATAAAGCTATGCGACCCCGGAAACCCGTTTCACAGTTGCAAAAACAGCATCGGAACAAGAAAAGCATGTCATCAGCATTCTTCCAATTAATGAGGCCGATCTCGAGTGCGTTCACGGATAACACTTATCCTACTATCAAGCGGTCACCTGCGGAGCTAGACTTCAGTCCTTCTGGAAAACCATCCCTCGTACTTAGCATTGTTGATGCAAAGGTAGCGCAGTTTATCAACAACGATAGATCGTTCACTTTCCAGCTCGATACTGAAGACGGTGGTCATTACCTTCTCCAAGCCATCTCAAGAAGGGAGATGATATTTTGGATCGACCATATCAACCGTGTTGCAAAGATTGCTGCCAAGCGGCGTTTAACATATCTTGGAAATTCGCCCAAACCCCAGCTATCAGATCATATTCATAATCAGCCTGTGGCTACTTCGGCTTCACGCGACCCAACGGCTGGTAAGTTACGTAGACCATTCTGCTTTCGCTTCTTCTAATAACTTTGCAGTCTTCGGTGTCGAGCTCGAATTTTTGCTTCGCCGTGAATCTGAAGGTCTGGACATCGAACCAGGGACCATCCCTTCCGTCATGGAACGATGCTTGCTGGAAGTAGAGACTCGAGGTTTGACTGAAGTGGGAATTTGTGAGATCGAGAGCCTCATTCATGGTTACGTCTTCTAACTTGAATATAGACCGCATTGCTGGCGCTACTTCTGAGATCAGTGCTCTTCGAGAGGCTTTCAATCGAGGTACAAGTTTGCAATCTATAATTCATTTCCATACTTAACTCTGATCTGTTCAGGCGAGTCACCAATTACGCCATCTACAGACATACATGCTGTATGCGACCTCGTGAAGTCGTGGTTCCGAGTGCTCCCAGAACCTGTTTTCCCAGCTTCTGCTTACTACAACGTCATTGATGTTATGAGTATGTTTATACTATTCCTTGTGAACTGATCCTAATGGTAGTCAACAGAACTTGATGATCTCGAGTCGCGGCTCACTAGCATACGCCGCGTCGTCCAAGGCTTACCTCAGGCAAATTTCGATCTGCTCAAGCGGGTGGCTGAACATCTCGATAAGTGAGTGGGCGTTTACCAGGTTTTTTGCGTCCCTAATATCTCGTTCGTGGCATAGAGTAACCGACTACGAAGAGAACAATCAGATGACCGCTGAGGCACTTGCCATCGTTTTCAGTCCTAATTTGCTTCGCGCTCCTCAGAACGATTTCGCTCTCATACTGGCAAATATGGGCCATACGCACAAACTTGTTAAAGCTTTAATTACTCATGTAGGTTCATTTAACAACAAGAAAGCTATAAGCGCTAATGGGATACCATCGTAGTTACATGTCATTTTCGATGACGACCTGGAAGAAGCAGATAATGATGCAGATGATGATGATATAGAGGAGCCTATCCTCGAAGAGGACGAAGAGGAGGAGGATATGCCTTCTCCTAATGCCTCGGATGCTGAAGATTGATTTCATTGTGCGATTACTCATGGACATTCCAATCTGCCACTCTTCGCATCACCTGTACGTACTTCATAGGTTTCATTCTCACATTCTCCTTTGTTAGGGACGGACCTTCGACAATGTCATAGTATATCAATCGGACTAGCCTCAGAGCTCGCGCTACAGCGCCCCATATGCTTGTTCGAGTGTTGGTTAATTACAATACTCTTCAGATGAGGTGACAGTATCACCAGTGGACTTGTATTTATCGATACGATACCGCTATCGCTTTCGTATATCACTCTCCTTTTTCACTTAGTCTTCTAACAAGATTTTTACTTCTTGCGGATGGAGTATTTATCCAGTCTGCCTCGTGCACAAAATTATCGTATAGTTGTATGTACTAGATCATTGTTTCTAATCTTCATCCCAGTTCCCCGCTTGTTGCGGTACTTTAGGTCCGCCTGCAGGTTTGCTCATGATGATGCTATCAACACTGAGGACTGATACAGCTGCCTCAGTAGCCAGACGAATCGCCCATGTTTTTGCGGCTAACGAGTCGAGAATCTTGTGCTCTGTAGCCAACAGAGTACCATCCGATTCGTTCTGTTTACATTAGGCTCCGTTAGCAAACATCAAACAGTACCCATGAGGCATTACATACCTCGACGTCAACACCCCAGGCTTCGCCACCTTTTTGCTCGTGTTTAGCCCAAAGTCGACTGAGAACTTCGTTGCCTTCAGATCCACCCATAGCATTTTCGGCCAGTGTTCGCGGTATAACCTCCAAAGCGGTAGCATAACGCTTCACGGCGTGCTGCGCAAGACCCTTCAAGCCACTCCCATACGCCTCAACTCGTCTGCCGAGTTCCAGCTCTGTTGCGCCAGCGCCGGGGACTAATTTAGGGTCCTTCATGAGTGCCTTGATGACGTTAGTGCCGTCATCAATAGCGCGCTCGAGATCATCGAGATGATTTGACGTTGCACCACGTAATACTATGGTAGCAGTTTGGGTCTTCTCTCCTAATCCACTGTAGCCAGCATCTCCATCAACTAGCTGGCGAAGAACAGTAACTCGGTCGCCACCAATTTCGATGGTTTCAAAGACATCTACAAACCCAGCCTCTTCGGGGGTAGGAGCACCCATCCGGGCCAATGGGGTAGCATTGACAACACGACAGAGACGACGTAGTTCAAACTTGGACAAAACTTTCAGGACCGCGATGTTGAGACGATTGAGATAATGAAGGGCAAGCTCTCCAACACTCGAACCAGCTATGATCACTTTGATCCCAGAGTCAGCGATCTCTTGGAAGATCTTTTTATATCATTAGTGAACTAATTGACAGCTATGATATGATATACGTACCTTTTCGAGATGTTTCTCCTCTCCGCGAGTGAAGTTCAACATTTCATCAGCATTCTTTATAAGTACCGTGCCTTTTGTTTCTGTCTGAGCAACATCTAGTGCCGAGGTGAAGACCGCAACCTTGGCCTTCGCTACCTTTTTCACCATTCCTTTGAGATGTCTCAGTTAAGACTCTAACATTAACCATGAGACGATATCATACCTTCTGGCTCGCGTCCAAACACCATTCCCTGAACTACACGACTACCACTAAGACTGCCACCCATGATCTTTACTACGCGAACATTATCAACATTGAAGTATTTTGGGTTCTTTGGCATGACTGCAAGCGCAGCTTCTGCAACCAGAGACGATAAGATATCCTCAAAGCCATATTGCTTCGAGGCAATAGCAGGTTTCAGTGCCTCAGCCAAACTTGAGTGGGTGAACGGTGAAGGCAAACTGGATGTCGATAGATCTGAGCTGATCGTGAGCCGGCCTGTTTTGCTATATAGATGATGACAGACGTACTTTCTAGCTCAGTCAATGCCTTCGAACATGCAAGCTCGTAACCTTTGATGACCTCACTCGGATGCAAGCCCATCACTAGCAGATTTTCCGCCTTCTTCAGCAACTCACCCGCGAATATAATAACCATATTCGTCGCATCACCCATCTAACCACATCTCAGTTACAGGGGATAACATATTGAGATAATCTGAGCCTACCTCAGACTCTTGAGCTTGCGAGGCCATTACGAGAAGTTTTGCGGCAGGGTGAACGACCTCGACCTCACGAATGATAGTTGCCGCATCAGAAGTCACGAAAAGTCGGCCAAGATGATTGATCAAGAGTTTGTTGCGACCTAAAATATGATCAGTATAGTGGCTTAAAGGTTGTATTACGTCTCATACCGTTTGGCCCAAAACTCGTGCGTACCAGATCAGATAATTCAGAGACAGCCTGTATGTTACGGAGAACGGCATCCTCAAGCCCTTGGACTTGCTGCAAACGTGATTCGTTAGATGACTGGTACAAAAGCAACGTACAATCATACCTTGTAGCCGTCTTTGAAAAGCTGGATATTGCTGGCCTTGGGTACTTTGAGCGACATGTTTGTTGGGTCAAAGACAGCAGGCGCGATTGAGAAACGCGTCCAAAGTGATTACGCTTATTGCGACTTTTTTGGTTGAGACTCCGCGCCACCACATTTGCTCAGTCACGGTGTCCACAGCTTATTTCCTGACAGACACTAGTGACTCCTTACCTTATACCTTTACATGCATTCTTGTTAAACTGAACAGTCTATTTATCCCTCCACAGATTCACTGATTACAGCATGGTTCTCAAGATGGCTGAAGCGGCGGTCAACGCCATTTTACCATCCAAATACTTCGTGCCCACCGCCGTAGCCATTCTCGTCGTAGTCGTGGTACATGCATTTGCACAAGGCCGGACTACCTCTCGCGAACGTGATCTTCATGCTCGTACCATTTTAATTACAGTAAGTGTGCTTTGAGCTGCATTCCTCACATTTCTGACCGCAACTCCCAGGGTGGTTTCACACCATCGGGTTTGATTCTTATCCAGTCTCTAGCTGAAAGAGGGGCACATATAATTGCCCTTTCACAGAAACCCATCGAATCCCCGGAGGTGGATATTCTGGTAACATTGCTGCGGTCTTCGACGAAAAACGATCAGATTTTCGCAGAAGAATGTGACCTCACCTCTCCCAACTCCGTGCGATCATTTTGCATGCGTTTCTTGACTGGAAAGGAACAAAGATTGGACGCTCTTGTTTTTGCTCATGAATATCAGCATATAGGCTCTATATTCTCCAGTGACTCTGTCTCTTCTGCATCCGAACAGAGACACGAGGCATCGCTGGCCACCTTCCTGATCATCACACTCCTCCTCCCAGCTTTACTCGTTGCTCCAATCGAACGAGACATCCGCATTGTAAACGTTGTCAATCCCTTCTATGCAGCAGCAGCTCCATCTTACTCCCCTGTAAAACCTGTGGCCAAATCGTCGTCTTTGTTTCTTCACGAGGGAAGAAGGTCTTTACAGATGGCCATCTTCACACGTCATTTACAACGAATTCTAGATGCTCTACCATCAGGAGCCCAAGTACCGAAAACCGAGGAAAACACGAGCACCGTCCATGTAGTAAGTGAAAGGGTGCAAAAGTCCAATATTGTCGCCGTCTCTGTCTGCCCTGGTATAAGCAGATCGGATACTATTGCGCCTCTCTTGAGTGCTGACAGTAATTCTGTTCGGTCTACGACTGGTATATTCTTGTACGTGTTTTGTATTTCGTTGGTAATTATCACATTGTTTATCTAGCTACTTTTGAAGCTATATCCTGTTGCAACCTTTCCTTCGACTTCTGACGAAAGCTCCTGCATCGGCAATACAGTCGATTTTGCATGTGCTTTTCCTTCCAACGCCTTTCAAAAGCGCACCTCTCAAGTCTGGGCCTAGCGATCCAGTGCTGGGCGATGCCCTCCCTGAAGAAGTTCTGAAGGCCGGGGCACTATACAGAGAGTGTGCTGTTGTTAATCTCAAAGTTCCTCCACTTGAGCGTCCACCTTCGTCGTTGGATTCCGGCAAGAAAGGGGAAGAGAAAGATATTCCTATACCAGACGATGGCGAATGGGGCGGCGTCGACCTTGGTCAATCAGTATGGGAGCATTTTGAAACGGCATTGAAAGAGTGGGAGAAGGCACACCCAGCGCCTGATGAGAAGCCATCTCAGGAGAGCTCATCCCCACCAGAATCCGTTGTCGGCTAGGCAAGCAATCTATATTTGTATATTTGCTCCGAGCTAATGTTCGTGAATGATAGTTTACATCTGAGTAAAATCTACATGTTACTTTACAAAGATCATACCGGACATTTGGAATGCCTGAACTGTTATCCAGCTACAGTTCTTTGGACGTATATATAATAGATATCGAATAGTTGTAAATGCAGGTGAGATAACTCCCGGATACCATCGTCCCATCATCAACGCTCTTCGTCTCAGGTAAATAAATAAAAAGTATCAAGTGTCCATATCCTCTTTCTCCATGCTCTCCACAACTGTTTCTAGTGCCACCTTTGGCTTGCGAAGCACCGTTATTTGGAACTCTGCTTTACCCTCTTTGGACACCCTCTCCATTCTACGCAGCCCTAGATCGGTCGTGCAGAGGACATGATCAGTCCCTTGACTGTTCTCGTTTAGAACCTTGTCTTCCCCAAAGGCATCGACCATGGAGGCAGGGTTGTAGGTTTGTCCAGAGGGAAAGTGGATGATCTGTAGATCAGCTGATGTGACATCCTCTCCTATCGCCTTGTTCAAGCGAAGTGCCATTTTGACAACAGTCAGCAACCTTTCTCCGAACTTTGAGGCGAACGTCCGATATGTCGCCTCATAAGTTCCAGCGCATCCAGCAGCGACCAAGACTTCGACGAGTGCGTCACTAAGGTGCGTAACCAAGGCTGCAGACACATCATCATTCTCTCTATGACCTATGCGTTGTGCATGGGCTCGTGTGAGCGCACGCCATCTTCCTGCGACGGCTTGATTCTCTATGTCAAAAGAAAACGTGAGCTTAGATGTATATGAACATTATATGGCCTTGCCTAATTCTTGAATATCAGCGTAGATCTCCGCCAGTGGCTGTTCTGCCTGCAAGACGTCAAAATCCCATGATCCCACCATCCACACAGAGTAAGCCGCCATCGAAGCTTGTAGGGCTATTTGAATTAGCATAGGGTCGTCGCTGTGTCGTATGGTATTCAACAGATGGGCCATCATAGACCCCAGCAGGTCGTTAACCCTCGCGCTAGCTTCCGTCACGATACCCTTATCTGTTTGCTCTCGATCGAAATCAAAGGAATCAGTAATGAAGGCTGCCGTCTGCATTATCTCCGAGTTCAACCCTTCTACCATTGCAATCACCTCTGCACCCGACAAAATGTCCGCCTTGGTTAGGAAAGCTTGTGCACCTTTGAGCTCACGAGTGCGTGTTTCCAGTAGTGCGTGCGTCTCGTCGCGTTGGGCTATCAGGTGCACGAGTTCGTTCTTCATCGCTTTGATTTCTCTGTCCTGCGTCTCTGATCGTTGCTTAAGGGAACCATATTCCGTCAAAGTCCGTTTCATCGACTCCTGTAGATCTCCTTTTTCCTTTGCCTCTCGCCACAGCTTCTCTTGTAGTTTCGTTTTGTCGTCACGCTCCCGCTGCAGCAGTTCCTTCAGCTGATTATTCTGATCGTTAAGTCTCCGAATATCCTGCTCCGCCTTTGCGCGCTTTTCTTCCAAATTTGTCAACTCGTCCCCAGCCTTCTGTAATTGGTCCTCGAGTTCACTCCGCTTTCTCGCTTCATCCTCTCTCTCTGCGATTTCTTTTGACCTTGTGCTGTTTCGTGTGATACTTGGCATCCATTGCAGCGGTATGTAGCGTCTGACTGCTCGCTGCATACCGATGATTATAGGAATTGGGAAGGCGAAGTACTTCCAGCTAGTTAACCCAACTGTCGCAAAGTTCATGGTCAGGCCGTAGGAGGTAATGCGACAAAGCTTCGCTTGTGTATTTCTAGAACAGCTACAACATGAGGTAGGGGCGTGCTTCGTGTACATGCCATACACGGACACAACACGGACATCATGGTGATTTGAACTCCACGTTGATAACGCATTCCTCGGCGTGTAAGTGAGCCCACAAACTCCAGGCCTGATCCTGCCAGTGGACGTTAAATGGTTTCAACGTGTGTGACTGGTTCCCGTTTGCAATATATCACAGAGTTCTCAGATCGTGAATAGGAGAGTATCACATATACCATAGGCGGACGACGAAGATCTCTGGAGGTATAAGAAAGGGTCCAAATGGTGTGAAGGGGATAGTCTTACTTTTTGAAGGATACAAACAATACCTCTAACGTTTCAATGCTGACACGGAAACCATATCTTGGTCTGTCACGCAAACTTGTGCTGGCTTTTGACGTCGGAACAACGTACAGTGGGGTTTCGTACTGCATCTTGGATCCAGGAGAAGTGCCGAAAATACAAGGCGTAGCAAGGTAGGGGCGTTTGAATGTACGTACAGTTTAATACTCAATATTACCTCAGGTATCCTGCTCAAGAGCATGTCGGTGGCGATTCCAAAATACCGTCAATTTTGTGGTATGACCAACAAGGGGTCGTTCGTGCCGTAGGGGCTGAAGCTCTTCAAGAGCATATTCTCGAGCAGGCTGAGGACAGCAATTGGGTTAAACTAGAATGGTTCGTGTCACACCATCCTCACCTGTCTCTTAGTTGACTCGCCTTGCGAACGATAGGTGGAAGCTTCACCTTCGTGCAAAGAACTTGACAGATTCGCATTTCAAAGACGACGACATTCCTGTGCTGCCCGGAAATATGAGTGGAACCAAAGTACTGGGAGATTTCATGAAGTATCTCTACGAATGCGCGCGCAACTATATCCAAGATACCCATGCAAATGGTTCGAATTTGCTGAAATCGGTCGAAAATAATATTGAGTTCGTCCTTTCTCATCCAAACGGATGGGAAGGACCACAACAAAGTCAAATCAGGCGAGCTGCAGTCGCTGCAGGCCTTATTCCTTCAACGCAAGATGGACAATCACGGATTCACCTTGTGACGGAGGGAGAGGCTAGTCTTCACTTCTGTGTCGCAAACGTGTTTGCTTCGGAGAGCATGTCCAAACCTTTGGTCATGGCTGAGACTACGTCTTCAGCACCCTCCGCGCCTGAATCGAACGAACAGGGAGTGATTATCGTTGACGCGGGCGGTGGTACGATTGACTTGAGTGCATACTCTATGAGCCTATCGCCACAGTCATTCGAGGAGATTGCACCCACAGAATGTAGGTTATCAGTAACATGACCGGTCGTCAAGCCTGATGTATTGAGGTATCAGGTCGTCTGCAAGGGTCAGTTTTCGTAACTTTACGTGCACACACATTTCTGCGGAGTGAGTTTTGATTTGTTTCGAGCGAATACTTCATATATTGATTGCGTTATTGTAGACAAACTTCGAGAATCACGATTTGGGGACCCGGCGATCGTGGGGCAAATGAAAGAGATTTTTGACAAGACTACAAAATTGAGATTCCGGAATGCGGAGGACCCGTCGTATATCAAATTTGGTACCCTTCGCGACAAGGATCCCCAGTATGAGATCCGTTCTGGCCAGCTAAAAATGCAGGGGTATGGTACCTGAGTTGGCGTCTTGCTTTAACATTCTTATGGTTGACTTGGTAGGGCCGATGTTGCAAGTCTATTCGAGCCAGCTATTGAAAGCATCAAAGAGGCAATCGAACAACAACGTCAAAAGGCGTCGATGCCTATCTCGGTATGATACAACGTCTTTCACTCGACCAATGTTAATCTCATCATTTTGAAAGTGGGTCTTTCTGGTTGGAGGGTTTGCTGCGAGCGACTGGCTGTTCTCAAGTTTACAGAAACATCTACAGCCGCTTGGTATTCACTTTTGTCGACCTGACAGCCACGTGTGAGTAAGTTTCAGTGAGTCCTTTTTCCGCACTCACTCGTCTACGTATTGCGGATGTCTAGAAACAAAGCTGTCGCAGACGGCGCTGTGTCTTATTACATTGACCATCTTGTTTCCTCTCGTGTGGCACGATACACATATGGAACGGAGTGCGGTGTAGCTTTTGATCCGACAGATCCTGAACATCAGATCAGAAGGCAAACTGTAGCTATGGGTCCTTCGGGGATGCTATATATTCCAAACGCTTTCGTCTCTATACTTACTAAAGTGAGCTATAATTCTGACCGAACGTCTCATGCTAAATATACAACTGGCTTAGGGCACCCGAGTTTCGGAGAGTCAAGAGTTCCGACAGCAATTCTTTAGAGAAGTTACTTCGATAAGCGAATGTGGCCAGGTTGAAGGGGAAATACAGTGCTATAGAGGTCCCCTGTCGAAGCCCGCATGGGTAGACGAGCAGCCAGGTCAGTATGCCAACCAGTTATCGTATTTCTTGAACTAAAGAGGCTGCAGCAATGTTCTCGACCTTATGTACAATTCGTGCTGATACATCGAAAGTTGCCAGCTTCCTCAAGCCAACTAGGCTTGGTGGGGGCAGAATACATTACAGAATAAAGTTCGACGTTGTGCTGCTTTTCGGTTTGACGGAACTGAAAGCACAAGTCAGTTGGATGGAGGAAGTAAGTTTCATTATCTGCTGCCTAATTGATTGCATTGATGATACCTAACCTTACTATGCTTTCAGGGAGTAGAACAGCGGTAATGTCCATCTATATGATCATGAGATAAACTTACAGATAAATAATCCAGGAGCCCTGGTGTTATCGTATACGACGAAGAAGTGGAGGAAGTTCACGCCTAGAGTCTGAGACGTAGATTTTGTGAGATGATGGGAGTACCTCATATTATGCTATGCAATAGCATTGACTGCTTATAGCACCATCGGACTGGTGTGAAATCACGATAATCTACCTCGGCGGTCCTCGGGCACGTGCCTCCCTAATCGGAATCCGGATGCTTGTGATAACCGAGTCGATCTCTGTTAAGGACTGTCATCACAGGCGCATAAATACCAACTTGACCATATTACCTTGGGCCACTTCATTTCTACAGTATATAGGAACTCTAGAATTCGAGTTTCTGATTACGATCCATTTGTTCTCCCACGAGTAACTTGTCTCGTTAGCAACTAGTAAGTCATATTGTCAATAGAAGGTTTCTCTTGTACCATGAGACCATGAATAGACTGTTTAATCCAGACAATGCAGATGGCGTATCAGTCTGTCAGAAGGCCCCGGCTATCTTCTGGAATCCGTCATAAATGGTACATGATATGTAAGTGTAGCGATCGATAGTTCACGGTGAGTAAGGTGATATAGTTGTCGGAAAGGACATTACGTTCAATCATGAACCGAAAAACTCAAGTTGATATATGAAAGTCATCTTTCGAATGGTTGCAAGATGCGTGAGGTGTTTACTTCTTTGGCGTATGTACATTCTTACCACGTTAATGTCCATACTAGGGGGCCTTGTCATCACCCAAGCTTGTACTTTTGCCCGATTGAATCGGTTCCTGTTGGAGAAGAATTACGGCGCAGTTATAATCACCTAGAAGATGGAAAGCCTATATGGTATCATGGTCTAAGTTTCTTATCACTCTCACCGTATATAAGGACACGAGGTTTCGACCATGAAGCTTCAAAGATGGACCTTTTAACGTTATCAGCAGGTCTCCTTGTCTGTGCCCTACTTTCTGGAATTTATCATCGTTACACCCGCATCTCGCTTGCGGATGTGCCGGGCCCTAAGTCTCTGTCGTTCATATTTGGTATGTATACCAGGAGAATCGTCTGTTGTATTGCATTCCTTTAACAGAAATTTCCAGGACATCTGCGCGAGCTCTACCAAAGTCGAGTGGGAACGGTTGAATTTAAGTGGCAAGATTTATACGGAGGCGTTATCCATCTTAAAGGCATAATCGGCGTAAGCACCTAGTATATGGTTATCGCCACCATCGATCATAACTCGCCGAATTGCAGGAGGATGCGTTACTGATATCAGATGCCAAAGCCCTCCAATATATCTACCAAACATCAGGCTATAACTTCTTAAAGCAGCCTGAACGCCGTATAGTTTCACGGTTGATGACTGGACATGGACTCCTTTGGGCAGATGGTAGGTTTTTTGTAGAACGATATGGTATTTGTGTACCAACCTTCCTTAGGCGAAGATCATCGAAGGCAGCGGAAGGTAATGTTGCCAGGTTTTGGAGGTCCTGAGTCCAAAGCCTTATTGTCTGTATTCAAGGCCTGTGCTGAATCAGTATGTTCAACAAGTCCTCAGTATCTTTACATGTCTAATCGTGAGCCTCTGAAGTTGACGGCGAGATGGACCGATTTGCTCGACGGCGCTGATACTCAATCCGTGGATTTGAATATTCCTGCATGGTTATCTCGGGCTACCTTGGATGCCATTGGAGAAGGTGAGGGTGCACATACTAACCCAGATTGCAGTATTCATGTATATTGTGATACACAAGCTGCGTTTGACTACAAATTTGGTTCTGTCGACGACAATAACAACCAGTTGGCCAAAACCTATAGCAGTTGCTTGTCAGTGGATTCACATTGTTTTTGTTTGGCTCACTCCAATTATATATTTTTACAGGTCTTACATTTTCGGATCACCATCGTCAGGATCAATATTTTTTCAGGCATTTTCGAAGTACTTTCCTAAGCCAATGGTGGACTACCTTGCCGATCATGCACCTGGGCCGCGCTTTGGTCGTATACGCGAGGTGAACAATGTAGCAACGGACCTCGCAAAACGACTTGTAGAAGAAAAGGCAGAAACTCTTCTTCAAGGAAAGGGCGGCCGTGACCTCTTCAGTCTTTTGAGTGTGTTTCCTGGGTATACACATGAGTGGTCCGATCTAATGGGTTTTCAGTTAAAGCGAACATGGCTGAAAACGCGAAGACGAAGTTGACCGAACCGGAAGTGTTCGCACAGGTGTGGTAGGCATTGCGAATATTTCATCCTAGTCGTTTCATGATCAATTAACTCTCTCCGTAGCACGATCTTGTTTGCCGGCCATGAGACAACGTCTAATACATTGAGCTTCGCGCTCTGGGAACTTGCCAGAGATCCCAAGGTACAGAACAAGCTCCGTGAAGAGATCAGAGCTACAGAACTAGCAGTACATGGCCATGGCGACTCTCAGTTTACGACCGCCGATTTTAATGCTATGCCGTATACTACCGCTTTCATGAAGGTTTGTTATCCGTACTGTTGCGCTGTTACGTACAGCTGAAATTGTTTCCTGGCCCTTTCAGGAAGTCCTTCGAGTTCACCCTGTAGCCTACCATAGTCATAGGTATGCCACCAAAGATGACGTTTTACCTCTATCTCGCCCTATTACGACGAATTCGGGGAAGGTTATCCATGAAGTACCGATCCCAAAAGGCACTCGTATCGTGGGTTCTGTTGTAGGCTATAATAGGTCAGTTATTCTGTATACAATATGGTGAAAAGTACTCATATGTTGATCTAGAGATAAGAATATCTGGGGCGAGGATGCAGACGTCTTCGATCCAGAACGGTGGCTGAAACCTTCTGATGGAAAGAAAGGGGCCTCGATTGGTGTATACGGGAATCTGTAAGACCGACGGTTTTGACGTCACGTTTTACCCCTCCTTTGGCTATACAGGCTAATTTGTGTCTCCTAGAATGACATTCTCAGGTGGAATCCGATCCTGTATCGGTTGGCGATTCGCGTGAGTGATGACGATGCATTCTTGACGATTTAGGAGCTGAATGATCCTCTGTTTCCAAAGTGTCATCGAATGTCAGGCTTTTCTTGTTGAGCTTGTCGGTAATTTTGAATTCTCATTAACGGACAAGTCGGATAAGATTCGACGTGAGGCCTGCATGGTAATGTTACCAACCTTAGAAGGTGAGCTGGAGAATGGGGTACAGTTGCCTTTGAGGGTGTCAGTTGCCTCGCGTGGCGAGTAAAGCCTCTGGGTTAGGCCAGGGAGAGCCTCCTATATTACGCATTGATCAGGCGTTTCAGTATCAAAATTTGTACGTTCTACTCCACTTTCACTTTTTCGAGGTACCTTTGATAACTTGTATACTACGCAACTTGAAGTCGCGTGCTTACGCGTTGGGCAATACCTGAAAATCGGATATCGAATAACTCTATTATGTTCTCGTTGCAGTATGAATGAATTTCAGGCAACTTCGCCATTCGCGGACTTGGGTGACCGATTGTTGATTTTGGTGATTGCTTTTCCTCACGTGATATCAACGCGTCCATTGGCAGGACCTTTATTCCGAGTCACCTATCATCGAGTCATCTAATTTCATTTCCTCGTCAAACAGAACGCCAACGCAATAAAGGAAACATGGGATTGTCGTGATATTGACTTGTGTGGGTGTAGGTGTGCACAGATAAATTAGGGCGCCGTTTCTATAGGGGATATCGATAAAGGCATGAGGAGTAAGCGAGCTTAGGTCGTGGCATAATTCAGTATCTCGAGGCTGTCTCGAGGATAATCACAGAACACATGCCTCATGTTCAACCTCAGTGCCAGCTGCCTTCCTCTGTATCGGCCTCGTTGCTTCCAGCCTGTTCATTACTATATCAAGTCCTCGGTCACCCCTCTACTGCGGCAGCGTTGGAGTGGTGCTGATCACGGTGACCTATGGGACCCAGGCCATTGCATGGAGTAATGGCTGATCTGCACACTCACAAACTTGCATATAAACTGATTTTGTAGCTGTGCGCAAACTAACCATTCGCTAAACTTTTTCCTACAATGCCTTTGAGACAACCGTACCAAGGCCACTCCAGAAAACTTGTATTGGCTTTTGATGTTGGAACAACATACAGCGGGATATCATATTGTTTTTTGGATCCGGGTGATATCCCTATCATCCAGGGCGTAACACGGTACGTAAGTATCACAAGGGCATCCTCCCTGCGCCTCATCTTGTTTTAGATTCCCTGCTCAGGACCATGTCGGTGGGGACTGTAAAATACCATCAATTATATACTATGATAACGAGGGAGTACCTGTCGCTATTGGCGGCGAGGCTCTTCAAGAAAGTGTTATTGAAAGGGCAGAAGACGAAGACTGGAAAAAACTGGAATGGTGGGGTAATGAGTTTTATTACACAGAGGATGGGACGTTGACAATTTTACCACCCGTAGGTGGAAACTTCATTTACGTCCACGGAATATGACTTCGTCTCATGTCAGCGACCATGACATCCCACCTCTCCCTCCGAATAAAACTGCCGTCCAAGTCCTGGCAGATTTTATGAGATACCTCTTTCAATGTGCGGAGAATTACATCAAAGAGACACACGCCAACGGTCCTGATATGTGGGAATCTATCAAAACTAACATTGACTTCGTTTTGAGTCATCCCAATGGATGGGAAGGTGCTCAGCAAAGCCAGATACGGCGCGCTGCAGTCCTTGCAGGACTTGTCCCGGACACACCTGATGGGCAAGACAAAATCCAGCTGGTTACAGAAGGCGAAGCAAGCCTTCATTTCTGCATCGGAAGTAACCTCGCAGCTGATGCTATGAAGGTGAGCTTGAGTTTTATTTACGAAAGCCTATGATAAAAACCATTCTATTAGGATAATCAAGGTGTTATTATCGTTGATGCAGGAGGAGGAACTATCGATGTCAGTGCTTACTATATGACGATGTCACCAGTCTCGTTCGAAGAGATAGCGCCTGCAGAATGTAAAGTCCAACACAAGCCGTTTTAATGAAGCTCATTCCTACGTTTCCAGGTCGTTTGCAAGGATCCGTGTTCGTGAGCCGTCGAGCTCGTGGATACCTGCAAGGTACTGCCACACAGTCTCCTCGTTAGATGGCACTGACTAGATCATTCGTACGTGATACCTAAGAAAAACTCCGTGGATCAAAATTCGGAAGCATAGAGGATATCAATCAGATGACAGGAGAATTTGATAAAACCACAAAACTCAGATTCAACAATCCCTCCGAGCCATCTTACATTCGATTTGGCACAGTGCGCGACAAAGACCTCGCGTTCAACATCCGTTCTGGTCAACTAAAGCTGCCTGGGTGAGTACAATCGATTACTATGAGGGCCATCGCTGACGAGTTGTCAGAGCGGACGTGGCGACGTTATTTGAACCTTCCGTTACAGCCATAATAAATGCCATCGAGCAACAACGTCGAAGTGCAACAAAGCCCATTGATGTATGTTGTCTCCCTTTGTGACTTTCCTGCTAGTGACGGCGTAGTATGATAGGCGATTTTCTTGGTGGGAGGGTTCGCAGCGAGTGACTGGTTGTTCTCAAGGCTGCAGGCCCATATCCAGCCCTTGAATTTGATGTTCTGTCGACCAGACAGTCATACGTGAGCAGATACTGTTACAAAGCGAGCCACATCAAGCTAATTCCACCTCCAGGAACAAAGCAGTCGCAGATGGAGCTGTGTCATTCTATCTGGACCACCGTGTTTCGGCACGCATAGCAAGATTCACATACGGCACAAGATGTTCAATCGAATTCGATAAGCATAATTCGCAGCACATGCTTCGCTCTAATATGGCTATACCGCGTCCTTCAGGAAGGATGGTCATTCCTCATGCATTTAGCTCTATTTTGACGAAGGTAACGAACCGCAGTGTGTTTCTGATAGAGGTTCCCTGCTTATTCGTTGCTTTAGGGAACGCGAGTATCGGAGAGTAAAGAATTCCGGAAAGCATTCATTACGGAATCCACCGAAGTGACTTCATGCAATAATATCGCCACGGAGATTGTCTGCTACAGAGGAGAGGCACTGAGTCCCCGGTGGACTGATACGGAGCCTGGTGGGTCGTGCCTTACGCATGATTGATCGTACGGGCTAACCTTCCATAGCAATGTTTTCGACTCTGTGCACTGTGAGAGCGGACACTTCAAAAGTGTCAAAAAACCTCAGTCCGCAAAAAGGATTTGCAGGACTACAGTTTTATCGCCAAGAGTTCAGTATTATTCTCATGTTTGGACTTACAGAACTAAAAGCGCAGATAAGTTGGGTTGCAGACGTGAGTACTTTTGAAATACTGCCCTTCATCTCCTGACTCTCGCTTTCTCCAGGGTGAAGAGCAGAGGTGAGCCAAGATACAGTCCATATTAGGTTCTATTAACTTTTGTGCATAGGGGGCCCGCATCAGTTGTTTTCGATCAGGTTGTGGAAGAAATATAATAGTTTCCACTTTGATACAGTACACGTACTACACCATACGGGCGTATCCTTAGTTTCGCGTTTAAGGATGATTTGGAAACACTTCCGCAGTTAAAGTATGTGCATGATATACCAAATGTTGTGTCGCTGCATGCGTCGGTAGTAGTCCGTTCACACGCCTGTTGATTCCCGTAGGAATTCTGGAAGGTTCTCAATATACATCTATACAGCATATATGCAATAAGAACTCACCTCGCGTTATCTCGAAAGCTGCAAACGTGCTGGCGGCAGCAGGTATACTAAAGCAGGTAGTTTCATTAGATATCAAAAGCTCTCAGAGAGGCCATTTTCAATTACCTTCTCAATACTGTCAAGTCGCATGTGATACGGGAATAAGTATCCCTTTTATCTAATTCAAGCTAGTTACTCACATGAAGGCGTTAATCCGCGGTAGAGCCCCGCGCTACAAATGTAACAGCATGAGAGTCGCTTATGTCCCAAGGAAGGCGGATACTCACAAGCCTGACTCCCCTATTATTGCTCTAAGCTCGTTTGCAATATACTGCACAGGCGTCCCGCTGGGTGGTATTGGACGTAATTGTACCCTAGACTTAGCCACATCTGAAAATCGACGTAAATTACACGACTCATAGGGAGTAAGGCAGTAGGACGTGACTAACCTAGCGGATAACATGCCGTCCAGTATGCTATCTGATGTTGATATCATCAGAAGTAGATGACAAAAAGTTGATAATCCACATACTCCTCCGGTTGACCCACTGGCCAATAATGCCCACACTGGAACCTGTTCGCCATATCTTTTCTGGAATTGACGTTTCGAGTATTCATATGCTTATTAATGTTGAAGACAAAGTAGTTAGTTGGCGAACTGCAGGCATCCTTTCTGAACATCGAAATGAGGTCACCTGTGTAAAAACTAAAGTCAAATCAGTCATGACATTCCACGCCAGTTTTCTGGTTGCACGCACCCGGCATAAGCAGGAATCTCTCTTGCAAAAGTGACCTTGAAGATGGAAATTTAAAGTGCACTCCAGACAATGGGTAGACATCACATACCCAAAAGCCGCGCATGATGCCCTTTCTAAAACCCCATTCTGACCACATTTCCGTCACGACAGCTCGTAGGCGTTTATCGGTTGCCGCACCGTACTGCCCCTGCATACGCACCTTGAACATCTCCACTGAATTTGACAAGGCTATAGGTTAGGCTATGCTATACATGAAAGATTGTATACGCGCCTGGGCTCGCAAGAATGGTGTTGGCTGCGCCTGCCATGGCACCAGCTGCAGCGGTCTCCTTAAGAGATAGTTGGGGGAATGGCGAAATAATTCTTTTTGAAAACGCGTACGAAGCGAATAACAAAGAGTTAACCCCAGCAATTCCTATGAGAGGACTGGCCATTCCTATGATCAAGTGTTTGAACATGGAACTACACTGCCAATGATCTATATACCTTTATATAACGCGAAAAATCCTTCCTTTCGTACAGTCTGCATCAAGATATCCATGGGTCCTTTCTTAGATAATTTGCCGATTTAATACGCCAGGAAGCCATAGAGACATGGATGCAAAGACTCACAAACATGCCCTCTATATATGATGAAATTAGAAAGCGCAAAACAAACAAAAAAGATGAAAAGAAAACACTGAACTCGGTGCGATCTGTGCTCGTGTCTTGACTGTATCGAGTGGCTGTCCTACCAGGACTTGGGATGCACCCCCGACGCTTCCTGCCAGTAATTCATTGAAAGTCGAGATATAGGTCACTGACGCTTTGTCCGACATGAGTATAGGTGACACGCAAGTCCAGGAGGGTTAAAACGCAAGAAAGGACTGAACACTGCATCTCTCTTCGCATATCTGAAAGACAACTTGCATGCGACTGACGTGATCAACAAAATACTCACGCCTTTACTTTGGTCACGCGATTTTGTTGCCACTGCCCAGAGCAAAGATAGTTAACGTTCTAACCACCGTTAATAGAGATCCACGGATCCATCGAAGTCATATTTATACAGGAAAAACGCAAGGATCATCCGGACATCTAATTGTTCAACCACTTTTCGCTTGGTGACCCAGTTTTAGTTGACCGCGACATCAAAATCACATCCGTTATGCCCAAGAGGAGCTCACAGAAGAGTGCCAATGCGAATCCTTCATCGAACTGGCTTGCTCTACAAAAGGTGCGCTTACAAGTACTCGAAAAGGGATGAACTGAAAAACCAATTATCGCATAGAAACTTTCAGCTGGTTCTAAGAACATCAATGATGCCATGTCGCGTAAGCGTAGAAAACTGAATCATGCAACATCGTCTTCTACGCTAGTTACATCTTTCGCCACGTCTGTGGGATCGACGTCAGCGTCTTTTCCTCGAGGGTACACGGTGTCGAAGGTTGAAGAAGAATTACCAGATGTTGAAACCCGGGAAATGAGAAACGGAGAATCTATCGCAAACCTGCGTAAAATGGTCCTTGGTCAACTTGAATATACATCTGCGCAGCAAGCGTACGTATTCTCTATATTAATATCAGACGAACTCGTTTCTTATACTGTTGCTTCAAGTCCGGGAAAATACCTTGCGCTCGATTGCGAAATGGTTGGTGTAGGCACTGATGGAGAAGAATCTTCCCTTGCACGTGTCAGTCTCGTAAACTATTACGGTGCAGTTCAATTAGATGAGTTTGTGCGACAACGAGAACGTGTTGTCGATTATCGCACTCAATGGAGTGGCATCCGTCCAGCCGATATGGTCAAAGGTATGAACCACGTCGCAAGAAAATGGCGCTCGCTGATACTCTTTTATTGCAAAGCCAAACCCTTTCAAGAAATACAAAAAAAGGTCGCTGAGTTATTGAAGGACCGAATACTAGTTGGGCATGCCGTACACAATGATCTCAAGGTCGGAAGATGAGATTTCGATTTACAAGTAGCGGGGACATTGGACTGACGGTCTACTAGGTTCTGTTGTTGTCACATTCCAGACATATAACTCGTGATACTCAGCAGTATGCCAGCAAGTTCAAGGTTATGAATACCAATCGCCCCGCTCTCCGGAATCTTGTAAAACAGGAAGTTGGCGTTACTATCCAAGGTGGTGAACACTCCAGTGTGCGTTTCGTTCGAATTACCTTATTACAGTATGAGTCCTCATATGGGCTATAGGTAACTGATGCGAGAGCCACCATGGCTGTATTCAGGATACATCGGAAAGAGTGGGAAAAAGGATCGAGACCACTTTCTGTAAATGCGGAGGATAGCAGCGTAACGTCCAAGAAGCGCAAGCACTCGGAAGAGACCGACGACTTGGAGCATTCCACTTCAAAAGAGGTCGTAAATAAAGCCGAAAGCAAGACATTTCCTGGAGGCGGTAGAAAGGGTGTCAGCTCGGGGTTGTCTACGGTAGTGAAGCGCAGTAATAAAATCCGCAGCTCAAGCCCTGGAGAAAAGTCCCAGTGGTGGAAGAGCCTTGGTGGAAATGTAGGTTCGTCTAAGGGATCAATGCGACTCAAAATGGGATAGTTTATGGGCTATGGTACGTTCGTATATCTTGTTCGACGAGCATATTTAAACCGTTCCTTGTGTCGTCTGTAGATATGAACCGCCCAGAGTCCATTCCTGAAGTCCACATGGGCTTTGTTACTACGATCATTCACAGGAAGTGCCCGAGTGGGGTGATTTACTACCGGGTATAGACCTGGATTGCTACACTGAAGGCGTCGAGATGACATCACAGTATTTAAACGCACACTGGCAAGAATTAAATAATTGCCAACAGTGCCGCGATGTGACCTGTCTGAATATAACTTTCTACTCTCTACATGGATGTTTACTTGAAAAATACAGCACACATTATCGACTCTCTATAGTTAGGAAAGCCTGTAATCTACTGAGCCGTGACTGAACTTGATGTAATGAGTAGAACTAGCATAGTACTTTAGTGGTACTCAGTGAAGAAATCGTCGGCGACAATAGCTATAGGTTATATTGTTTTCGTTTAGAAATATTAATTCAGTCTCTAGTTCGAAATCGAACGAAAACATACACACTGTCACTGCTTTCTTTTGACTTTTCTTGAGGAACCTTTTGTCTTCCTTATCACGCTCATAGCAACTTGAACGCCTTTCTGATTTCGATGACGCTGATAGCCAAACGGTCGGTCTTCATGCATGTTCACGACGACATAGATCATGATAGATGAAGGACGTTATGCCACGATTTGGTTCATTCATTCATACAGTAATTGACAACCAGAATTCAAAGAGAGAACAAGGTCGGGAGGTTACAGCATTCACATTGCAGACTGCCGCGTTGCGGGAAAAGGAAGGCCACCGTGACTGTGGCAGGACCCACCAGGATCTACACGATGCTTCACTTGCCTTATACCCTGCTCCCTTATCTTTCCGCACATACAGATACGTTCTTTCAAATCAGACACTCACACTCGCAAATTATATACCAGTAGCGTTCATGCCAAAGAAGGGGCCGCCTTATGACCCGAACACTGCAGATGCAACGTATGTCGTGATTGTATGCCCATGGGGGGTGCATCGGAATAGCAAGGAGCGCAAAACTAGCGACATTGACAGACTGGGAGCTTGGGTTCGATTTATGCTGAAAGAGGCCAAGGACTCCAAGTTCAGGCAAAACACGATAGTGGAGTGTGTGTATATGATGACTACAGTGAGCTTCACGAAACAATTCATTCGTCCTTCTCCTTCTCCTTTTCGCTGATAGTTATTTTCTGACAAATAGCGAGATGAAGTGATCGTACAATTGCCAAAAGGCACAACAATTACACCCCTTCTTGGAGAGCATAGATGGGCAGCCATAACGCTGAATTGGAAAGGGTCACCTGAAGACCCCAAAGCTTCCTGCATATTCGAGTACAACTTTCGGAACAATGGCGACCCCGCAAATCGTGAGCAATTTATTTACTCGCATATTGTCTGCATTTATCACATATGCAGACAACTGGACTGAATATTACCCCCGACCTGAGTTACCCCATGGCGAGAAGGTCCCTGCTAAATCACCTTATCCCAGACCAAATTGGATAGAATTGAGTAAAGTTGGGAATATTCGAAATCTCATTCTCCCTATTCCCATCCCTCCCGAACCTAGTCCCACGCCTGAAGTACGTTGCGTCTTCGTCTCATGCAATTGTCAGGTTGAAACTGTTCTCATCAGCCTGTGTATCATCCGTATGAACCACCCGCTCACCATCCTGCCCACTCTATTTACCCTAACGACCCCATACCCGAGCCGGAAGAGCCTGTAAAGGTGGAGGTGGAGGTAAAAGAAGAAGGTATTTTCATCAAGCCAGATCCTGAGGAACAAGAGGCAGAGGAGAAAGCCTTGTTAGTGCAGAAAGGAGATCCTTACGAAGAAGGTTTGTATCAAGACGCACACCTGGCATTAACTTTCGAGACTAATCGCAGATTAGAAAATGCTGCGCAGCTATTTTTGCAATCATTTGAAGTCAAGGAAGAAGAAGATGTAAAGCCATTTATAAAACCAGAATATACAGAAGAATTACTCGCTGTTAGGGAAGAAACCCACATTCCTAGTGGTAAATTTCTCATGGCATCTTCACTCGACACTGTTTTCTCATGAGTAAATAATAGATTCACACTATCGGCCCTCTGAGGAACTTTTAGCCAGTATTGCATTACTACAGCACCGAACAGAGTCAAATGGTAGACATCCCGCGTACGATGTTTGATGAATTCATGAATTCATGACAACTTCACAGTAATAGAAAACCATGATAGACCTGTCAAGATGGAACCAGTCGAAACTCGTATGCCATCTAATAGTGGCACATATTGTAAATATAACTTTGTTTTATTTATTCTCTACTTTATTATTCATTGCTATGATATATCTAGCTTCATCAGGTTATCAGCCATCTAGGGCCTTGTTCGATGCTTTCGAAAGCCTTCAAGGACGGAATAGCTTAACAGAAGGTACGGTTATTGTTTGGTAAGAATATCTACACTCTCGTGTCAAACAGCACCGGCTCGCCACATAGCAATCAAGCCAGAACCAAGGCATGCCGTAGACCCTATTTCGCCCCTAAGATCGACATCGCAGCACAACACAGTAACAAGAGACCCGCGTCTCCACCCTCGTATGTCCTTTTCCTCTACCTTATGAAGAATGCTGTAATTCCGATCCCGTGGACAGGAAGCAGTATGCCCAAAAGGAGAGAAATGGCTCCAACGAATGAGGATGCAGGCACGTTCGACTTTCGTATATCCGTGGTGATTGCTGATAATATAGTTACAGGCAGAAAAAGAATCAAGACAGAGCACTCGTAGCTAACATATGATACCTAGAGTTTATCGCAGACCTTGTACGGATTATAACAGCAAACTACATGAAATGTATAGAGGTGAAGTACGCAATTACTGGTGTGTGACGAAGTCTTCCAGGCTATCTACCACGGACTCTATGGCGACCTTGGGTTTCAACAACATTTTTGTGTCCCATTCATCCTCTCCTGTCATGGAAACCTTTGAAAGCCTCTGTAGTCCTAAATCAGTTGGACAAAGTACGCGAATACTTGCCGAGTCTTGTGGTTGCCCGTCTTCGTATGCATTATCCATCTTCGCGGGGTCATATGGCATCGCGGAGCTTACCGCCACAACTTCCATGTTTCCAGAGGTGATGTCTTCCCCTATTGCCCTGTTCAGGCGGATAGCTAAGTCTACCATAACGGCGATTTTTGTGTTAAACGCAGTCTTTAGCTTTTCTTGGATTTTATTGATCGGAGCACTGCATCCAGCAGTGACCAGGATATCGACCAAACCGTTGGTAATGGACGAGGCCAGAGTTTCCAGCGTCTCTGGTTCTTCCCGTTGCAATTGTTGTAGGTGAGCTCGTGTGAGTGCCCTCCATCGGCCAGATACGGCTTGTGCTTCTGTTACGAATGTCATTTGAGTCGAATGGCAATTTCATAAATGCAGCTAGCTTACCTGTTTCGCGAACCTTGGTATAAACGCTGTCAAGGAAACGGTCGTAAGTTGGTTCTCCAACGATCCATGCCATGATAATCCATCTCAAGTATAGTACGAGGCATGCTTGGAAGGCGATTTGGACGAGAATGGGATCGTCCTTGTGTTGCTTTGCTACCAAGAAATGAACCATAACTGCTCCCATCATATTAACCACTCGTTGAGGTCCCGCCGACTGCTCTTGACATTGAGGAGCCTTTTTATCAAACTCGAAGGTTTCCACCATTGAGTCCGCCATGCATGCTGAATTCTGAAGGATCTCGGCGTTCAGCTTCTGAAGCGTATTGGTGACCTCAGCACCGGAATAGTTATCTGCGGTCGTGAGGAAGGTCTGCGCCCCCTTGAGCTCCGATGTGCGATCTTCTAACAGCGTTAACAGCTGGTTATACTGCTTCTTCGTGTGGGAAGACTCGTCTTTGAACGCCTTCATATCTACTGCTTGGCGATCAAATTTCTCCTTCAATTGTGTCATCTGTACTTTCAGCGCTTCGAGCTCCTGTTGTAAGGCCACTGATTTCTCCTCTATACCTCTGGCCTCTCCCCTGATCATGTAAATTTCTCTCTTTAGCCCCTCAACCCGTTTTTCCCTCTCGTCCAATTGCTGATCGCGTTCTTTCAGCGATTTCGTAGTCAACCGAAGGTCTGATTCCGCTCGAACTCGAGCTTCGTTGATTTGGCTGAGGAGCGTCTTCGTCTCCTGGTCCCGGGATCGCAACTGTAGTTTCAACTCGTCCCTTTCCTTTGTGATGACCGCTATCATGTCGTCCTTCGCCTGCACATCTGCTCGAGCGATGTTCTCCAGCTCCTCTATACGCTGAAGATAGCTCCCCTCCCTGAATTTAAATTCCTTTAATTGATCCTGCGTGTGGGTCAACTCGTGCTGCAAGCTAGCGATAGCGAGATTCGTGCTTTCCTGCAACTCCTCTCTCTCGCGCCTGGCAGAATCCGTTTCCTGCTTCTGTCTTGACAAAGCGCTTCTACAATCATGCAAATCCCTCAATGCCTTGCCAACGGCTTGCTGAGCACTGTCCTTTAGACTAATCTGAGCAGCAAGACTCTCCTCCGATGCTCGTAACTTCTCCTTGACCTTGTTCATTTCCAATGCCAATGACTCCATCTCCTGTTTTGCTCTCGCCGCACTTCTTGCCTCTCTGCTTCTCGATGTATTCGACTCACTCTGCAGCCTGTCTTCCAACGACTTTTGTAGCATTCGTCCCTCTTCGACCCCAATCCTTCCGCTATAAGACGTATATGAAGATCCCTCCGGAATGCCAGCCCTATCTGCTTCCACGTTGACGAATCCAGAATGATCGTCTCTCTGCGACGACTCAACTCCAAGTACCTCCCAATCTGCCTTGCAGTCGCCATCCCGCGGACTTTGAGACGCTCGCCGGGAAGAAGTTTGCTTTGCTGTTGGCGTTGGCCACCATGACGAAAGCATTTTCCTTGCAGTAAGGGATACGATGAAGGGGTGGTGTAAGGGGTGGTGTATGGAGATAGTAAAGCGCTCTGGTAGTAGTGCGGCAAGGGGACTACAACTTGAATTGCTTCTTGCTAGTACTATGTAAGTAAGCTGTGGTTCTGTTACAGTATGCCATGCACGAGGCTGGCACCTGCCAGTGGGGTGATACTCGTTTGGGCGTCCACCCGTGGTTGGCATAGGCCTCGTGCTTACAACATGGATTTCGACGCAGCCCAGGTGTGATCGGGTAGTACTGCATCCTGCAAGTTCTTGCAGCCCTCACTCATGCTTTCCTCACTGCCAGGGTACTCGAGTGATACGCTGCAAGCATGTTGGAGGTGCGTTGAGTTCATTTCATCAAGGAGAGGGTACGGTAATTCAAATATCAAACGCGTACACGCTGTCTTAGTATGAATCTGCGAGTGGGACATCCATCCTTCACTGATATCACGATAATTTGAAATCAAGCTTAAAGCTCAATTATTGATAGGAGGAACGACTGTCTTCCTCCTGGGTGGTATGCATAGGGGAGACTAAAGCTCAATGAGGCCTCGTTATAAACGTCTATCTGAGTGGCAAGGCGAGTGGCAGATGGACGCATGACTCGTGTTTTGTCGTATTGGCGATTCTCGACTGTGCTTTGAACGAAGCATTTTAATAATGGCACGTTTACCCGGTGAGATCTCCTGAATTATTTACATACTACATCACCGACGATACCGTTCATATAGTATTCAAGGTACCGTACCTGACATGCATGCTCGTCATCATATGGGGATACTTGGCCTGGACCACTGTTGAGATTGGTTGGGTAGAGGATGCTCTGTTGCTTCAATGAAGACATTTGAGCTGCGGGGTGGGAACTGATCATGATCTCACAGTTTACGACCGAGTGCTGGGACTATTATTATTAAGTGTATGATACGATTATAGTATTTGCTATATCGTCTAAGATTTCCTGCTCTTAGCCTTTTTGGTCCTGTAGGGTATCATCTATTTCATAACTTGGTGAAGACCTTCCTGCATCCGAGGTCCAATGTGGCCAGGCCGTATTATGACTCCTTTTGCCCCACAACAGCAGCAAAGAGGTCAGTTTTCGGGATCACTGAGGGGAAGATAGCGAGGTTTCTCCGATATGTTACACTCTCTCTCATCGAAAAACGTCAAACACGTCGCGATTGACAGCATGACCATAGATATAGACGACAGCCAAAAGCCTATTATTACAGCAATAAATGATAGCTCGAGACACCGAGATTAGAATATACACGCAGACGCACCGGCTCCAGGTTTCGTGCTTTCTCGAAAAAGGTTGTTGTTAAGCTTGCCTAGCTCAGTCTTCACCTTGATGAGGAGTGCGATTTGGGCAGCGAATGAGAGAATGGTGAAGAATGTGGCAAGAATTGCGGTCAAAAATCTAGCGCTGAGACGGTGTGACGACGAAAGTGATAGTGCGAGGATGGTAAAAATCATAGCTGCACAGGCGTCACGTATAATCATCCTCTTTTTGAGTAGGGTACACAGAAGGACTTACCGATCGGTTGTGCTACAAGCCCACGAGTCCAAGAGCTGGAGATGCTGGCACCAAGCATGGGCATATAGAGAGGATAAGCGGGTCCTAAAGCGAACTTTAAAGACCTGCAAAAGGGGGGGTTGGAATAGAAGCTCTTACCAGCACCTGAGCAGGATCGAGCACTTGGCGGCACTTCCAAACAAAAGGCCCTAATAGAGTCAATTAAATTAGCAATGAGGGCGAGTCCAACACTCGATGAAAATAAACATACCATACACCAAACTACCATAAAATATACGCGAAAATGTCACTTCGGTTTCAATTGATTATTGCTTACCACTCACCCTTAGCTGTGTTATTTGGTGACCACCTTCAGATGGAACCCAATATAGGCGAACCATGTCCATTGCAGACAGATGGGGCAGCGAGATAGACACCAATAAACCAAGTATGCATGAACAGGACAAAAGAGAAAACCTGAGATCGGATAGGGAAGTTGGCATGATAAAGGAACTGGTCCAAGGAAGCGATCACTGGCAGTACTTGCTCTGCATAAGACAGGTACAAAATATCCTTCAATTTATGTTATCCGTGAGTAAGATGCCACGTCGAAATGATGAAGAACCAACCACACAGCTTGATTCTCAAAAGATCTTGTTTACTTTTAGCCTGATCTCGAAGCACTGAATGAACGGGGTCAAGATTGATCCAGTGTGAGTAGATACAGATTTAGATGGACCACAATATCAAAAATAAAGCCAAGACGAACATGTCTTAAAGCAAGCTGTACCGAGGCGCAGTTTTTGTGAGAAAATGAATATATTCGCATTGATAGTTCACCAAGCAACCCACCGGCATTTTATCAAAACCCGTGCGGACGTTAGCACCAAAGAGTGATTTAAAAACACGGTGCGCTACGAGTATCATGCATTGTCTCCGCGCAGTAGAAGCCTACAAGTATCCCATGCAGTTCTTTCATTTAAGCGATGGGTGGTGTTTTATGCGAAGTGGAATGTGGTAGAATACGTTGTGATATATACTTTTGCTGGGAACCATCCAGTACCTGGGATCTGAATCGCGACTATGACATCTATGGCAAAACAAGTGAGCGTGTTATCTGGATTCTGATCGTTAAACATGAAGCGGTTTACTGCCAATGATAGTGGACTTGAAAGACTCAAAAAGGCAGTCGGTTACAGTCGCTGTGGTAGCGTACTCACCGTTGGTTGTGTTCAGATTGCAAGCGGTATCTGTTCTCCGTACTGTGCGCAGTCAACTGTAACAGAAGCAGAAGCAAAGGTGTCATCCGAATCAACCAATCTCATGCCAAAAAATACACCGGAAGACGGACCGAAGTAGCTCACTTCATCGTACATTTTCCACTTCAGCGAAAGTGATATTACATTCCAGACGTGTCATTGAAACTCTACTCCAGGCTGCGCATCGCACGACCAGCCAGCATCAATGAAATCTGAATTTTACAGTAACGTTTTACAAGGCCCTACACCGAACATGTTTTCGGTGTAATGCCTTGTCATATCATTGTAATGTGACTATCAAATCTTATAATTTTCTCACCAGAGATTATAATATATAAATGGAAACGCAAGAAATCACAGCCTGACTGAACTTGAACAATCTGCGATACAACATTTTTTCGCTCGACGGCGGTTAGAACAACTTGAAGACTATTGACATGATGAACAAGCGGAGTGCAAAACTGTAGTTACTGACGACGTGATCACTCCCCAGGTACTCGTACATCAAGAGGATGTCACTGCAACCGATATCAAGAAACGAGCGCTCAACCACAACCGTAAGGTGCCATACCCGACGTTTAGAACAAGCTCATCATCGGTATGCATCACCCCAAGTGCCTTACCACGTTCGTTATCTTAATGTAGTTTTCTGTAGGACCATGATCTAAGGAATCGTTTGGACGTAGTCTTGTCATGCAAAGGCTATGCTCCTTTTTTTGACGCCATCTTCTCCACATTCGTATTCAAATCGTTACAAACTTTCTCTCCTTCAATTCATTGGTATCATCAACACCACTTTCATTGACTCATCCCCAAAAATGCGGTGAAGAGATGACCTACCTCGCGACAACGCGAATCTCTTCCCAGCAAGTTCACAACGTTCAAGTTATTACCGGTGGCGCGTTGAAGGAGAAGAAGACTGTTATTGCATTGATCATAAATCAAGGGAGAAGTGGTGTGTGGTTTTAGTTCGTTGAATGCTACCCACGCTAGTGCATCGCTCTGTAACACCCAGTTCACTAAAACTATATTCTTTAGCCTGCTCTAGGTACCCAGAATGCGTTCTGCGTAATTCAATATGGCACTAATATCACAGCGATACTTCAACCCAGCAAGCACCACACTCGATTCCGGACTGGCTTTTGATAATATGGTGAATTCAGGAAGATGACTTCTGCCACCCAGATAGAAGCCCATCCACTCTTTGAAGCCAAACAGCCCCACAATAAGGCCAGATGGCTGTTCGTTCCCAGCTTTCCTCTGTCCCGAGAATGCTCTCCTCGTCTCGCTAGCGGCCAAGACCGAAATCCCTTACTCCCGATAATGACTATGAGATTAACTCACCGGTTCTCTACGCGCATCCGTACCTCAGTCAGGATCTCTAATTTGAAGTCACCCTTTTTAATCAATTCTAGAGCACTGCCGTCCATAATAACAATTTTCTTTCGAAAGTTCTGACTACGTTATGCTTATTAGTATACGTGGTTAGCGTTATACACCAACCACCCCTTCTTTTGGATGAATATATCGTCGCAAGTACCTTGATTCGTCATTTATGCCATTGGTTCCACCTCTAACCATCCATCTCTTCGGTTTTCTAGACTTAATTTATACTCTTTTAATCAAGGTACCGCCTGCTTTACAAAGCAGATGGGTTAACGCGTGTATGTGTATAGTGTCATGCCTTGACGAAATCAGCGTAAGATCCTAGAGTGAATGATACCTCTCAGGTTTTTCGCGAGGACTTGATTACGCAGCCTCATGCACATTCTTCTCCTATCCCTACCAAAAATGATCATAATGCGATCGATCACTCCTCTAGTCGGTGGTAGGCCTCCTTTGGTTACATCCCCCCTCGTTGACTAATTCATATATCCCTGTGTAGCGACGATTACATTTAATACGGCTTGTTCAACTTCGCTCTATCACGCACGACTTCTCTGGTTTCCAATCATCAGTCCTCTGGGGCCATGAATGACACACCTTATGACCATCCATTCGCAAAACCAAGAAGGAACGTTCTCGGGTCTGAATCAAACTCCCAATGTACAGCGTGTGCCTGTGCTTCAGCATATCACACGTAACTTGTCTTTCTGTGGATCCTGCGAATACAGATCATGATAGCCACCGAGCAGAACAAAGGGGGGGGGCCGAGCGTTCGAGCGAAGTAAATCGTTTGGATATATGACCATGTCGCCATGTCAACGTCAGAACACCAGTGATATCATGATGTCATCCGACTTGGGGCCACTCTTGGGCCCAAGTATAACCAACGAAATCGACGACGTTAGTGGCCGTTGTGGGTCGTGACACCATGGACCATCACCTAGTAACCAGGATCAAAATCTCGAGGAACTGACGTCGAGAACTCTGATCCTGCCATAATGACGAAATTCACAAATCATCTCTGCGACAGCCTCCGAACGTTCTATATAGCAAATCCAAAACGTAAAGCAGAAGCATTATGTTTGACGTCTCGGTGGTGCGAGAGGGTGTATTACATCGAAGTGAGCCACAGGCCCAATTTTGAAGCGAGAACATGGGAGGTTATGTACTTGCCCGTTGGTAAAAAAGACAATAAGGTAAGTTATCATCAAACTAAGGAATGTAGACAAGTCAGGGCAGGGGAACAGACACAACAGAAAATAATGAACGCAATAATTCATAAGTGGATGGAGCAACGAGCAATGCAGTGGCAAAAGAACGGACACAGATGATGTGGGTATGCAAAAACTGGAAAGCGAAGGGATACAACGATGTGTTTAGTGTAGAACGTACGAAATGACTGAAGCATGATGGATTTCTAAAAGGAAAAGAAAAAAATGCAGGAAAGTGAAAATAGAAAGGAGCACAAACCAGACGACGTTTGACATCAAACTGTTGATTTCAATCGACGGCGACTACTCAAAGACGCAGTGCAAGCATTGGTGAAACGTTTAAGCGTTTTGTTAGAAGCACCGGAAGAGATGGAAGGGGTGGCTTCAATGGCTTTTTGCTGGACCCGATGGCGTTGTACAGGGACCGGAAAATAATGAACCGAGTCGTTGGCGTTGTGGTACAGGAAACGAGATTCCAGGACTGCAAGGACGGCATCTCGTGGTGAGAGAGGTGGTGAAGACGACGGGCTCAGACGCGGCACTGAAGACAACGGTGGCGGAGACTACAGAATAAAATATGATTGAGAACACCGAACGCCACATGATTTTCCAAAATTTCCGACTTACAGTATTGCGCACGGCGTGGGCCTCTACCGAGAAGTCTTCATCCCAGTCATGATAAGGATCTTCATCACTTGCCACCTTATTACGATTATAGTACACAGTGTCGCTTTTGCGTATTCGAGGTTGCAAAGGCTGAAGCACAGTGACGGTATCGTCGCGGACAGCCTCTGCCCAGCAGACGTCTGAGAAAGAGTCGGTAGGGGAGAGTAGAAGTTGATTGTCTAAGGCATCAAGACATGTAGGGTCAAATTCGACGTCGCGCAGAGAACGGTCGAAAATTTCAAGGGAAATCGTCTGTGCATCACCATCATCCTCTGGGCTTTCCTGTGGCGTTGGTGGATCAAGATCAGCGGGTCGGAAAGCGTGGCGGATAGGTGTTGGCAAATAACGCCAATCTGTAGTCCAGGCTGCATGCGAACGCGAACGCTGTCGGGGACGCACGTCATTGCCCCAAGGAGAACTTGGCTGTAGAAGTAGCTTAGTGCGAGAGCAAGGAAAAGACAATAGTTAGAACTTACAGGTGTGAGAAGAGAATCGTCGGTGCTGGCGCGAGCTGTGCTCAACAAAGAGATATGCTTGCGAGCAAATTTATCTCGCGGCGTGCATCTGTCGACCACTCGTGTGTGTGCGATATTCATCGTTATCTGGATGGCGATTTCTATACTCTACCAAGGACCCACACAATAAGTGAGGGATGATTGAGCGAATTTTGAGGGGAGCTCGAATTACGCAGGAATGGAGTGATTGCAGTGTTCCGTTTTATCTAGGACATCAGCCTCGATACGGCGGAAAGTAAACGAAATGACATTTGTGTCTACACCGGATGTAGCCCGGGCGTTTACTGTCAATTGTCAGTTCCAGAAGGAGTTCCTCAAGAAGCCGTGAACGTAACTCGACGCCCATACATGTGCCTTCACGTGATCGTTCCCCCACTTAAATAGCCCTCTACACTCAGTCTAGGGCACAGTTAGCAGTTTATAGGATAATATGATTTAATATCCGGGGACCTCCCCTCGATAACACATGTACATGAAGAAAAATTAGATACAGAGTCTGATGGATGGTAAAATATTGCATAAATCCCTAGGCCAACGCGGACCTCAGCGTGGCAACAATTCGGATCCACTCATCCATTCTCAATCATTAGATCTGCATGAAGGTGGGGTTCGACGAATATCCAGTGCACCGGGTCAAAACATAATGCAGGCACAATCGTGACATACATATAACTCATGGTTGCTCGGTCGGCAGGCCTATGTTGCTTTTTCGTCTGATTCTTTGCGTGAACTCCTTCGCCTTCGACATCCAATTGCTGTTGGGTGAATTACTGACTGGAATGGTTAGCGTTGATGCACGTGGGCGTGACTTCGCTGTTTCAGGACTCGCAAAGGCTGTGGAACGTCTGTCGTGATGATGCGGATGGGTGGAGTCAACGGTAGCTTCTTCCACAGACACCCCGATGACCATGCTTGTCCCTCCCGATGAGAGCACATTTTGGGATCGAGAGCGCTCGATACGACGGGACAAAATTGATCCCATGGTCCTTGACAAACTTTGACGACCTGCTATCCTTCGCATTTGGGTCACATGGTGTTCGTCTTCTATGTGGCTTTCCGAACCCTCCGAGCCCTCGGAAATGAATGACTCGACACTTCTTGGCTGGAATATGCCGCAATCAGCCCGACTGTCTTTTTGTTATCGCGAGCAATAACTCAGTACCCAAAACTTACGTTGGCTAAAGTGTGATAAAAGTTGGACTTGTGTGCGACCGTCGCCAGCGGAGAGGGTGCTATTGGGTCGGATTTACTATTGTCCTCCATGTCACTGGGCTACTTCGCTGTCAAGCTATGTTTTGAGAACGAAGACATAGACTCACCAGACCGAAACGAGATATAGACACGCTTCCTTTCCGTCGATGCCTATAACTTGGTCCGGGGGTGGCCTCAAAGGTTGGGCTTTCAGGTATCTCTTCCTCCTCATTGAATGCACGCCGCTCGAGCTCCTCTTCGACCTCCCTGAATTTCTGTAAACTCAAAATGGGATTCGTGTCCAAACGGGTGTGTATGGGTGATGAGCGGTACTCACCTGTTCGAGCGGCTCAAGAGAACGGAGCATGGTGAGTATTGGTATATGGTAGACTTGCAGGTGTGGTGGAATGGTGATGAATGGAAGGAAAAATCGCTTCTTACAGTGACTACTTATTCTTGTCACGAATTTGACGATAGAAGCGCGCGAGTGATACTTGCCCCAAATTCGCAAAGACGGTGTTTATAAAGGGGACTTGTAGGGTAATTGAATTTCTCCTACTCCTGTGTGTGCCTTCTGGAAAATATTGTGAACACCGTGCGTATTGCTCGTTCGCAAGTCCATCGTACTTCCTAGTAAGATTGCTGCCTGTAAGAAGTCTACTCGCCGCTGTGAATAATGTGCAAGAAGTCCTGGAAGAAAACGCTGTTGGATCAGTGCTCCCCTAGTTGGCCGCCACGTGGCTCGATGCCCTGAAAAGTAAATAAAAAAAAGCAAGTCCGATCACGATCATTTAGCAAGTCCAATTTTAAATATTCGCAGGTCCCCTCAAATATCGTAACTATCACCTGAACTCATCCCACAGTGACTGCAGAAAACTACACAAAACTATGTACTGAGATACCTATGAGTCCCAGCATAATAGCTGGCTCATCTGTGTTCCCTTAGTAAGTACAACTATTTTTGCTCTACTGCGGCTGCCCGAAAGAAATGTGCTAAGAATTATACTGTTTCTATTATAAAATATGTTTTACTCAGCCTAGGTCTGGTGCGGTAAACTTGTTGGTAGTTTGTCGACCATGGTCTTCTCAACTTCTAAAAAAAATATTACCGCTCATTCTCAGGCTCCAGGCTAAATGGTTTAAAAAGCCGCCGCAACGCAATTGTTGCTGAGTAACTGTTTCTTAGGCTTTTTCATCCTACAAAGTAAGTTGCGGTTTCTCAAGGTCGGCAGATTCTGTTCGTATAGACGATCCGGAGTTCACGAATACACTACAAGTACGTGGACTGCGCCAGTCTCAAACATGCGGAAACTGGTTACCATTGACAAATAATATCAATAGTCGGTCTTCGATGTAAAACCCAAGTTACATCATTGTACTACCACTGGGATTAATCGACTATCACTCACTGTAAATATCTCGATTCCCTACAATTGGTTTTCCCCTAGTTTCCTTCCGCACTGATGGATAACAAAGAATTTATACGAGACAAAATGTATCTCGCGCACACCACCGCACCACCCAAATGTCTTATCAAGGACTACATATTTCTAGTGAGTATTTTCTGTATCTTCGAGGAGAAATCAAGGTTAACAATGCATCTTTCTCCAAGCTCAAAATTAGAACTATTATCAAAATCTTGCACAAAAGCACTCCCGCAGTTTCTACAGTGATCCGAACCTTTCGATCGTTTAACTGGACCTTTTCGCTCTCGCACGCCTTCCCGTACAGCCGCCATCTTCAGGGTCAGTTCTGGACCGAGACGCCCCATTTCCGCTACTGTAATTGACTCCGCTCGTTGGGCCAACTCATTGAGGGCCGGAATCAACCAACTATCAACCTTATACTCCATTGCTAAGACAGCCTTCTCAACGCACTCGATAGGCATAATCGACATCCGTTGAATGACGGCTTGTCTTATCACTTCGAAATCCCACATTGTGGATAGTTTTAGGACTGAAGTCCACTCCACAGCTGAAGCTGGGAGAATTTCTTGTTTGTAAGGTCTATGGGGGTAAGCTAGTTTAGCTAGCAATATAATAGGGCTTGCGGATCGCTTACCCCTGGAATAATACCTTCAGAAACTGTATAAAGTCTTCTTTCTTGATCTGATCCAGACGTAAGGGATGGCTATCATCACAACCGTCCACCAAGCTGCCCTCCGCTATCGGCAGCTGAAACATATCACGAAACACTTCTGACCCTTGCTCGAAGGGGTATTTGGGTACTTTGAATAGTGCGTTCTCCACCTAAACGACCTCTTTCTTTCAGATTCTTCAAAGAAGACGAAAAGCTATTGTTTGCACTCACAAGAATTGTGACATGGTCGAGGTAGAACATAGAGTCTTTTTGAAGAGGTTCTGGATCCTTTGGTATCTCTTGCGGGGGCCAATTTTCTGTGGTTATATTTGTTTTTAATTCGTAGCTCATGTTGGCTTCAGTTTTTGTTAGTGCAGGTCAGGGAGGACGCTCTTGGTCTACACGTTAGCTCATTCCACCTGTTTAAATATTGTCGACACGCGTAAACCTTGCGATGTTTGCTCAACGGCACGTTTTCGTCAGACTTTAGTAAGTGCTACCACATTCGTTCAGTTTGTCCATCGATAGATCTTGTAGATTTCACACTAGGTTTCGCAATGCAGTATAAGATATGCTATTAAAAAAAAGGACATTGAGACAGCTCTATTTGAATCTGGCCTGTTTTACACTATGGCGTCGCATGATGTTGCCATTCCCGCAGCTCACTCTCAAGGACTACCATTATACTGTGCGTAAAATTGACATATTTTGCGTCCCTCTCCCCGACCAGTAGATAACCGGACCTTATTGGGCCATTTTTAGGCTGATAATCGGATGCTTTCACACTCTCTCGGACGGCAGCCATCTTTAAAGCAACCTGTACTCCCAAAAGCTCCACGTCTTCTATCGATATGGGTTCCTTCCGCTTGGCCAGGTCATTTAATGCAGGCAACAACCATTTATCAACATTATAATTGATAGCAAGCGACGCCTTCATTGCACATGGAATCGCGATAGTCGACATGACGTTTATCGCTCTCTCTCGCATGGCATCAAATGCCCATAGCTTCGATAGCTTCAGGACTGATGTCCACTCTGTAAGAGAGACTTCTGAGAACTCTGGCCTGATAGCTTGTCAGTTCGTCGGTATCTCTTCATTACAACACAGACCACTAACGCTGGGAACATGACTTTCAGAAAATATTTGAACTCCTCCTTTTCGATGCCCTCTAAACGAATGGGATTTGAATCATCGTGACCTTCAGCAGCGCAGCCGGCTGAGACAGGGAGTTGGAACATGTCACGAAAGACCTCCGATCCTTCTTCAAACGGTTTACGTGGTATTTTAAACAATGACCCTCCCACCTAAAGTGAAGCGTCAGCACGGCGCTCCAGCACTGAATCTAGAATGAAAAAAAATGCATGATTTACGAGGAATATTACGTCGTCGTTGAAATAAAACGACTTGTCTCGCTCAGCGTGTTCATTCATCGTTGACGTCTGCTCTTGAAGTATAGGGCTTGTTGATTATTGCTATATAGGAGGTTCGAGAGCTAACAGGAGCGCTGGATCCAGAGGTTCCCAGCAATATTAATGCGGCGAACTTCAGCGAAGTACAGTTTTCGGAGCCCGGTATTCTACATGTCCCTTGAAAGGGGTAAGCAGTGCTATATCAGTGTCACTACTGGCCTGATACAGTTCTCGTCGATTGTACAATCTTCTGGGAATCGCTCTGCGTGTGAGTGATCTAGGATGATTTCGAATTATGAATAACGCATGTATGCCTCGTGCCTCAGGAACACATACTATCACTAGTCTACTAGTGCCCGTATCTTCATTTGATCATACAAAAACGGAAAGGGAAAGGGAACCGCGGTGATCTGAATTTTCGATTGATATGCCTACTTAACTACCTAACCCCGCCACTCCTAGGAATGGCGCAGAATATTTCGTTTTGAAAGTCCCGGAATATCGGTACACCCACTCAAATTACAAGCGGAAGCGTATGATAATATACTGGATCGTTGAGACCCTTATCGATACCTCAGTCTTTTGGCGTGAAATTGAGAAGATTGTGATAGCGTATGACTGGCACCTTATCAATATTGACGCCTGATTCAGAATGAAGTTTGGGTAAGCGTGTCAGCCAAGCCCGCTGGCTACGAAAGTCGGTATTTGTCCCGGGGTGTATATTGCTACAGTAACATGCTCGCTATCTAACATGTTAGATTCATGTCCTCATACATATGATAGTATTCCTTACAATCCAATGAACACCAGTATATCATACTTGGTGTCCAACGAAAGCCAACGAAAGAGCCAACGAGGATGGCAGTCAGCAACGTGTTGTCCCATGACCTCGCCGCTAAAAGGGGCTGTTCGATTCACGAAGCGCTCTTTGCCCTCTACACCGAGAACAAATGTTCCACCCATAACTCCCTACAGCCCCAGAACTTCCCTGATTTTGGGTGAGAAATCAATTCTTTCCGCTTTTCTTTCCCCGAGCTTAAGGCAGTTCCAGTCATACGTCACGTTTTCCCGCACTGCCGCCATCTTCAAAGTAAGCTCTGCGCCCATGTGCGCCATTTCTGCCAGCGTGATGGGCTCTTTTCGTCTGGCCAGCTCGTTGAGTGCGGGAACCAACCATTCGTCGATGTCATACTCTATCGCTAAAACTGCCCTTCTCACACATCCAAGGTTCATCGAGAACATCTGTTTTATCGTGTTTTGTCGTACAACGTCAAAATCCCACATCGTGGATAGTTTCAGGACTGATGTCCACTCTGCGAGTGTGGCTGGAAGTGTTTCTTGTTTGTAAGGCCTGGAAGAATGAGATGTCCAGCTAACAATGCACCGGGCCTCGTAAATCACTGACCCCGGAAACAATACCCTTAGAAACTGTTTGAAGTCCTCTTTCTTGATTTGCTCCAGATGCAGAGGGTGATCATCGTCGCACCCATCCGCCACTCCACCTTCTGGTGCCGGAAGCTGGAACATCTCACGGAATACTTTCGAGCCTTGCTGAAAAGGAAGCCTGTGTACTTTGAACAGCGAGTTCTCCACCTACACACATAATATTTTCAGTGCTATCCTATAATCAAGAACTTGAAGCTATTGGTGTGCTCACCTGAAATGTGACATCACTGAAGTAAAAAACAGGATCTTGTTCCACTTTACTTGGAGGCTGCACTGAAGTCTCGGTTTTGTCTGCCATTATGGAGTGTGAGGTCTAATTGCCTTGGGGTCGTTGGTCTGAGAACTCGTAATCGATGCTGGTATTTGTCAAGGTTATTCGATATTAATGCGGTATAGCGTTTATCGGTGAATCATTAGCCCACGCGACAGTCTGCGTTGAGGCCCCTAGAAACTGTGGAATTAAAGACTCGAGTAATCAATGTGCCTCCACTCTTTAATTCCACCACCATTATGCTTGGCACGGCACTACGATCGGGTGTTTCCTCGTGTCAAAACCACATATTTTGGAGTAAGCTGAGTCCTTCCAAGTCCATGGTGACCATACTGGATGTGTCAACTATCCAGACTTTATCGATGATTGAGCTCGCCCCCTATACAAGGACTATGAATGACTTGTACCATATCGATACTGACACTGGTCCAGAAGCAGCTGACTCGAGTCTGTTTTGGGATTATATGGTCCGCGGGTTCGACGCTATCGAGCCAGTCAGACAACCATATTACAGTGATTCTTACATTGGCTGCAATGGTATCCGGAATCAAGCTAGCTAAAACAGCGAACGATGATGGCGACTATAGGGAACCGAATCTCAAAAAGATAGCAGAAACGACGTTGCAAGCGATAGAACGTGGCTCTATCGTCGCAGCCAACAATGTCTCCCACGATCTCGCCGCCAAAGTGAACTTTTCAAACCACAATACCCGCTATTACGCCCCAGAGTCATTGCTCTCTACTTGGAAAAAAAATCTTCCACGCAGAGTCCCCAATGCTCCAGCTAAAACGACTGAGATAGCCATCTTGGAAGTGTCCACCATCGATGCAGCTCGCATTTTCTGCAACACACTATCTTCGCAGTCGACGAGCTATGGCAGGATAGCCGTGCTCAACTTTGCATCAGCTACACATCCAGGTGGAGGCTTTTTGAATGGCGCTCGGGCTCAGGAAGAGTCTATCGCCCGTGCATCAACGCTATACCCATCTCTTATGGTGAAGACTGCACAGCAATTCTACACCCTTCATGCGGCAGACCGCAAGGGCGGTTTCTATTTCCATGCCATGATCTTCTCCCCCTCAATCATTGTTTTTCGAAACGACGCCGGTGACTGGACAGAACCCTTTGAGATCGACGTGATTACTAGTGCTGCGGTGAATGCGGGGCAAGTGAGAAAGAATCTTAGCGGTCGCGAGGATCCTAGGGATATCGAGAGAAAGATAGAGAAAGTAATGAGGGAGAGGATGGCTCGCATTCTTTTCTTATGTGAGCAACAAGGAGCAGAGAATCTCGTACTGGGGAGTTTTGGAACTGGAGTGTTTCGGAATGGTGTTGATGTTGTGGCAAAGATATGGGCGGATTTGTTGACTGTAGAAGGTGCGCGTTTCAAGGGTTCTTTCCATCGCATCATTTTTGCCATCCTGGGTACGGATACCTTTCAAACCTTTAAAGAGAACTTCGAAAGACATGCTAACAAACTTTGAACTTATGGGTGTCTGACCTGTTTCTCCATTATCAAACAATATCAATATTCTTATTTTTCCCTATCATGTGAAGCCTTTTTACGAATGATATTGTCTTTTACCAGTCTACTGTAAATCCTGCAAGCGAATGACGTGCAAATCTCTTCTCGGACGAATACCGTGCTCTCCTCACGTGTTCGATGACTAGCATTTTGTTGCCGAGCAAGTTGCTAATGTACTGACTTGTACCAGGACGTCTCGGAACTCATGGATGCAACTGGGAAAGCTAGCTTTCTCGATGATGCAAGTGGTGCCGAGCTGCCTTCTACAAGTCCAGTGAGGCACCCTGAATACTATCTAGAGGATGGTAACGTTGTGATACAGGTAGCATTCAACAACTCTACACATGCGCAAAGGCACTGATGTGTAGTTACAGGTTGACGAATTGCTCTTCCATGTCCACCGATCTACGTTCATTAGGCATTCGACCGTTTTCGCAGACATATTCTCTTTGCCTGTTTCTGCAAACCCTGAACTTGTTGAAGGATTCTCGGATGAATACCCATTGCGGTTTCCTGGGATATGTAGCACTGACTTTGAGCGCCTGATGTGGATCCTGTACCCTACGTTCGTCTTCAACCAAATGTCTCGCTTGGATGCCATGCTGACCCTTACAGGTTAGTAAACTGGGTGTGTACAAGGCTCGCACAGCAGGCGAATGGGAGTCTGTGTTACATCTAGCGACTCGGTGGGAGTTTGACGATGTAAGAGCACTTGCCATACGACATCTGGAAACACTGCCGATGAGCCCCGTCGACCGGATCGTTCTTTCGCGCAAATTTGATATACGTTCCAATTGGGCTTTATCGGCGTACACGGAGTTGTGCGAGCGCGCAGAGCCCCTATCTATGGACGAAGGCCACGCCCTCGGTCTAGACACTACGATACGCGTCTCTCAATTGAGAGAAAAGCTTCGGTGTGGTCGAAGACCGATGAGGCAGAGCAGTTTACCTCACCGTATTGGAACGACCCCATTGATGCGGTCTTCAAGCTTGATCTCGGATAGTGGGAAGATCACCTCGAGGAAAGAGGCACATAGCGCGCTACGCAGCGAGTCCCCGTTCAGGAGAGTGAGTAGGGCCCCGAGGGTATCAGAAGCCTCCAGGCTTGCCTCTGAGACCTTTGGGTTGAGTGCTCTAGACAGCGCTCCCAGGTGACGTACGTTTACCGGTCAATTTGTAGTGTATACATAACTGAAGTCCTTCCATCGGCTCAGATTATCATCTATCTCGGGCGACGTTGATTCACTCCGTGCTGTCCCTCGTGTCTTAATGGTAATACGATTGAGTCTACTATCTGATCGTTGTTATTCATTTTAGGACCAAGGCTTCATGTTATTTCGTAGTCCAACGTATCCTGTGCGCCTCGTTGGATGGTGGTGTTATGATGACGGACTTGAAAACGATATTACGAAGTCACATTAACACCGGTCAGCTGGAACATATGCCAGAACTGGATTTGAACTTGTTAGATGTGCTAGCAGCCAGTCAGGCCAGTAACTGGTCACTTCCAGCTAGCACCAATCTATCGTCAGAGATGTTACGCCCTTGCCCAAGAAATCCGCCTTTTAAAAGCGTGGATCAACGATCCTGTGTTTTGGCGTTGATCTGCGACTCAGAGCTAGTCTCCATTATCACACTGAGAACTGTACAGCACGACACGCCTTATCCTGCGTGAAATGTGACAGGCTGTGGTCTCAGGAGAGTTTGTCAATGCTACTCTGGCTACAACCGAATTTCAACGCCTATTTCTTTTGTTTCTCTCGGGGCTAACGATCCCTCGGACGAGAAACGAAATAACCATTGTAGATAGCTCATCACGGCAGATGACGGTTCTCTGATTGTAAAATTGCAGTTGTATGAAGGCATCTCCTCGATTGTTTGCCCAACTGGGCGAATCATTGCCGCTCCTTGAAAATTTTAGCTAGTCACATGCGAAGGGCGTGGTCAATGCATGTAAAGCTGTACTTCACACCAAATGCTGGACATATCACTAATACTCTTCAACTGACATGAGGCTTTTCGCGTAGTTTACGCAATAATGCATCAGGAGGCTGATTGTATGGATAAAAAGAGAGAGAACCAGACAATGGTTCGGCAACGTGTACACAACACGTGTAGCCGAGCTTATTGCCAACACTGGATACGAGAAACATATTTCTTCACTTCGCTCGACAGTATCCTCTCGAACCGAAACCCACATCCATTCTTCCTTCCCTCCTCTCTCAGGTAGAGAAAATCATGGTCAACCCTTCAAATTCAGATCACGGCGTCGCTCGCGTTGTCCACCACAAGGACTACTACATACGCACGGGCGATGTCAGCTTCTTGGTGGGTGACCATCTCTGGCTGATCCGCATTTTTTAATGCTCACGACACCATGTTATAGGTTGAGAACCATTTATTCCGTGTACATAGCTATTTCTTCGAAAGGGAATCGATCTTCTTCCGCCAGATGTTGACTGGTGCAACGCCGGCAGGAGAACGGTCTGGGTCGCCCGACGGTGACGCGTACACCCTGGACGATGTTCGAAGTGAAGATTTCGCTCGTTTCCTCTGGGTCTTCTATAATCCGTAAGTCTGAAAAAAATACTGCCACGTACTATAGTGCTCATGTTCGGTCCAGGAAATACTCTCTGTACCAGGCTCCCCTCGAGAACTGGTTGAGTGTTTTGCACCTTGCGAACCGATGGGGATTCCTTAGCGTCAAGGATCTTACAGTACGAGAGCTCGAAAAGCTTACCATCGAGCCCATCGACAAGATATCCATCTACCATACTTACTCTATCGACAAGTTATTCCTGATTCCTTCATACATAGCTGTATGTAAGAGAGACAAGCCACTAGGAATGGCGGAGGGAACCAAGCTCGGGTTGGAAACTGTACTTCGTTTAGCAGAGGCTCGTGAACGTGTTCGGCAGAGGGCGGTTGAGAGTGGTATACGAAGCCCGACGTTTGCGGACGTTGAGGAATTCGAGGTGGAGGGTTTGATCAGAGAGGTCTTCGGTATCCCCTCGCGTCCTACTTCACCCATTATCACCGGGTCACCTGTGAAAGGCTCTCACAGCAAAAACGGGTCGATCAACGGATACTCCTCTTTCACTGCCAGCGGCAATGGTTTTGCTTTCTCCGCACCACCACCAGCGAACGGATCAGCTGCTAAGCTGGTCGAAGCTGTTTCAGCAAAGCTGGGTGCGAATGTTGAGCCCACTCCACCAGTGGCCGTAAATACTGCGGTCAGCGATGTCAATACGTCCGACCTCGCCAACCAACGCCCCTCGTCTCCAGCGCCCAAGTCCGCTGTTGGAAGGGGTGGCACACCGGGTGAGCCATCAACGGCGGTGATTTCAACATCTATGTTCATCTGACTTTCCGCTTATTCCTCGTACTCCAGGAGCAAACAGGGGTGGAAGAGGCAGAGGCAACGGCAACAGTACCTGATCATTCCACCATTAACACACATGTATCCCCTAGTCAGAGCAAGGACTGTAACGATAACGATGTCAAAAAGGAAACCGAGGGAGAAACAGGAAAAGATAAAGATAACGAAAATGATTCGGATGAGTCAAAAGCCAAGGAAGCTGAACTCATAAATTTTATGTCTGACAACGAAAACTCCAAACGTGGCAACGGCAACGATAACCAAGGTGAGGGCGTCGTGCTATCCAAGAGAGCAACGACACAATGCTGACCTTGTAAAGCTGGAGGGAAAAAAGGACAAAACAATGGGAACAACGGTGGCAACAAGAACAAGAAAAACAACAAAGGTTCGAAGCAAACACCAAATTGATGATAGGCATGATGACTTTAGACATGTTTCTGCAAAGGAGAAACCGAAAATTAGATGTGGATGAGAGGTACATGAGCAGAGATGTCACTTTTTGTGATGCTGAACCCTCGATGTTATCGTAGTCCTTTTTTACTCTTGCCACGTTCTGCTGTGCATTCTGGTGTTCATTGTTTGTTATTTTTCCCAATCATAGACAATTTCCTATCTGTGACGGCCATTATGCAAACGAGCGATATTAGATTATAAAGGAGGATCGCAGGTCACTTACTGAGCAAATCCTGCATCGCAGATTTGAAGTGGTTGACGCGTATGCTGCCAGTGGTGCTGATATTTGGCTGCCACGTCCACGTACGGCGAAACTTGAAAATAGTCCCACAAGGCAAAAGTAACTAAAATTGGTGATAACTATACTTACGATTTATCTAGTTATCTGGGTCTAGGGGAACATAGATGGCAAGGTCCGGTGGGTGAGAGAATCATGCACAGCTGACCAGTACGCCTACACACCGTGACCCCTATCATAACGGTTGGTGTGTGCACTATCGCGCCAACACAAGACCAATTCTGCTCACAACTCCATATACACTTATGCTGATCTGCGAACGCTATTGTTTTGAACCCGGCCCCCTTTGCTATCAATCATTGGAGCCAAAAACACCCGGACTGTTCAATTGGAGGAAGGAAGGTTAGCTCTTCCCACCGTGATCTTGCGGTTCTATACATGAGGTACGAGCGCAGTCTCCTTGTTACTCGTCAACTAGGTAATCGTATGGGCAATGTTTACATGTCTTCCGCACAGGTTATTACGTCGTGGATTGTGACAATGAGTCGGATTTATAGGCTGTTCCTTATGCCAAACCCGTGCTCCAGCTTTACGAACCCCATACTGTAATGGTATGTACTACAACTCGTGCCCTGCTGCGCACTGGAAGCCATTTCTTCTTCGAGGTGCTTGCAGTATGTACTCGGGTGGGTCCTGATTCACATCATGTATCTTGCCACCACAATCATATTTTCAGTTTAGCGTGGACGTCAACTGAGCGTTGAGCGCTAGGACGATAGGATAATATGATGCAGAACGAGCCTCGAGGCAATGCCGAGCTTCGAAATGTACAAGGACCTGGCCCAGACTGATCGCTCGGTTAATGTGGTCTCGCGGCTGCCAATACACACGTTCTCCTGTTCATGAAAATGGACATTCAAGGCCAATTACAGGTATCTGCCAAACAATCCGAACCACCCACCCACCATTGTTCATATGAACTAGTCCCATTACCACAGCCAACTTGACGCTACACAGCACAGGAGCTCCACGTTGCACACTTCCCTTACCGCTTTCACTGAGTTTCTCGTCAGATTTCCATCACGAGGCATAACGTCTTCCTTGATTTTTCCCGTGTCCTATTGGCAAGCAGCGGCTCGCCGCTTCGGGATCCCTGCGTAGAATCTTCCACCTTACAAAGTCCGCGCTGCTTTTGTTAACACGAGGCCCAAATTCAAGGATCATTACGCGATAAGATTGAGAAGAATTTGATGAAAAGATATAAGGATCAACAAATGCATAACAACACCCAGTATTATCGCTCGAACAGTCCTTCACTCTGTATACCACCACCTTCGCCTTAGACCGAATCAAACAATACCCATCCATCGACTACGATCAAAAATCAAAACCTGTACACTATCTACAATTCCTCCTCAATGACACCCTCCCCCAGCACTAGCAGCCCCACCGGGAATGATCACGGTGTGGCGAAAGTCGTCAACCACAAAGACTACTACATATGTAGTGGCGACGTGAAATTTCTGGTAAGTGAATTCCGTTCCAATTGCACATGTCTATTGGTAGCTCATATAGTAACAATTCAGGTGGAAAACCACTTATTCCGAGTGCAAAAGTACTTTTTCGAGAGAGAATCGGTATTTTTCAGGAACATGTTTGCAGAGGAATCGGCTGGGCATGAGCCCTATGTATTGCGCGATGTGACGAGCGACGATTTTGCATCCCTACTATGGGTTTTCTACAATCCGTGAGTATCCAAGCTGCACTTCATCACTGGAAGCTATTCAACGCCACGAATCACAGGAGGTATTCGTTATATAATGCACCTATCGAGCGCTGGGGCAGTATACTAAACCTTGCCAACCGGTGGGAGTTCCCCGAAGTCAAAGACCTGGCAGTCAGGGAGCTGGAAAAAATTAAAATCGACCCCGTTGACAAAATCGCCCTCTATACTCATCACAAGATCGATCACTCATTCCTTATTCCATCTTACGCTGAGATAAGCAAGAGATCTGGACCCCCTACCCTCGAACAAGCCCACAAGCTTGGTATGGAGACCCTACTTCGTATTCACAAAGCCCGAGAAAGGGCTTTGATCATGGCCGCTGAAAGTGGGTGTCGAAGCCCAACTACAGCAGACGCAGACGACTCGTCTATGAATTTGATGATCCGCGAAGTATTCGGTATTCTGGGGCCGTCATGTAATGGTACCACGAATGGTACTGCCAATGGTGCTAATCACACCACAAACGGTGGTTCAAACGGCCAGTCAAATGGGAGTCACAATGGATCTACGAAGTTAAACGGTGACACACCCCTCATTAAGACCCCAGAGACAAAACAACAAGACAAACAAGAAAAAGGAAAGGATGCCACGGTAAGTACCTTTCAACGCACACCACTTTGATGTCAGTAACGAGTATGATTTTTTGCAGAAATATAAAAACAAGTGAATATTTTTGCCTCGCCAGTCACCACAGAGTGAGGGGCAACCTCAAGAGAATGCGTTCTTTTTTCTTTGCATATTGTTGCTGGTGGTCCTTTTCGCGCTTCCGTCGCCGTTGTAGTTGTAAATGTAGTACGATTTTATCTCTTGCGACATATGTACGTGTAAAGCAGTTGTAGGCAGTATTACTTGTATTTGATTTCTTGTGTAATTGATATTATCCAATTGTGTTCATTTCAGCGCGACGAGACAAATGGTGGATTGGATGGTAAGAGTAAGCAGAACGATAGAAAGAGCGCGTGGCAGATAACATGACAGCAGCCCCAACGATAGCAGAATAGTCAGATTTCAGCCTCGATCTCTTGTCGAACTAGAAAAAACCAGATGTTCCAGCATTCAACGCAACCCAAATTCTGAAGAAAGAAAAACACATACTTTTTTCCAAATCCTTCCGCTCCCACTCGTCGTCGCTGCTCTTCTGACTAGGCGAACTTTTCCGTCCCCATATCACATCTTTCCAGCCTATACTGCCAGCAGCCGCGGGATTCACCCCAGTCCGCTCGTCGTCATGGACTTGAGCAAGTTTTCGTAGTCTGTCAATCTCTTCGTCCTTGACCGGTCTCCCCGACTGTAGTTGGCTGACAAGAGATTCTAGGATGGAGACTTGGGCTGATATACGGGCATTATCCTCTTCCTGTTGTTTTCGATGCCATAGCAAATGTATAGACACGGAGGTTAGTGCTGTAGAGTAGATAAGATGGGGTAGATAGCGAGGTACAGACATGGTATAAGAACACGTCGGACATACGGACAAACCTGCCATACACGCTCGTCACAGTCACGAGACATTCGTCACATGATATATTTCTGAACTAAGGACTCGGAGTAGTTTACCTCGTCGAACTTCAATAATTCTGTGGACTGAACAGTTGTCTAATAAATGGTACTTGAATTGATAAAAATACAAGTTTAACCGGCTCGTAAACGAACTTCCAGAGTGTGGAAACAGGCAAGGTCATTTCAAACGATGACTCATACACGCCGATGCCAGTGGATAAATCTCCCAAGAGAATGGGCTTGGAAAGATGTTATCGTGATTTTTATGGCCGCACCCATTGCTAGGTAAGGGCAGTTCAAGTTCTGGGCTCGCTATTGTCTAAGAGCATGAGAAATGAGTATATGGATTATCGCCTCATATAAGAATCAGAGCTCCTGTAGAGCAAAGAGACAAGTTAGCAAGCAAGCATCACCAAAACGACAGAGGACCCACCTTTCCATTGTATATAGGACCGCTTTTCCAACCTCCGTCTTTCAAGCCGAATTGTGCCATAGTCTTATTTCGGAAAGCCCCCATCGAAACAAACTTCCCATCCATACTCGCCCCTTCCGCCGTGAGCGCAAACTCTCCCTTCCTTCCACTGACTCTTCCAGTCTTAAGCACGAGGTCCCTGCTGTTCCGTATCGACGACAGCGTGCAATCCCGTACATCGAACATCCGTCCTCGCGACCGCCACTGGTTGAAGCACTGTATGAACACTCGAGAGCCGGTGGGGCCTTTTGTGTTGCTTTTGGGGTTAGTGGGCGCGGTGGGAGAAGGGAGGATGTAGAGCTTGCGGACGTTGCGGCCGCTGTTCCTCAGGATTAAGAGCGCCCAAGCACCGCCAAAAGTGAGTATCATCGTCATCAGTCCCAGGCGCTGCCATATCGGACGCGGAGCATATTTGAGTGGGCCGGCTGAAGGGTCTTCAGAGCCTTCCTCGGCGTTTTCGACGGGTTCAGTCCAGTGGTTCCAAATGAGCTCGCATCCACCCAATCTGCACACCACCACCACCACCCACACACGTCAGAACGGCGAAAGAGAGAGAGGGTTAAGAGATGGTATAGCTCACGTCCAAATTGCATCAGCGGCGAGGAATGGCAGTGTTAGTCGGAAGAGTAGATGTGGTTTTGCCAGTTCGTAGAAGGGTGTTTGGGATCTTACGATGGAAGGTGCGGATGAGGTACCTTGGGCCCTTAGGGAGCGCAGGGGACGGAAATTCTTTATCCGGGAGAAAAAGGACATGGCGAGTCTGTCGACACCGCCAGATTATAAAGTGAAGTAATATGCAAAGAGAGAGCTCGAGTAACACCACTTCGCGTAGCAGACAGATTCGGAATGACGCGCTTCCCAGGCTTTTACTCACTCACACCGTTCGATTCAAAAAGCAGAAATTAATTCTACACAGACTCATTTCTGAACTCCTTGCGGTGCAACAGATCAATGGACCAACAAGTGGACAAGTTGCACAGAAACAGCCACCAATAATAATCTACAACATTCTCTCATGTACCAGTAGTAGCACAGTCACCAAACAGATACGCAGCGTCCCCCGTAACATTCACATTCTGACAAGTATATGTGGCGTTACCATACTGCGTCGGTGGCCTGAATGCAAACAACATGAATCAGATTAGCACAACCATGACCCTTCCTCATTTCGAACAACAAAAAAAGATGAGACGAACGTAAGGGTGATGTTGTTCACGTTGATGTCGCTGCAGCGGCCATCTGGGGAGCATGCCAGAGAGGCTACGACGGACTTTTCGTTACCAGAGGAGGTACCTTGGAAGCTGGTGACCACGGCGAACAATCAGAATGAAATGCTCAGGATCCCCCATAGCGCTGATGCTTACTTGTCGAACCAGATGTCTTGGATATAGACATTGGAGGGGTAGGCCGCACAGGCTTCAGCTGTTGTTTCGTAACACTACAATGGGGAGAAAATGTTAATCATCGTTGCTAGTTGGTTAGATGGTTCTGTAGGAACGAACCTGATCGATTACCAACGGATTATCGACGTTGCTTTCTGTGAAGAAGCTGTAGGTGACGTTCTTAACTATACCTGATCCTACTCCTTGCCCGGCAAACGCTTTGATTCGAGCGCCATTTTCAGCATTTGCCATGCGGACGTTACTGGTGAAGCACGAATTTTCTTTGATGTAGGTGAAGAAACGCATCGGGAGAGGAAGACTTACGTGGAAGTGAAGTTCTCCACGATATCATACTCGCCAGCATATTGACCAAGTGAACCCACGGAAATTCCACTGAATTTATATATACCGTTAGGCTAACCAAATAATGCGAAACGCACGATAACACAACTCACTGGGAGCCATTGCAGTTCAGGTTGGAAGCTACGATGTTCGTCGAATCTTAAAGCGACTAGTTTAGATCATTTTGACGTATAGGTACGACACGAGAGACGCTTACTTGGTTTGAGCGAGACGCAGTCGTCCCCATTATTGATTTGAGAGTTTATGATGACAACATTGTCGCTGCGGTATATATCCCATCCATCCGTGTTCTTTGCCGGATTTTCAGAAGTCGAGACGGCGCTGATGTTGACACCGTCGTACAATATCCCCTGGCCTTCGTTGACCTATGGGGGAAATCAGAGGTGAGAATCGAGGCTTGGAGATGAGAGTGAGAAACGATACGTACAAAGTTGATCCATTCTGGGCCGTTGATCATGTTGATACCCTCGATGGCAACGTTTGTTGCCTGGTAGATGGTCAGAAGAATGGGACGCAGTAGAGTGTCATTCGAAGCGCTGTTGCATGAAGAAATATAACTAAATAACAAGGCCAGTCGCGGCATTACCAGTACACTTACAAAGCATCATACCAGACCTGCATCGAGGTCATACTATGAGCTCTGTATTCTTACAAGTGCTGGCGTAGCGTACCTGGCCTGACCCGTCGATAGTGCCGCCTCCAAATAGTTTGATATCGTTACCACCGAGTATCCAAAAGGCTATTTGATCCTGGAACGCGAAGTAAAATCCATTCTACAGACAGAATGTACTCCATCATCTGATACGAAAAGAAAAAAAAGAAAAAAGCGAGATTGCCTGACGCACATCGATCCAATAAGTCATATTCGGCGTAAACTTGATTGTGCCTTGCAAGTCCTGTATGCATCACCGTCCAAGAAGTCAAAAAGTCCAGACTACGAGTCTGCGACATGACAGGACGCACGATATTTTTGTAGCTCAGCCCTGTGGTGTTCATCCTCGTGGCGATCGAGAGCGTGGTTTCGGGAGGGATCAACACGGTATCGCATCGCTGGAGTGTGTCCACGAAAATGGGCCCGTCGTCGCCTCCTGATGCGAAAAGAGTGCAAGGATCTTGTCTCTGCCTGCGCGCATGAGCCACGCCTGTAAAGTCGGGGGAAGAGGAAGCGAGGGAGAGCAGGGGGACAGCAGCTATCAGCCCCGCCAGGGATGAGATGATGCGCATTTCGAGGTTCGTTTTTTGTAGTGTCCGAATCCGTGCGAGTGTACTAGAACCGAGCACTTGAAGCTCGTGTACGTGGCGATGAAAGCCAGTCCTTTATATGGATCTCGAGGTGAAGGGAGGGTAGTAGTACCGGCCCGCCCGGGTGACAAGGCTGGTAGTGAGAACATATGTTTGTGAGGTGAATGCAAATAAAATAACATCAGAGGTCACGACTGAACTTGGTTCTGCACAATTGTATACCCGCGATTTGGTCACGCGCGAAAACAGCCGATTGCCCACACTTTGAAAAACATATCTCGCCTTTGGTTTGTCAAAAATCTGGGTGACGCCTGAGTAGACATGGCGGGTTGGGAAAGTCTTATTTGAGCCTGAGCAATAAGCCTTGGGATGAATGGACCTGCGAGTGGAATGTACACATAACTGTACTGTCGGTGTTTTAACTTTACCTTGTGTGGGTCCATATTTACATGACTTCGATTAACGCAATCTTTCGTTCCTAAACCGACGGAGCCTTTGTGACGTTGAAGTGGTTCAGAAAGTCTCGGCATTGAGATTGGTCGCCTGTTTTCGACTGAAGCACTGGCGTCTGACCCTTTGAATCATTCTGTACCCATCTACGATGCGTTCGATGCGCCAAATGACGAGGGTCGGGCTATCCTGGTCGTGCCCTTATTGCGGTGATTTGACCGCCCTCGTTTCGACACTTGCGGAGTTAATCCTCGAACTCTAATCAAGTTCTGACCATCTCTACCCCACAGGGTCTACGATTTATCCATCAACAACATGTTGCCCATCGGTATGCGTTGTTCAGATATTTGTTTTATCGTCTCTCGCGTACTGCCAGTGACTGCATGGATCTCAATATCATGATGGATGCGACCTCTCTGTTCATCGATCCTTATCATCCTCAAGATTTGGACATGAGGCGTGACTTCAAAGGCAAAGCTAGATACTTCACTCGTACCCAGCGCCCTCCAAGATACTAACTCATCGATTTTGGTATATCCCGTCGTTATGGCGCGCTGACGACGACGCTCCCCTCGAATACCCCATATGGGGAGGCGACAAGACTGTTCCCGAGTTTCAAAAATCGAACCATGCTCGTAATCCGTTCCCCATAGACGTATATTATCTAGGCAATATGATCAGGACCGAGTTCTTGCAGGTGAGTCATTTGTCTGTTAATTTAAACATATATAAAAGGACAGATGACGCATACGTTCAGCCCATGTCGAGACCAAACGCGGGCTCGAGTTTATGGCGTCGCTTGTGGAAGACATGGCGCAGGATGACCCAGCAAAGCAGCCTATAATGGACGAAGTTGTGACGCGCTTTGACGAGATCCTGAAGCAACTGAGCAGCTGGAACCTGCGATCACGCGTTATTTACAAGGAGGATGGTCATATCGTAGGTCTTTATCGTGGTGTCACTCATTGGACGCGTCGCATTGGCTATCTAGTGAGGAGGGTATCAGCGATACCTGAACCCTGAAACCCGTATACGTTATGCTGGATACAACTACTTATGAATCTATCGGAGGGACTGGAGTCCTGCCCCTGTGTACAGTGTACTTCGTGTGGTCAGGCGTCGCAGCTGCATATGAATATGTTGTTGATTCGCTTTCAAGTCTGCTTTTGAGCATATCACTTGGAAATATTGGAATGACTGATATCCTGTCAATGAGTAAAGACTCGGACTCGTACTTTCAAGACATATCTCGCCTTGGGTTTGTTAAGAATCTGAGAGCGCCCAAAAGTCAAGAAGATTGTACGTTGTTAACGTTGCATCAAATGATGTTGTACAGGTTTCTGAGATGATTGAGTTGTATGCAAAGCGAATACCGCGCCACACTCTCAGGGTAACACTTTCCACTGCGACCAACACCATGTCCACCTACCAAGAATCCTGGCTCCTCGGCCCCCAATCCACCAACTTCTACACCCGCACCTACCCCTCCCCCACCTCCCCCCCGCACGCCGCCCTCGTCTTCATCCACGGCTTCATCGAGCACATCGCCCGCTACGACCACGTCTTCAGCGCCTTTGCCGCGCGCGGCATCACCGTCTTTGCGTACGACCAGCGCGGGTTTGGGCGCACGGCGCTGGATGAGGGGGGCAGGAGTAAGGGGAGCGCGTATGCGAAGACGAGTTGGAGGGAGCAGTTGGAGGATGTGGAGTGGGCGGTGGGGAGGGTGAGGAGGGGCGAGGTGCCGGGGTGTGAGGGGGTGCCGGTGTTTTTGTATGGGCATTCGATGGTGAGGGCGCCTTTGCTGTCATCGTAGTGTCAATATTAACTCGGTTTTTTTGGATAGGGCGGCGGACTGTGCCTAGCCTTCCCAACACGCACCACACGCCCCCCCTCCCCAGACACCCTCTCCTCCATCTCAGGCATCATCGCCACAAGCCCCCTTCTCACCGCGACGAAGCCGGCGTCGAAGGCGGTGAGATGGATAGGGGGGAAGGCGAGTGTGCTTGCGCCGTCGCTGACGATTCCTGCGGAGGTGGCGGCTGAGGTGGGTTCCTCCTCTACCTTCCCCGCGCGGTCTTCTTGGGGTGTTTGGAGGGTTTCGCGTCTGGCTAATGGAGCGCTTGTGTTAGGTCCTGTCGCACGACCCGGAGGTGATTAAGAACAACATCGACGACCCCCTCATCAAGCGCGTAGGCTCCTTGCGTGGGCTGAGCGATATGTTGGACGGCGTAAGTCCAGCCCCCCTACTCCCTCCCCCGGCTCTATATGCGCCGTGTTGACTTCTTGGTTTGTTTGACCTTTTGGACGCTTTTGTTATGGCACTTGCGTTTTTGGATACGTAGGGAGAGAAGCTGTTGAAGGAGGATCATGCGCGCTGGCCGAAGGCGCTTCCTGTAAGCTGTCTCTCTGTCTCTCTGTCGTGTTAGTTACTCATGGTCTCGGCCGCACTCTGTCTTGACGCGACGGCTTTGCAGCTCCTGTTGATACACGGCTCGGATGACCAGGTTCGTCCCCATCACTCTCCCCCTGAGTGTCGCTCACCGCATCGTTCGTCGTTCGTAGGGCACATCATGCGAGTCTACAGAAGAGTTTTACAAGAAGGTCACAGCGGACGACAAGACGTTCTCCTGCTACCCCGTCAGTCTTTTCACCTTCACACCCCATCCCCGTCCTTGCCCATCCCCGTACTCGCACGGTGTACGGCTGTCGTCCTCACTCTCACTCTCACTCTCTCAATTTGACTTCCAACTTTTTGACTCTTGACCACAACTTATTTTCAATTTTTTTTGACGTTGAACTAATCGCCCCACTCTCCTACTCCTAGGGCGGCTATCACGAACTGCACAACGAGCCCGACGGCGTGAAGGAGAAGCTGATCGAGGAGTGTATATCCTGGGTGGAGGCGAAGGTGAAGGCGAAGGCGGCGGCTGGGATCACCATCACGGCGACGCCGAGTTCGAAGCTTTGAGTTCTCTCTCTCGAGGGTTTGAGGGGATGTTGGGGTGGTGGGATAGGTTACGTTAGGTTAGACGAGTGGTACAGGACAGGGTGCATGTAATATTATCTTTTATTGGTATCTTTATGCTTTATGTATCTCAGGTCGGTCTGGACGGTTTAGGTTTTGAGGTAGCTTACTAGCTCAGTGCACAACGAAGAGTCGAGTAAAGAAAGAAATAACGTCCACCGGTATCACTATATATCTACTCCAATCCAAACCACATCATGCTCTACCACGCCATGCTCAACGCTCTACCACACCAACGCCCTACCCCATCCACGATCAGCCAAAGCCAAAGCCAAGACTAATACCCACCCGCCCCAGGCGCCGCATCTCCCTCCCTCTTGAGCCTCAACAGCACCTCCTTGAAGCGCGAGAGGTCGGTGGTGCCCGCCCCGGTGCGGGCGATGGTTTTGCTCTGGGAGTTGGAGAGGTCGATGATGTCGCAGATGCGTTCCCAGGTGGTGCCGTGGGTGAGGGAGGAGGAGAGTTGGGCGAGGTATTCGGATTCTTCGTCTCTGTTGGATGCAGGGGGGTGGGGGGGGGGTAGGCGCAAAGCAAACGCAAAAAGCGGAAAGGAAGACAAAGCGGTGCGAAGTAAACACAGAGTACAGAGTAAACACAAAGGAAAACAAAGGAAGCAGACACGAGCGATCAGCGATGAGCAAGGGTGTGCACGAAAAGAGGGGGGACGCACTTGTTATCACGAATCGTCCTCTCCTTCTTCGCATTATAGTCTTCGTAGAAATCGTCAATGGCGCGCTCGGCTTTTGAGACGACGTCTTGGCGCTTGGCTTTGGAGGCTTCGTCTCGGGCTTTTATCTCCTCTGCTTGCTTCTCGCGCCATTCTCTGTGGGTGGGTGGGTTGGTGTGAGCGTGGGCGTTGGGTAGAATAGAAGGAAGGAAGGAGGGAGGGAAGAGAGGCTCACCTGATAACCTCTGGTTCGTCCTCTGGCGGGGGTTGGTTGAAGATGGGAGTGGAGGTGAAGGAGGAGGGCTGGGGACGAGGGGCGAATGGAGGGGGTGCGCCGAATGAAGGCTGGGTGGGCGGAGGTGCGGAGTATGTCTGCGTCCACCAAGCGAGTCAGCACCACCGCCATACGATCCAAATGGAAGCGGAAGACAAACCTGGGGAACGTCCAACTCTGGGAACTCGCTCTCGAACTTGTCAATGTCGTCGTCGCCGGTGACTTTGACGTCTGTCACGCTCTCGCGCGGGGGCGAGCCAAAGTCGTCGAAGGAGAAGCCGTTGGTGGGTGGGCGCGGGGCGTGGGTGGGGGGGAGGGAGGGGACGTCGGCGTCGGCGTCGAGGGAGATGTCGGGGAAGGCAGAGGCGGCGCGGTCAAAGTCAAAGTCGTCGGCGTTGTTGTTGGCGGACGAGGAGAAGTCGGCGCCGAGGATGTCGGTTTCGGAGAGGAAGTCGGTCATCGTTGTCGTCGCCGTCGTCGTCGTCGTTGTCGGTGTTCGCTGTTTCGCTTTTTTGCCCTATGGCCAGTGGCGTACGTCTCTATGTCGGAGGTTGAATGTGTGGCTGTGCCCTGGAGGGTTTTACTTGCAGTGACTTTTACTTAGGCTTGTAGTGAGCGAGGATGCCGGTGAACATTCCTGGTATACTGGTCCCATTCCACCTGCTTTTCAATCCTCGCCTCGTCATCCCCCACGTCGTCGTAAAAGGTCTACCCCTCTATCCATTGTTCTTCGATAACCTCACCATCACGTTTCCCCACAGAAAGATATCCGCCAAATTGATTTTATAGCCCTTCGCAAGGCTGGGTACAGAGGGGCTGTCTTTGACAAGGATAACTGTTTGGTATGTCCTTTTGTTTTGGTTGTGGGGTGGAAGGGGGCTGATGTGAGGGGGTAGACTGTGCCGTACCAAGATGAGCTGGTGCCCGAGTTACAGGTGTGCATGTGTATACTATTCTGATGTTAACGCTGACACGCCTTAGGACGCCAGGAAGGAATGCAGGTCTGTGTTTGGACAGGGCAACGTGCTCATACTAAGCAACTCTGCAAGAACCAAGCACGACGCCGGCAACGTCCAGGTCTGTCTCTTCTTCCCAACCCAAAACTGAAACACTGACCTACCCCCAAAGGCCGAATCAGTATCGCATCACCTGTCAGTCCCCGTCCTGCGACACGCCACGGTCTTTCCGTCCTACGCGTGCATAAGAAGAGTGCGGGGGTACTTCTCTTCGATGCACGTGCCTGGTAGGAATGAGGAGCTGGGGGTGGTGGGGGACAGGATATTTACATCATGTAACGATGGGCATATGCATCCCGTGCGGGAAACCGCCAACATCTCTCCGGCAGAAAAAATTGGATATCTACACGCTGGCACATCTAATGTAAATGTCTCAGTACAGAATAGTGCGGGTTACTTTCAATTTCCCATTCCACGGCTTTCCCTCGAGTTCATAATCT